ATTTCTGTATGCCAGAAACCACAATATTTTGCTGTTTAACTCTTCGTGGTTTCTGAGAAACTCAGGATTCTGGCTTTCGAAGAAAGTCTCTAAACTGTGCGCCAGATCACTTGAAGAGTTCATTCCTGGCTTATGAATAAATGCATTGAAACCGTCTGGCCAACCTCGAAAGCAGGATCCTAGATTAATTCCTGATCTTCCCTTTTTGCCTCCTGAGGTATATCCAATATCCAGGTAAACTCCGGTGACTGGTGAGTTCATTGGAGGGGTTTGCCACTCTGGTCCCGTCCTACCCATCATTATGTAATTTTTATTCCAAAGGTCTTCTTTGAAAACCAAGGAGTGACCGGCTAAGGCAAGAGTATCTTCTCCTTCCTCACCCTCACACCGTCTGTCAACACCTGCCTCACAGACAATAAAATCGTCACCTTCTCCACCGAGCAGAGTGTCCCTTCCTGTTCCGCCATTAAGATAATCATTTCCTGGCCCACCAAAAATGCTGTCACTTCCGCCTCGTCCAAACAAAATGTCATCACCCTCTTCACCATAAATACGGTCTGGACCAAAACCAGCTACAATTTCATCATCGCGTAGCCGACCTCGCAGCGTTTTGCCGACACTTGTTGCGTCCATTAATGCTACTCTGTGTTTTTTGTTATGAAAATCTGCAATAGCTCTGGCAGTCAGACACTTGGTAAAATTCCTCTTTTCGTTTTGTAAAGTAGCCTTGTCTGCATCTATTTTCGCTGCCTCCGCATCTACATAGTAGATAAAAATGTCAAATCCTCTCCTCCTGTATTCATCTTCCAAATTTTTCAAATACTTCTTAAATGCTTCGGACTCTATGTAAGTCTTAAATTCATCCTTTACTCGTTGTTCAGTTGATCGGAAGTCGAACAAATCAGCAAAGAAACCAAGAGCTGTATTTACTACCTGCAAAATTGTGCTAATAAGATCTACTATAGGCGACAATGGCGGGAAAATAAAATCTAAAGCTAGACTTACTCCGTCCAGAATAGCTGTAACCCCATCAACAGCTGCCATGACCCCAAACGTAACAGCTTTACCAACATTACCCTGTTTTGCAGCGTCACTTGCTGCAATTGCATTCTTCGCCAACGACACTATACTCGTGCCAATTGAAATGGCACTGCCAACAAAAGGCGCAAACCGTATGGCTTTCTTCGCCACCTTTTCTCCAAATTTTTTAGCTAAATTATTTTGAATTCTTTTTCCCCCAAATTCCCGAACATTTTTCATTCCACTTGCTATACCAAAGCTTCCTTGAGCAACTCGAAGTCGTCCGTTTCTCATCATCTCATTATATTCACCCTCGCTGATTGCACCGCTGGCTCTTAAATCACGAGCTCTCTCAATCATATCACTCCCAGCTGCTGTGTCAATTCCTCCCTGAGCGAAACTAAAGCCCGTACTGGCGGTCTCTACACCAGTTCCAACTTTGCGTAAAATTTTTCCAGCTATCTTTCTGGATGAGATCCTTGATCTTTCCTGTCCCAGTTTTTTCACCGTATTGAAGTTTTCTTGAGCCAGTCTTTGCTCACCGCTGACACCCTCAAAAGCTTTGATATTCTCAAATGATTCCGTCACCACCATCTCTTGGAGATCTTTCAGACCAGTTCTCTTTAAGCGGAGATCTTTTTCAGTCTGTATGTTATATCCTACCATTCTTTGAAATACTCTGTGAACATCAATATTTTCTGACTTCTTCTCTAAAATGTACTTTAAACCATCGTATTTGAAATTTAAAGAGCCCATCCATGCTAGCAAAAGAAAGAACCAAAACTGAGTAATGCAAGCTTTGAACATGTAATGAAAGACCCAAATTAAGCAATAAAGCACCCCCACACTACCAACCCTGGCCATTTCCTTTCGCATTCGCACAGGCATACCGTTGCAGTGGCAGCCATGGATAGATGTTTCGTCCTTGTTATTGGCATGTCATAGCTCCAGGTTAAAGGGTCTCTGTGATACGTTGAGGTTGGTGAGTTTGCATTAACCTCGGCGGTAAATGACGGAGTCATGTGATCACGAGTGGGACCCTCAGTCCTGGGGTAACATCATGTTGATAAGTTCTGACTAGAACTGTTCATGGCTGCCATTGCTCTCGATGCACATGCGGACGGAATTTGGCAAAGCGTGCTTCTTTGCTTAATTTCTGTCTTATATGCTGAAAGACCCAGTTAAAAATTGTAATTTACGCTCTTACCAATTGTAAAACTAAGGCTTTTTTCGTACCTGTCGTTATATCATTGATGTCTCCAGGAAGTTCAGCCATGAAACCCCCAAACGTGGATCCTGCTCCTGACATGTAGTTACTGTATCTTATGAAGTCGTTTTCTGATTCAGTCTCTTCTCCAGTTATGACTTCACCCCTGAGCCCGACTTCTTTTATTGGATTAGAATCTTCTTGGAGTTCAGGTAGATCAGTTCCTTCATAAATCACCAAAAAAGAGAAAAAACAATTAACAACGAAAGAGCAGTAAGCAAGTGGCAAGCAAAATCAACCAAGGTAACAAACGAGATAAGTGGATTCAGCAAACAATAAGCAAATGCCAAGTAGCCTGCGCCCGTCACAGACGAAACTAAATTCTGGTCAAGTCCGTCTACTAAACAGCGCGGAAGTACTTGTTCTGCGCCTCCACCTGTGTACGCGCCATGATTGACCTGTTAAAAAAAGCCATTGTGGATTTGCTAATCAGGTTGAAGGGAAATTCGAAACGCACTTCCGGTGATTCATTGGGTGCGTAGGGGCCCAGAACAAGGATTTCGGCGATGCTTCGCAGACGATACTAACCTGGGTTAGATTACGTCAGAGACGCAGGCTGAAAATATGGGACCGGTCATTATTTATCGCCTGGCTGGGGGCGGGGGGGAGGGGGACGGCGGCGTTGGAGAATTTGGGGCTTACCAAGGTGAAATTTAGCCGATCCCCCTTTGAATGTTACTTCACTGAAGTGATCCCCCCTTATAACATTTGATGACCTTCGCGATTCCCCCCACGTCTTCATTTTCCATGCAAATTTGAGTGGTCCCCCCTCTGAATCCTTCCAAAGTTTTCAGTGATCCCCCCGTTTGGGTTCTCAGTTACGAGTGTTCCCCCCTTTTGTTCTTCTAAAAATCAAGTAATCCCCCAAAAATCCTCCGCCCTCCCCCCCCGGCGATAAATAATGACCGATCCCTAAGCAACCAGCAAACCTATAGTGATCATGTTTCTTTCGCCATCTAGTGCCTCTTTGAACTCCGTAAGAATTTGTTTAAAATCAGGATCTCTTTTCAAATCTTCCAAACTCTGATAATAAAAAGCTTCCACTTTCTTCCCTTGTGCAGCACTTTCCTCTCTCAACATATCAATCATCCCCTGAACAACGACTTCTGGATCAAAAGCCTTAGGGTCATTCTTCCAGGATGCTGAAACGTCGTTACATAGATTTTGAGACAAGTTGTTGAACCATTTGGCTTGCAATGTTGAGCTGAAGAAATCATCAACGTCGTCCTGCTCATCGTGTTGTGCAGGACTAGCTTGGGAAGTTTCGATACACTGTAAGAGACACACAAAGGAATCGTTTTGCATCAAACCTTGCAGAATTGAAAGACAGTTGCTGGCCGTCTGATAAAAACAGAGCAATTGAAGGAAATTGCCCTCCTTACTCAGTTTAGACCAAACTGAGGCCCGAAGAGCCGAAAAAAAATTTTCGGAGACCCGGCGCCCCTTATCTCAGGGTCTGGATGACCCCCCCCCCCCCCTCCCCTTCCTAATCTGAAGGTCTGGATGGGCCACTGTAGTCCGCCATACACGGGTAATTTTGTGTTTTAGTTGTAAAAAATTATTACCCGGGAACAACCCTTATTTTGCCCAGGACGGGGAGGTGCCGCTGAACGGGGTATAGTTTTCAGAGTTTAGAATCTTAGACTGGGCATGCAATTTCACTATCTAGTCTATTTAGCGTTTCGCCTCAGCTCATGCGCACACTTTTACCCGAAGTATTCCACCAGGATATCAGACAATTATGCTGGTGGTATTTTGTCTCATATCTCTTTTCCGTTTGGTACCCGTTTTAAGATTACTCAGTCCTTTGTCAACCCCACTTAGGTCGCACGACAGAGAGTTTTCTCCCGAAATTAAACCTAAATCTGTTCTCGAACAATAACCGAAACTTTCATACGCCTTCCGAATCCCAGTACGATTCCGGAAAATCAAGAAATGATAGCCAACTTATGAATTTAAACGATTTTTAATCGGCCCTTTGATTGATTACATCTGCAGAAAAACTTCAAAACAGGTTAAAGTACACGCCAAAAACGATAAAATGTACCGCTGACAACAGGTCAAAAACAATACAAATTTACTCTGTTCCACTGTACGCCAGGTTCTATTTATTAGTGGCTCACCGATTGTTAGTGATTACATAATACCTGAGGCAAACAAATATCAACATTCTGCTTCAGGATATGAACAAGAGTTTTAAACATTTATTATTAAACAAACAAGAAATAAGATTCGTGGAACCTCTCAACAGAGGTCAATATTCACACCTTCAAATAAACTTCGGTTAATAGGCAAATAAAACTTTAGTTGTCCTTTAATGAGGCTAAAATACATTTTTAGAAAAAACTGTGTCCAAAGGAAACAAAAAAAATATTAGAAACAGAGTTGTTTAGTTCGACAGAAAAATTTCAGTTCACTTTCGAATCTTATCTTTGATGTAATAGGAAACGACGAGATGAGAACGATTTGTTACTTAGAGTCAGGGTTATCTAACACATGAGAGCATCACTTCATCATAAAAAGGGCATATAAAGAATAAGCAAAAAAAGTTTTATTAACCACTATCCTTATTCTTTTTCATTTAAATCCAAAATCAATTGTTCAGTCTAACTGGCTATGAATTTCTTAACATATGTAATCAACCCCCTCTCCCTCCCAAAAAAATAAACAAACAAACAAACAAAAAACGTAACCAAAGTATGAATTTTTATAAGTCACATGCGTTACATGAATTGATGGTAAGAAAAACAGTCATTTAAAGCGTTATATCAGAAGGCCATTTTACGGATAGAATTTTTTTTTAAGAGGAAGCACGCAAGCCAACGAAATGGCTTTAAGGCCCGAGAAAGGCGTGGTATCATGATTATCTGACAGAAATAAAAACCATGATACTAAGAAAACTTACCTTTAGTATTATATAGAAAGCAACTAACCATCGAAATGTATTGGGGAGTGCCGCTAAACACGACATCTTCCCTACTTGTTCCAATGTAACAAATCGTCTCAGGAAAGTATCACTTAAGGTTATACCAGAAAAAATCCGATCAATTACTCGTCACCAGGGCCTATCAAATTTGCGATCATCCAATCATTTCATCGGTCAGACAAGTTTGCGGGTAGTTTACTGATCAACACCTCGCTTTCGTTTGGTACCTGTTTTATTATATGTATTGTATCTCTAAAAGGTTCATTCACACAATTTTTTTCACTTTCGTTTTAAGAATAAGATAACTCCTATAGTTATAAACAATTTTGTATCTGCTAACTGTTATTATTAATAATGTTAAATAACATATTGTCGATATTCATAAATAAGCTATAAATGCTCTGTCAATAGTGAAGGTTCCCAGAAACCGGAAGTCGTTTGTGCTTGGTATTTTCTTCGTCCCTTCGGGAAGTCGTTCAAGCCAGCACTCGTTCAGTTGAGCACGAATTCTACTGGGGGCCTCCTTGTCTTTCCATCTGTTATCTGAGGTGGACAGAAGCATCGTTCACAGGTTGTTTCACCGCGATGCCAACGGTAAGCGGCAAATAGGAGTCAGCAGATAAGGCACAAATATCAAGATGATTCATTTGTTGGTTGATCCAGGAAACGTGTCATGTGATTCCCATTAAAACAGCTTGAAAAACAGATGGAGATTAGGGAATTCTCGGATTCAAGCTTAGTAAACCCGCTGGTTATTAGTATCGCGGCCGTTTGCGTTGACCCTGGTTGCATTGGTGGTCGTAGGCATACTGTTTAGACGGAAACTGCTGACCAAACAATCGTTGAGTGCTCCATCTGGGAAGAATTCAAAAGAGGAGTCGATTGAGCAGGGTGGAAAGAATTAACGAAATAAGTAGCATATACAAATTAAAAGTATATGATATACTTTTGCTTTGTATATTCTACTTCTACACTTAACACACCAGTGTAGTCAAAGAAACAAGAGCTTTTCTTGTTCAAGTTCTCGTGGTTAGATCACGCAAATAGTATCTAGTTCGATGTCTGGATCAAGTTTTTTTTAATGTAAATAGACCATGATTTTTGCATTCTCTCATGCATAGTATGCTACAACTATGCAAATATAATATGAAGAACCAATATCTATATCAATAAATATCAATAAATATCAATGAAAACATGATAGCAGGTGAAAATTAGAGTTACCATCGTCATCTTCGAGGCTGTTTAGCTGCACGTGTGGCCAGTGTTTTAACCAGTTCTCCTTTGTAAAGGTCCCAGCTCTCTAGACACTGGATCCTGTGACGAGCGTCGGGTACTGTCATGTACTCCTCCCTCTGATAAAATAAATGAACATTTATTTTAAATAAGCGAGCTCACTGATCTGAGGACGCTTAACATTTGTCAGAACAGGCTGGCCAGACCAGTCTAGTCGTCAGGAGAATTCCACTAGTGAGGAAGGGTTCTTAAATCCCGTAATCCCGAGCCAAAAATTTCGTGGAATCCCGTAATCCCGAGGGTTACTTATTGGCATACCACCTCCCTCGTATACTTTCAATCCCGAATCTCGGCCCGATTTTGCTTTAAAATCCAGAATCCTGAGTTTCAATCCCGTAAACCCGACCCAAAATTTCTTGGAATTCCGTAATCCCGAGGGTCACTATTGGCATCTCACCTCCCGCGTATACTTTCAATTGCGAATCTCGCCTCCATTTTGCTCTAAAATCCCGAATCCCAAGCTTCACACAAAGGACATTCCGGATCCCGAAAAACGTATTAGGAACCCTTACTATTGAAACGGAATATCCCGGGGCCCAAAGATAACATATAAGTTTATTCCTAAATGGTATGCACGACTGTGAGGGAGTTTAGTAAAAATTTTGAGAAAAGACTAATATTTCATTTTCAAACTGACGAGCTTTTCCTTGACCAGTTGGTTTTTTTTTGGTTTTGCCCCATACGCCCTTTGAGAATTAAAGTGTTTTAAGGTTTTTGTTTTAATGAAGTCAAGTGAAAACTTGTCTCTATTTTCAAAGACGTCCAAGAACATTACTTTGTTTTACGGTAACAATGTTTGTACTTAAGGAAGATACCGTACGACAACTAAAAAGTTGTTGACACAGATTTACATCTGACAACCTGTAATATTATCATTTAGCTTCTTAAGTTTTATTGCTTCACATGCCTAAAAAAGACAAGCTTTAATGCGACTGTAAAGCGACTAAAACCTGTTGCTTTAAATCACTGTACAAGTTCGCTTTACACTTACCAGAGCTTTAAGCTGTACCAAGGTCGTAATACTGGCGTTCATTAAAAAGAACCTTTTGTTGATCATAATGCACTCGGCTCCTTCACTTATCTGAGGAAATAATCAACAGCTATTTTAGACCAGACTCGATGTCGATACACTCAAAGCAGTCATCTATATCTAAACACCTATGAACAGCTGTGATATAGCCTATTTCAACCGACACAGGTCAGTGTTAAGACTGTGCAAATATAACAGACGAGCTACACAGTCAAGATTTGGAAGGGCCGAAGAGGTACTCAGGCACGCAAGAAACTCCTCCTACAAGATCCGCCCTGACCCGACCAGAAAGCCTGGTAAGAGGATATTCTGGTGAATAAAGAAAGCCCTAAATTGCAGCGTTTGAAGTTGCCATATCACTGGCGTCTCCAGCTTTGTGTCGGCTATTGATAACGACGTGGAAACAAGCTCCCTTCTGCAATTGGCTCGTAGCTGTAACACCCTCTATTTCTATGTGATGTTTTTTTGGCACCTGTGAACTAATTTTCTGTCACTTATGGTTACTTTACACTCACCAGTATAAGACTTTTAGTGGAGGGATCCTGATTTTCTTCTACTACATCAGCCTACGGGGAATTAAAATATACGTTGAACATTGTGGATGATATGGTTTAGGGATTACCTTCTCCTGATTACAATTTTTTTAAAGCAAAGAAGCAAGTAACATTAGCCAAGGGAGAAAAGAAGAATCCCTTGGGTAAAGGGTGGAAGGAATAAACTACCCCGGGGACTACCCCAAGGGGTGCGAAAGAAAGAACTTAGCGTGACGTACCTCTGAACTTATCTTGGTTGTTACCTTCGGCATCATAGACTCAAGTCCCTGTAAAGAAAAATAGAAGAACGCGTGGCGGAACGGTCAGAGCGCTGGACTTGTAATTATTCGGCCGGCGGGAGGAAAAATAGAGCAACAGGAAAATAGGCCTCTGTCAGCAAGGAACCAAAAGACATGCTCTTAAGGGCAAAAATGTAACTTGGGAGATTCGATAACGTGACGCAATCACAAGAAATACATTGGGAGTCCGTGCAGATCTCTCTTTGACTTTCTTTCTGTGCAAAACATCACCAAACAAGGGAAACGAAACGTAGAATGCAGAGAACAAGTTAATTTACACAATCATTGCCTTCGACGTCTGGAGAACGCAACATAATCTCAACGCTCGAGGAATCCTGGGTACGAGCAGCGATCAAGTGGTTGTATACTTACAAACATATTTCCTGGTTTAAGCAGAGCAATCTGTAGAAGTGCTGTTCTTGTGGGGGCGCTGACCGACAATTCCGATGGTCTCTTTTGTACTTTGCTCACCTTCCTAGCGCATATTTCACCAAACGGGAAAAAAACTGGATCCTGTTAAAGCAACAAAATATCGGTTTCACTTATTAAAATGATAAAAACATCCATAAGGGCCGAGTAGTCTCTGAGGGGTGGACAAGGCGGAAAGACGGCTACGGAGAGTCAAGCGGGCTTTGAGGACAAATATGGTTGACGAAGAACATCTCAAAAATACAAATGACTTACTACTTTAAGGTCGATAGTCTTCTCCAAACTACGCTTTTCAATGTTCTTAGGTCTTGCATCGTCTGCAAGATTACATTTTTCTGTGACACAGAAACAAAAATTAATTGGAAGTCATTAGCGTCATTACTACACGTGTTAACGAATTCGTGTTAGCGGCTGTTTTTTACCTATCCGTTCATAAAAGTGGGATTTAGTTATTACTTCCGCATTTTTTAAGTCTTCCTTTTGAGTGGCGTAAATTCTCTTAACGGATAACTCCATGAGGCGGATACTCCCCTAAAACGGACACCTGGAGACGGCCTGTTCCTGTCGAACTTCAGTCATTTTTCCTAGTCTGTCCATAAAACGGACGTTTGGTGCAGGTGCCAACTCTGTCCGTTTAAGCCCAGAAAAAGTTAAATGTTTGCAAATTCTTACTTTTTCTACGGTCGAGCTCCCCTCTCAGCATTTATTAGGGAGCTTATAAGTAACAACGATGGCGACAGCTTCGAAAAAGTCACTTAAAAAGTAAATTCGCGCTGCCTCAAACTAATCGCGCTTATTCCACCTCGTTTAATTCGAAAAATTTTTTTGGAGTTGAATTCTAAAGGACTGTTCAGGAAAAGGTCCTCGGCAAAACGTGAAATTAAGCACTTTCACGTTGTCGTCGTGCAACGACGGCTAAAAATGTACAAAAAAGCGTGATAAACGTGCATAGTTGTTGTTTTGCTAATAAAAATCTATTGCTTTTTTGCCGTCGCCGTCGTAACAAACGAAACTGCCTAACCTAAGAACAACGCACACAGATTTGATATATGACAGGAGAGATTATATATAAAAGTTTATATATTTTCCTAGTAAAACATATCTTTTACTTACTCACCTTCTGTTGATTTCTGTTTGTAAATGCGTGGTGAGTTTTGCTTGCAAAAGCACTGAGAAAGCTATAACATAATAACAATATATAAAAAGAAGATATTCTTCACATGCATGCATCTCGGGTACGTCCTTGTACGGACCCTTGGCCGTGCAATGGGAACGAAGCAACGACTGAAGAAGGGTTTTAAAAACTTTATGCTGTTGACGTTGCGCTATTCATATTTGGGTGGTTTACTTCATAGCCTGCTACACAGGTGCTTGTAGGTAAAACGCGCCCCGTTCTTCAGCGCTCATTAGTTCAAAGCGCCTGCTACCAGGCTTTGATAGATTGTGCTAACAAAATTTTTTGGCATAATTTGTCATTGCGTGCATAATTTTCACCTATTTTCCGCGAAAAGCATTGCTAGCATAATTTGCACTTTTGGCTGGTTTTGCAGCAAGAAGTTGTCATTTGTTAGTCATGCAAAGATTTTTTTGGCCCGAGATCAGTGTTAAAGGCAAATTTAAGTAACAAAATGAATTTTTTTCTGCTTATTGTCATATTCATAGTACGAGAGCATCTCTGTCCAAAATTAAGGCCCTAGAAGACAGATTTTACTAAGGGAAATTATAAAACAATTTTATACAAAAGGGGAGGGGAGGGGGCGGAGCGGGGCGGCCCTTGCCGTCTTAAACCTCCCATGGGGGTAAAGTGGATAGGGGTCTCGGAGGGGTCTAAATCCCAGAGAGGAATAGTGGGAAGGGCTCGCTGTTTGTAAGGGAATATTTGAAAAAGAGGTTAAGAAGAACGACATTTAAAAAAGAGAACAGAAATAACCCACAATAAGCCTTTTCCGAGTTCCCCCAGGCCTCTGTATCAAAACGAGGTTAAGTGCTCAGCCTCTGATACTCTCGTACAAAAAACCTCATTTCACAAGAAAGGTTGTGCACTTGGCCTCATTTTGAAAGTGAGGGTCTTTGGAACTCGGAAGTGGCCTATTACGCATACCTCGAGTAGACTTGTTGGATTTTTTCCAGGAGTTGAGCCTTCAAAAACACGAAATGATCAGAAATAACTAATAATATATAGTCTGGTTTTAAATTTATTTGTTCAAAACCAGATTTAGTAGGAAACTATGCTACGCGTTTTCCTTTGTATTGGGTGGTGTTAAAGTCGTGTAAATTGCGAAATTATCGAGCGGTTCAAAGCAAAGAAAGTTAGCGTGCGTAGCGGTTTCGGAGCAAAGAACGAGGAACGACAGTCAAAGACCACACGAAAAAATAAAATGGAGCGAGTAAAAGGAACGTAGAGAAGGGGTACCGGGTAGGGAAGAAAGGGTTAGGGTTAGCGTTTCCTTCCCCTCCCCCTCCCTCTCCCCCTCCCCCTATTTCAATTTTTGGTTCTCGTTCCGTTTCCGTGCGGCCAAAACCAAACCTCATCCCGTTCCACGTCGTTCCTGGGTCTTTCTTTGCTCCGAAACCGCACGGAAACGCTTGCTACGCAGGCTATAGTAAGTGGATTCATCGAACATTGCCCTGTGGGATTTAATACCGCAAATATTCCTCTCTTCTTTCCAAACTAACTTTCTTTATTTTTCCTAACCACACAAACGGCACCAAACTACGTTGAAAAGTAAGGAGAAATAAGTCGAAAATTCGAAAATATGAAGCCAGAGGTTTGACACTTACGCGGGGTAGTTTTAGTTACGGTAGTGATGCTGGGCAGCTTAGTGGTCTTGCTCATGTCTAGAACATCTTGTTTTCTAACCACCTTACATCTTCCCTGTGGTGAGAAATAGTACGTTACAGTGTATAATACCTCAAAAGAAACACTGAAAACCGCTAAGGCGAGTGGGCTCCCTGGATAAATATTAACTAGAACCACTACGTGGAACTTACCGGGGCCCAGTGGGACACGGGATTGGATAAATATTAATAATATTATTATTAACTCATTAAAAAAAAAAATTAAAAAGGAGGATTTGTTGGAAGTTTGTTCAGTGTTATTACAGCTAACGGTCTGTGTTATAGTAGTGTTTTTAGTAACACTGTGATGTCAATAAGTGTGATCTGTACAAGGTTTTCATGACAAAGTTTGCAAAGAAGTTTGTTACAGAATTATCACAATTTCACATTTTCTCAAGTACGTTATCATCAGGTTTATCATTGAGATTTATTAATCACATTTATCTATTTTTTGCGAAAACACTGTGAATTTGAAATCAGACATAAGACATTTTTTAAATAGATCCTGGTTCTTTGCCTTGTAAAAAATGTCATCCAGTGTTATATATAGACATAATAAACTGCTTATTTATTGATTGAGTCTTTGTTAATTCATTGGTTCATCTTTGATACGAGCTAAAAACCTATAATAATTGTAGTGGAAGTATTTCTCCTGAACTAGCCAATCAATGATAAGTGCATCAGCCCATGTAGCAATACACATATTATTCAGGATTTTCAACAATGGATTGGAACCCCAGTGACATCAATAAAATGCTCTAAAGAAACAATCACCTACACCGCCAACATCTATTGATTGTAAACAAAGACCAATCTTGAAGCATCCTATCTTCAAAATTTTGCAGGTTCAGGTTGTATTGAGTAGTTTGAAATTCACATAATTGGTCATATGGGATAAATATCTCAATTTCCCTGTGATACAGCAACAAATAAGGCAAGTTAATTGGCGATCGAGCCTTGATGGTCCTGAACAAACAGATTTTTGATAAGTGTTCATTCGATAAATTTCCTGGTTGCCAGGAAGGTTCTTTTCAAATTTGTCTCTCAAATATTCACTCTTAAATTTTCGTTTCCGGTTTCCCTAACAATGTAACGTTGAAAAACGGACCTACCACGCATGCGTTCTTTAATAATATTATCATTATTTTAAAATTTATCAGTCACCCGTTCTCCCAAGCCTCTCCAGCCAAAAAGAACGTCTGCATGGGAGAGTAGGATTTTCAACAATGGTGGGTGACATCAATAAAATGCTAAAGTAGACCAAGAAGCTCCTATCGAAAATGGTCCGGGAGGAGCGCTACAGTTTTTCAGGTAGACTTTGGAGGTTTTTTTCCGGTTTCGGTATAGCCTACCGGCGGCTTCGACCTTCGGTCGAAGATGGGTCGGGCAAGCGGAGACTGAAGCACGCCCCCGCACGCGAAAAAACAGTGATATATACTGGTCGACAGTCATCCTTACCGATTTAACGATGTAGAAATATGGGGTGTCATTACTGTCTTTTACGATTACTGTATCCTTCCTGAAAACAAGTCATTGAAAGAGAAAGAGTTGTCAATTCATGTATCATATAATATGATCTGGGGGATGTAATGATGACAAAAATGATCCACACGGAGATAACTGTAATTTATGCCCAAGGATGATAAAGTGGAAGTCGTCGTCGACGAAGAAAAAGTCGAATAAAGAACAATCTATGGCGCGCGTTGTTGATCGTTGTTTTTACAAAAGTAGATCATTATCAAAGATGCATAGGATAATTTAAACAACTATACTTACGCAAAATATTTGGTTACTATTGCATCTTTTTCTTCGAAAAACTTTTCCAGTGGAAAATTGCGAAAAAGCTCGATTGATCTGTTAAAGTTTGAGAGAGAAACATCATTAAAGAAAGATAAGTTAGTAGTAACAGTCACAGATTTGTTACCGAAACCATTAGTTGCCGGGGTGCCCTCCCCCTGAACTATAAGAAACCCTTATAACGCACGTGAAAATCTCCCTCGTCACGCGTGACTCTCACGTGCCAAGAGGGCGAGCCACTTCTTTTCCGCGTTGGCATGCCTAAAGGCAAGTTCAATCAGTTCGGCGCGTTTTGGAGTCGAAAGAAAATACGTAAGTTAGAAAAGACAATAGAAAGCCTCATTTTTGTAAGTGTTTTGTTGAGCAGATAATTGACTAAATGATGCGGAAAAGAATTCCGCTGGTTACGTAGAGCATGTCTCTCTAAGTTGCCTCTGATAAGGAAAATGTGGCACGATTTGATGTTCCTAAGTTAACGTTAAGTATTTTTGATTTTGCTGTGAATTCTTCATATGTCATTTTGGTGTTTATATCAAACAAAAAATTAAAAAAGCCCCCTGGATCTCTGTTTATATTTGTGTATACCAAGCACAATTGTTATTTATTTGAAACGCCTGGCTTATTAACGAGGAAGTCAGTTATACATGTAAGACGCTCTGTGGTGTATTCTATCGAAATTCATTAATCAACACGGTGGATGTCTTAGTCTGACAAGATATGTGTACTTATCAATCTGGCCTCGGTTGCTATCCACCGGATAAAAATCTATGCAGTGCCAGTAACGCAATTGATTTCCCTAATACTTATCCGCTGGATAGTGATTTATCCGGTCGATAGCGCTACCCAGCTTTTGAGCAACTAACCGGGGCTTGGTTTGAGTGTGACATTAGACAGTGTTAAATAGTTGTATCCAACGTTGAGTCAAACAACAATACCTTAATATTTCAATAGGAAGGCCGCTGTCGGGACTTGTACTCATGAGTTCCATAAAATCCTACAACCAAATATAAGTTAGATTGCTAAAATTAGATACAGAGGCAGACATGGACACCGTAAACAGTTTACCGCGATTTCTTCAGCCTGACAGTCCGAAAAATCATGAGCTCAATTCATCTCAAGTTAACCTCAATCTCATTTTCGTCCTTCGCTTAGCTTGCTTATTGCCGACTCGAAGTAAAACGTCAATGGAATTTGCTTCTTAGTCAGATGCATTTTTCATTGGATTAGAATGTGATTAGAAACAAATTACAAAGAGATCTATTTTACATCTCGCCTAATTTGACAGTTGAGATTTTGATTAGTGGATTGATTGATTATTTTGTCACTTTACGCATTGTTAATTAAACGCAAATGACAAAAGTAGACGGTGCGTGAAAAGCACTTACGCTTCTAGTTGTTTTATAAACATTAGCATTATAATTCCTCCCAAATATATTAATTATTTATGCAAATAGACGGGAAAAATTAATTAAAAATTAAAGGTAAAGCCGATGCCGCGGCCGGAAGTTACATCAGAGGACCTTACATGACGGCATATACCGACTGCTTAGCAACCAATCAAATCAAGACTCTGGGTCAACAAATGAAATGCTGTCTTAATCAAGGCTCAGTTTACCTCCCTATCCAGAACGAGTACTTCGACAGGCCCCTTGCAGATGAGTGAATGTTCCCTTTTTATACCATTCATTAATTCAACAGGCTGAAATCAAGAAAACGCATCAATGCAAGTTTTGTTTCTTTGGACGTGTATCTTGCTTCCGCTAACAAAACAAAGCCAGTAGCCTGTTCCAGGCTCTAACATAGCAGGGATGAGGCCCGGATGACGCGTAAGCGAAAGGCACGCGAAGATGATGAGCTTTTAGATCTGGAAAAGGGAGTCCGATCATCTGGGAGCCTGGAACAGGCTATGTCGCCAGCGATCCACTAACTCTGTGACCACTGGTAGCCCAAACTCGACATATGAGCATCGGAATTGTTCCGTAAGCTACTACGAATGTGAAAGGATTTAAACAAAAATTGTCTCACCCGTACTTAAGTTGAGTGTTTCTTCTTTCCTGTGTTAATACCAAGCCGCTGACTTATGGCCATTTTATGAGTTTATTGTAACCTTTTTGCTTTCTCTATAACCCTTTGCCACAGGCCAATCTTTATACAAATTCTTATACTTCAAAAGTTACACAACTATACCGATAATCGTATATCGAGCTTGAGCTAGCGGCGCAAATGAAGAAGAGGTGTTTGCTCGGCAAGACGATGCAAAATGAGTTTAGATATTTTCAGTTTGCGCTGCGCCACAATTTGCAGATTGGTTTTTCCGACGGAAGGATTTAGTGTAAGAGCACGCCCTCCCAGTTTTCATGGTAAGAGAAGGAAAGAGCGCGTGGAAGTCAAGCTTTAATTTTAAGGGGCAACTTACATCAGTAGTGTTTCCTTGCATCAGTTCCCCAAAAGACATCTTGGTGACACCAGCCGCTAAGTCATACATGCACACTTTACTAACTGGTGAAAAGAAAACGATAAATATTAGAATTTAGGTTACATCATCATCTGGAATACAAAATTAGAGTATCTAAAATAATCAGTAAACGGAACACTTCTCGATAAAAAATTGGTTAGGAGCGTACCGCCTTTCCCTTTGCAGCCTTTCTTATTGTAAGTCGCCCCATCCGGATTCCCGAACATGGGAAATTTTGGCTTGAGACATCCGTAGTCCTAGGCTTTGGAATCCTGAATTCAGTTCAAGAAATCTGCAATCCGGAATCAAAGTTCCACTCGCAAGGATTGCGGAATCCAGTGCTGACTTTGAATCCTGAATCCACATCCAAGACTGCCTTGGATGACCTCACATGAGGCATGCAAGGTTTAGTATGTTACTTCTGGTTCTATACTCTCCCTTGGCCTCTCATTAACACTTTGCTTAGCAGGCAGGTTACACAAAAATAGACAGGAATCTACAATACAATTTTTCATGTTCCTCGTTCCTACTTCCCCATTCTTAATGAGGAATATAAGGAAAGTAGGATGATTAGAGATTTTTAGGTAACTGACCGGCCTACCCCTCCCCAAGTCACAATTTTGCCTTAAGTGAGAATTAAGCGTTAATGTTGACTTAGGGGAGGGGTAGGTGGTCATTTACACAGAAACTTCCGAAAAATACAATAGCATGCATTACCTCTCCCAGAGAGTACATAATAAAACCTTTGAGGTGACCTTCCCTGACACGCAATGACTCTTCCATTGTCGTATCTAGAATAGAGAAAAGGAAACGATAAAAATCAAACTCAACATGTAGCCTTTGTTCCCACCCGTCGTTCCGGAGAATGGCCCCGGACTAGAGCGACGGAAATTGAGGCTAAACGCCACACTGCAAGATAAAGGAATTGAAATATAAATTGTTGATGTTAAAGAAACAGTAAAGACGTAGGGATTTATTGATGAGTTGGTTGGATTTTGCATGTACAGGCCTAATCCTTTGCCATTCTTGCTGTTCTCTTGCTGAATGTCAATAAATAGCCACAAGACTATTATCTATGATGTTTTAAAAGCCAAGAAGGAAACACTTACCTCTCATAGGCAACACAACGAGACAGATCGACCTCTCTTTCCAGCGGAAAAATCATGAACGCGCGCGTACTACGACACAGCCTCTGGACCTAACAAGCAAGTATTCAATGTTAATATCGATTTTAGAAAAAGGAATCACTTCATAATGCAGTGACATATCAGCCGTTATATAATTTCATGCCAAAAAAAAGGGGCGGTCTTTAATGACGATAAGAACCAACTCACATCAAACATGCAAGCGAGACTGGAATAACTATTTAATGAGACACTATGTTGTTATAGCGATAAGAACTACACAATTTTTGACTTGTGTCTTTACCTTTTTAAGACCTTCATTTGTTCTCGCCCGAGGCACTGAAGTTAGAATCTGTCGAAGCTCCTCTGAGATCTGATAGGAAAAAGAAGCGAAGTGATTAGCAAGTTTGTCTGTCACTACCCAGGGTACCAAAGGGTTTGTTTTCTCGTTTGTGGGTGGATGCTTCGGTGTCCGCCGAAGTCACGAGCGGCGAAGCCTCGAGAAAGAACAATGGGGCTTTTCGCTCGGCGGTCACTTTGACTGAAACCACTGATCCGAAGTGGTAAACAGAGAACCATTTGTGGATGTGCCACATTCACATTAATTTGAAGAAATTCACATTGGTTGACTAACACAGAAAAATCGGTGCTCTGATTGGTCTGAAATGTTGCCTCGTTAATTCCGTCAGCAAACAGTATTAAATTGTTTTGCCGGCCGGACAAGTTTCACCTTCCGATCGAATCACGCAAGTTGTATCACTGTATTGTTTAAGTTGCACGAGATAGACAGGCGACTGCAAAGCAACTTCTGAAGTCGCCTGTGCTTGTGAAAGTTACCGCAAAAAGTTAGTGTACAGTTGCTGTAAGTTGTACCTTGCTCTTTCCTTTAAATGTCCTTGAATCAAAGCCTATTCCCGCACCACTCTTCTGACTGCCTTTCCTAGCCGCGGCCGATTGAGCTGCGGAACCTTTGCCTTTACTGCTAGCATCAGGCTTTTTGTACCTTTACAAAATAACGAGAAAAAAAAAAACAAAAGCAAAAAACAAAAAACAAAGCTGACAAACAATATTGTATTTATGATAGTGCTACACTCTTTTCTTTTTACGAGAACGCCGTTTATCCGGCCCAGGCTGAATATTCTTATCTTTCTGCCGATTTTAGGCTGAAAGGTTTCATGTTTTTGTATTATTCTGAAACTGTTATAATTTAGTGTCTGACTTTTCCGTTTTAGAATGTTCGGGGCATAAATTGCAGTTAATCGTAATGGCTCGTTGTTTTTCTCTTTGGTGGCTAGTTTTGCCGTTTAGAGAAAGAAATAATTTCACTGTTAAATTAAAAACATATAATTGTATCGGTTTTAATTAACGGATTTTCAACACACAAAATTATATCCATTTCAGCCTTGGGTTTATTCTTATGATATTCTTCAGATTTTGCAAATTTTAGCCTCGATATTCTTATAAAATCAAGAGCCATAATGGGACCATTATGGCTCTTGCTTTTTCCAAGGTGGTTTAAAAAAGGGATTCCACGTATCAGTTTTTTTGTTATTTCTTGGTTTTAGCCTGCGTTACGAGACGAAGTGACGAGGTCATAACACTGAGTTTAGCTGCACCGTGATCAGGATCACAGTTTTACACAAGTGAATATAAACTTACTCAGCTGTTCATGTAAGAAGTGATTTGATACTCATATCGTCAAATTTGCAGATAAGACCCCATTTCATGACTTCTTCATAATTAAAGAAGAAGATTGACATTTTTGATTTATTGTGTATTAGCCGCCCTCGTGAGCAGTATACAGTTATATCCTAAGAAAAAGTTCTTTAATTTGCGAATACGCTGTCAAATAAAACTGTAAACGAAACCAAAGTGAGTTTACATTGTGTTTCTAAGGAAGCTTTAGCAGAAAAACTGACAGAACATTCGCTCTACCCTATTTACGAGATTAATTCAAATACCTTCTCCATCGCATACAAGATGAAACGAGGACGTGCACGACACGGGCGGCCCAGACGAACTTCTCGAAAGCCTGCGAAAGACAAAAACAGAAAATTATGTACACGGTGATAATAGTTCTATCCCAGGGCAATTATGTTTTATGCTCAAGGTTGTTCTTGTACCGGCTTTCACATTGCATGGATAGCACGATTCTAAATATTACAAAATTGTTTTCGTCACTTTACAAGGCTAACTGTAATGAACTTAGCAAAAATGAAACTAAAAATTGAATTCGTGTAACTTTTCTAACCGGCGTACCTTTTTCTTCCTTCCCATATTTGAAAATGCAAATTTTGAGGTTCGTTTGCTTTAAAAGATTTAAAAGTATGCTCAGGTCATTCTAGCCAAACTGACATCATGAAGTCGAACTTCTGAGACAACGGTAAATATTATGATAGGAACGAATGCTCCGTAGTCATTTATCCAGCTGTGTGCCACAAATGTTTTTCAGCGGGTTTGTGTGATGTTTATGCATGGAAGATGTACAGTTGTGGTTGTGAATAAAGGAAATTAAAAACGTTGTAGGTTGTCTTTTGTGATATCGGTAGGTATTAACAAGCATTGATGAAAGCTGTGAACTAATCTACCCCACGAAACATGACCGGAACTTGTTATTATGTTTACCAAAAAGAATAAAAAACATGGATTTTCGTGTAAAATTAACCAAATAATGAAGTCACCGCTATTTGCTCTCGATTTAATGATTTTTTTCTTTGATAGAAGCGCATAATATCAGATGTTTGAAAAATGAACTCTACAAAACCAAGTGGATTGATTAAAAATGAGAATAACAATGGCGAGGGCAATGTCCATTGTTAGAGTCGTGATTAACCATAAAAAGCGGTTTAAGTCTCTGAGTACCATACACGCAATTTCTCAATCTCGATCCGGGAGCTCTTCGGCGCATGAGTCAAAAGAGTACGTAAGTAAGCACTTAAAGTAAGCACTTTAAGTATAAAGCACTGGGGTCGAGAATCGCCATTTTCCCGGTTCAGTAAGTTCCAAACTGCGACTGCGCAGTCATCAGTTTGCGAGAAGTAAGCAAAGAAAACCCTGAAGTTACTAAGGTTACGAAACAGAAGATAAAACAAGAGAAGCATCAAGAAAAAGAAGAAGAAGAAGAAGAACAAAACAACAACAATGCAACAAAAACAAGAAATACGTGTATCATAACAATAATCATAATTTGTAATAATAATAATAATAATAATAATAACAATAATAGTAACCAAAACAACAACAACAAACTACTGCTACTACTACTACTACTACTACTGCTGCTGCTGCTACCACCTGTTACAATGTTAGCGTGCGCGTCCGTAAAACCTGAAGCGACGTTGCTGCCGGGTAGGCGGTTAACAAAGTATAAATGTCAACTTGGGTGCTTAGTCTCGCAGTGATTGAAATTAAACGTTTATTGTAAGTCACTCACGATTTTTCAATATTTCTAATCGGGTATTAATAACAGAAGTTCTTTCAAGACTTTATCACTCCGAACGCATAAGTAACTTACCGATAACTGAGAGTAGGTCCTTTCCTGTAGAAAAAAAAAGTAAAAGATTAAACTGATTCGAAGGGTGCCGCGTGCAAGAAGGTAGAGTAGCCGAGAGGTGACAGCTCCTGTACTTAGAATGGAGCCTCGAGTTCAAGTTTTGCCATGACCGCTGACTGGAATTGTTCACGGTAGTCTTGACAACTCGGTCACACTTGTTAAATAGCCAACTGGTTTGACCCAGGCCATGCAGTTGTGATTCTTATATTTTTCAAGTTTCTTTCAACTATTTGTTTTTGTCCTTATCTGTGGCCGCCATAATGTAGACTGCTGGGTTACTAGTGATTGTGTTAGCTCTGTAGAATCAATCTTATTTCATATGTTATTCAGGCTTCTAACATGTTCTAAAGCATGTAGAAACTGAAAACCACTTGAGACACTTCTGACGTGTTCCGAGCCGAAAAAAAACCTATCTCATTTGATAAGAATTTGCAACTCGGACAATTTCAAAGAAATTAAATTAAAAAAAAAAAGAATAGTCGGGTCACACTTCCATCCTACCCACAGACGCGCAAATAATTATCATTAGTTTAATACGAAACAACATGGCCTTCATTAGGCCAAATGATTTACTTGACGACTTGTTGATCTTGGGGATCAAATAATCGCTTTCCGTAATTAAATCACAATTATTTTAAAATGTTCATGTTTATTAAGTAAGAGTTTCAGTCGTCCAGTTGATGTTGTCGTTCAGGATTTTGATAATCGAATAAAGCAAAATTGGCGTTTACTAGAACCACCCTGTGTGGGCAATTATAGGGAAAAGTCGACAGAAAAAGACTGCGATGGGGCCGCAAGTATATATGATCTCGACAAAAAAAGCTGAAATCAAGATATCCAGGAACGTGCTAAATTACTTTACTGTACAACAGATTGTACAACGCGTTTCCACTTGAGAGAGCAGAGAGCTCTGACCCGATACAATCAGCACGTGTAAAGTCAAACGGCTGCATTAAATAAAGTTGAATATTTACTTGTCGTCTTGAACTAAAGTAAGACTGAAGCAACCACTCACCTCAATGCTATCGAGTCTTTGATTAGTTTTCTTTACGAGAGCTGTGACAAGTAATGGCGCCTCTACTGCGCTTTGACTTTCTCGTCGAAATTTCTGGAGCTCTTGAACTCGCCTCTCTATTTCAGCTGAAGTTTTCCGAGACTCCGCGCTTGGTTGGATAGTAGCAATTTTATCTTTGCGATCTTTACGGGGTAAAATTGGCTTCGGTAGTTTGGGAATTGCCTGATCTTCGTTGTCAAAGTTTATATCAATGTTAATGATGGACTTGTCGTAAGCCATTCCAGCCTTTGACTTGAAGATCAAATTGGTGATCCTGTGTAAAAAGTCGTAAGATGTAGAGTCCATTATTTGCGCGAAAGGTGGAATAGAAGCTTTTCTGATTAAGTCTTCCATTAAGGATCGTGAGTAGATGGCCCTGAACTTTGGATGAAAAGCAACGTCACGACCTTAGATCTCTTGTCGCTTTTTCTGTCAGTCAGGATTTATATTTCGAGCATTGATATGTCCTTATAAAATACCCCTCTAACTCTTGGTCAAACAAACATAAGTATCAAACTACAAGTTTGGGAACAAATGATTTTACAATTACTGAGTAATTTTAATCTTTCACTTCAACCACTTTTTGTCTCTCTGTAAAGTAAGGAAAAATAAAAATATATAGTCACTGTCTTGTGTGACTGGACTCACCTTTTAAGCCCAAAATCCTGACCGCTTCCATAGCAACCTACAGAGACGTTTTCACTTCCACAAGAACTCTCTGTATTGCCAAAAAATCTTCATAACTTTTGCTTCTGATTGCTACCGTATGATGCCGATATTCCGTTCTCTATTTTCCGCCTTCCCTGCCACTTAGCTGTTCATCTTAGCAACATACGAAAACAGTCGACGTACGTAAGAAGGAATTCGAGAGCTATAATGGAAATTACTTTCGTGGTATTTGCTTGAGTGAATAAGTTTGATAAGAGGTCAAGGGATCACTTCGCGAGTGAGTAAACACAAAGTGTGTTGACTGTTCAATTTACGTTGTGCAAGAATAATAATTATCAAAAAAACACTTTACTAGACACAAAAGATAACACAGAACAAAAAATTTTGAATCATAATGATATCGTTTGCTGTTTTGCCCTCTGGGGAAACGGCGTGTTTTTCAAAAAACAAAGCAATTACCCTGGTGTAAAACACTTCTTGTTTGTTTGTGATTTCGCGGCTTGCTGATAAAAGAATCCCGCGGAATTATGTACCAGAAATCAATAATTACTTTTCCATGGGGAGAAAAATGGATTAATTAAAGTAACATAATTCAATGATGAATCCTTAGATGATTTTACTCGAAAGGATACTGCACTTTAGCCTTAAAAGTTGAGACTTTGCCGTATAACGTTAAGCTTTCTTGAGTACTGCATGTTTTGTACAATATACTTTTATGTGAAGCTAGATTTGTTTATTTGTGTTGATCGTAACGTCGTAACGTCGAGCGTTGTTTGCTTCGACATGTTTACTCACGAGTTTATAAGTTCGCCCACGCGTGACGTACTCGCTTCGTGGCTCTCGCGCCAATAGTCTAGGGCCCTTATATGGGTTGGAAAAGGCGAGCACCTTTATAAATTCTATGCGAGTTTTAGAAGAGAAAATCTTCAGCTTCAAAGGTGATTTGAAAACAAAACAAAAAACATCATTTTCAATTTGCGACGTGAGTACGGTGGAAGACAAAACTTGCAATAATTGGTTTCAGTCTTGCACTATTGTATAGGACTAAAGGGTAAAAACTCGAAGTGCTTTTTCTCTATTTTCTATGATTTAATCCGAAAAACCTTGAGCTGCTTAAAACTTCCCGAGCTCTTTGGCTTACTTCGATAACTCATTATTGTGTCTTTCTTAATTTGTCGAGTATTTATTAAAAATGTTTTATTAATGGCTTTTGTAGATGTATTTGAGCTCGAATAAGCAAGAGATGGTGGACCAAAAATGCCCGGGGGGGACTCCCATATGAAAGGGGTGGGGATGCTCGTCGGAACTTTTGAATTAAACCCGTAATGGAGACCAATCTAGGTGTGGCCCCCAATTTTTTTGACCCCTAAAAGCGATCATTTTAAACTTTGATTACATAAATAGAACAAATAAAACGAATTGAAAATATATAATTTTTTTAATATTTCTTCGAGAGCAACCCTAAAAGAGGCCTTTACGGCTAAATATAATTGTTTTTCGCCCAGAACACCCTAAGCGAAACTAAAATCTGAAATTTACACCTCTAAGCGAGACGACGAGCATCCCCGCCCCTTTCATATTAGAGTCCCCCTCCCCCGGGGCAAAAATGACAGTGCTAGCAGATCAAAACAAATGCAGAATGTGGGGTACTGGTTGCAATAGGAAGCAGCAAATAGGGCAGCATATCCGTGGTACCTGGACATGTCTTTGCAAGAGCGATTTGCGCGTGTTTCTGAACGCTTTGCTTTCCGGCTTTCCGCCGATTGTCCATCAACGGAGCCATAATGGGTCCCATTATTACTATACAATACAAAACCTTTATTTCAACATAAAAAGGAAAAAAGCTGAGTTACCCCGAAGGTCGTCGAAGAAATGTGGCTTAAGTTTGACAAGATGCAGTAATATTGTAACCTAAAACTATTTCTTTAGAGCATGAATTGAATGGTGACTTCCCTTCTAAAAAAATGTTCACTGACACCTTTTCTGTTTCTGAACCTTCTGGTAAACTTTGTAAACTTCGCTCAATAATACTATATCTCCCATCACTCTACGTCCTAGCTAAAATATACCGGGGTCAGTGTACCAAGACCTTCCAACGAAGCCAAATGCATTATCTCGGCTAACAGAAGAACCAATTCATTAACTACGCATGCGCAAATAATCACTGCCCCTCCTGAACCATAACGATGAGAATCAACAAATAGCACGGGGCCGTCTTTCTCGAGTAGAAATACCCCTGTTCTATAATCTTTGATGAATATTACAGCTTGTCGTCGTTCGTCAAGTCTCCGTAATCTTTCAAGCTGAAAAAGAACCGTAGCCGTCTCCGTTTCCGATATGAAGCTTACTGGCAGCGAGCTGCCGAGGTTTTTAATCTGCAACGCACTTCCGAACTCTTCCGATACATCTTCCACTGAGAGATAAATCTCTCCTTGCTGTTTAGAGTTTACAAGCTTGTCGTATAACCGGTTCCCTTCGGCAATACAGCTGCTAAGCAAATTAATCCAATCCTCGCTCAGGTTTCCTGTCTGTAAAGACTCTCTGTCACGTGACTCCTCTCCAGTCGGTCGTTTCCAAGACTCGGTTGCTCGCGGGTTGCGCTCATCCCCAGTCCGTTGCTCGAGTTTTCGTGATAAGCCGATGGCGGGCACTGTAATATCACTACAACAAAACGCCCGCGCAATCAATACAGCGATTATAGTGCAGGCGTTGCTTCCATTTCTCCCGCCGTAGCAAGACTGAGAAATCTCTCTTGGAAAATGGTAAAGAATCATGGAAGTCTCTCTTATTGTCTTGCATTTAACTGCCAATTCGTCCGCGTGCGGAATATGTGAAGCGTGAAAATCTTCTTTCTCGCCTTGAAAGTCAGATTTCAGCATCTTACAAGCCACCGAAAAATCAATTTCACTGAGATGAAAATCCGTCTTCTTGGAGACGTCCTTATGGCTTCTGTCGTGGTATTTCTCGTCGGCAGGAGGAGAATTCTGATTTCTAAAATTTTTTCCCTGCGCCATACTAGAATACTGTGTTTGACTATGCATGGTGATTGAGTCCTTTGTCATTATGGCGTAGAGCATTAAGCAAATATACAGCAAAATAGGAAGGAAACACATTACCATGGTTACTATTTGAGCTGGTTTCCAATTAAACTTGAGCCCAGTAAGTACGCGCACAGGATGGTCACTCCTTGAAATCTGGTTAATAACCGGTCCGTACCAGTTTGTCATAGTTGTTAGCATATACAAAGACGCAGTAAACATTAGAAAGTGAAATGCAGGATAGCTGTATTGTGACTCAGCATCGTTCTTCGTTTGACAATTTGATCCTTGATGCATTTCGTTTGTAAAATTTACGCCTCTGAGAAGTCCAAACGTAAAAGAACTTTCTTTATTTCGTAAGCACTCATAGAACAGTACCGTGTGCGTAGTTAAGGTGGCTACAATAATTCTCCAGTTTACTCCAATTGGAAGATTCTTTGCGGAGAGCAGGGATGCTTCAAAGTTACATACGGGATTGTCTTGCGCCGAAAGCGCAATAACCATGAGTAAAACCGAGAGAAAAGTTACTACTGCGCATGGCAAAAAAATAACCGCTGGATGAAGGTTTGGTCTAATTCGTGGATGCAAAGAGATGGCAAAACCGACGAAACATGCTCCCAAGGTTAGCGCCATAAAAACGTCGTTCCACGTACAGTCTTGTCTTGCTGTAGAGACAACTATGTAGCCGATAAGACTAAAACTAACGACAAATAACTCGAAAGACTTCAGCGTAATCATAACTTTTATAACGCTGGGAGATATTTTACATCTGTGCTTGTTTTGTTCCTTCATTGTTGTCGCTAGTGTCACGGAAGCCTCTGCGAGGTCAACGGCCAAACAAAACTGGAAGACGAGAAATATAGAGGCGCCAATCAGTGCAATGTAGGAAGTATAAACAATAAAATTATTTTGTTGGGGTATGAAGAAACTCGCTGTAGCAAAACCTGCGAAGACCATGAGCTTGAATATCCAACAACGGTTGTGCAGGAGCTCGCGAAATTCTTGGACGTTTGGAAGCAAAGAGCACGTTAAGAAGAAATGATACAATGCACTGGCCAGAAATACGCGATGAACTATTTCGAAGCTTACAACTTCGTGGCATGCCCTTTTGTTAAAAACAATGTGGCACTTAAACATTCCCTTGATAAACGTGGTGTCCATTAGTTTGTCCTTAATACCAGGTGCTAAGAGAAGTAATATTCCAATCGTCCACAAAAGAAAACAACACTCGTAAATAATCCGAGATCGCTTGGACATCCTATGAGGCACTCACGGGGTTTTGCGAGCGAGCGCGCCGCGTAACGTTCAACGTTTGAATTGTGTCCGTGAATCTCTGCGTGATCTCACGACATTTCAGATATGGCGTAACCATATGTGATAGCTTCAAGGAGGACAAAGTCTTGACAGAATTAATCTGCCACAATGTATTCATTCAAGTGACACAAAACCTGCTATACGATTGTCGTTGAATCAAAAATGGTTTTAGCTTTCTGGCGTGGTAGACACATCGTGATTTTGGTCGTATGCCAGTTGTCTTCTTGGACAGGACGAAATCGAATCGTTATTTTAGCCTCACAAACAATTTTTCTATAAAAGGGATATACCATGGAAACGACATTTTCTATTTTTCTTTTAAGTATGTTATTTCTACATGAAATATTAGGTGTATTAAACGCAAATCTTCTCAGTATTTACTGATCTTAGTAGCAGGTGTTAGGATAGAATAGACCCGTTATAAACAGGTCTTTTACGCCGGTAAACTTAGACTACAATTGACCTGTCATTTATAAAATTAACCGTTTATTCTCCAGACTCACTTTTAAGTCAATTTTCAGTCTTTTCTAACTTGACTTAAGTCACACGCAAATTCAGCGAACGCATTACTACTGCAATCGTATAAAGACATGGGCGACGGAAAACAATGCGAACTTTAACAGCTTTGTAATGAAGTGAACAACAAACGAACTACAAACACTAGTTTTTCGAAGAGGAATGGTACTAGAGGGGCGGGGCAGGAATTTGAATAGGTTATCCTTTCCTCTTACTACACTTTTCTCTACTTACTTTCCTTCAGCGCAAAAGAGATTTCACGATTCTCCCCCATTGCATAAGCATGTTTTCGTAGTCTAGCATTGGCCTCAAACTCGACTTAAGACATCTAATTTTGCGCAGCGGGGTAAAGCTACACTTTGGTGATCATGGTACCACTTTTTACATGTATTTCTAATTCTAAGTGAGTTCTGCGCAGATTTCACGCATGTTTAGCGTTGCTTCGCCATATAAATACTCATTGGTAAAAAAGCGAGTTCATAGCATTATAAAAGAACGTACAAAGCACTACGCCCTCAGTCTTTAAAGTCAAGCCACTTTGCGGCGCGGTGTCTCCCTAGTTTTGTTTCCCTCAAGCCTGTTGTCTTTGTTTTTTCTGGTTCAATCGGTAGCAAGAAGCCAGACTTAGATCAACAATAAGCACAATAAGCATCGTAAACCGGGCTGATCGTCGGCTGCTAATCGATGACACCTCGGTCACTAGTGATGTATTATGGACAACTTCTTCCTCTCTCACAGCCTCATGGTGTCTGGTTCTTTCGAAGAGTGCGCACTCCCCATGATTTTTACTATGTCGGCGATTCTCTTCATTTCCTTCACCGCTTGTCGGCTGGCAAGAAGTATTTTGGTGTTGACATGTGGTAATGATGCTGCCAGGCGGAGTAATGACCTTTGTAGAAAGACCCAAACCTGAGGAACAAGATAAAAAAGAAATCAGAAATAAATAGATAAAAGGAATCACTTGCATTGCAAAAATTGAAGTTATGATATGGTACCGATTAAAATAATTTTAAATTTCATTCCACTTCGTTCAGTCAAGATTTATAATACACGTGGTATAGAAGTTTGTGGTTTAGGGATTCACTCTGATAAAGTTCTGTTTTGTCTATGGTGCAGAATGGTGCCCCCACTAGGGAGCCTCTCTTTATAGGAAACCCCTAACCAACGAAAACTTTAGAGGGCTTAAGCAAAAGTGTCTCCTTGCCGCATCAACGCACGTCAACCCGGCGGAAGAGGATTTTTTGCATGCTTGGACAGTAGTTGTGCCCAAATATTAGAGAGTTCAAGCTTCGCGTATACAGCAAACGACAAACGTCAGATTCAAGCTGAGAATTTCTCAAAATAGAAAATGAGCACATAAAAACAGCTCAAAACGATTCTTATGGATAAAAAATTGCGTGAAACTACTAGTTTACGTGTAGAAGTAATGAACAGTAAACGACAAGTACAGGGGAAACTTGGTAACGTGGTACAAATCCGCGCTTGCCGTTGGACGTCTCTACAAATCGTCTCTACAAGACTAAAGACACTAAGCACTTCAAATTTGGAAGCGTCATGGCATGATAGAGGGGAAAAGGATTCACTTCCCGGGTTGATGTGCGTCGCTCAAAAACGCTTTTGCTTAAGCTCTCTTTTGTAGTTTTTGTCACCTGTTGGAAAATCTAACGTCGTTGGGGACATCTTTAGCACTTGTGGTAAGAACGTCGTTATCCCGGTATGGTTTGCCTGGGGAAGGGATACGAAACTTGGCCATTTGAACCTCGGTGTCACTAAGTCCTCCATGGGAGATTCGCGCATATCCTAGACGAATAAGCCCGCGGTACATGATGTATTCACACCAGCGGTCAGAGTCCGTTTCGTCAATGTCCTAGAAGTGTGAACAAAACAAACCAAATCAATAAATGAATGAGAAAGTAAACAAATTGAGTTGTCAGCACATCGTCAAACTTGGTGAAACAGCTGAGCGAGTAAAGCGAAATGGGGTTATTCTCCCTCGCAGCCTCTCGGACAGGAGTGACGCGAGTCACACAGGAGACTATAACGGGGTGGACTTGGTCACAATTTATATAGAAACGTAGACATCCGACCCAGATGTCAACTGAAAAAAAGTTAAACTTTAATTCATAGCATGCAATCTTTCAAGTTTTTTCTGACTGAGGGAACACTGTGTGTGCTGGCTAAGAATTCTCTCTTCACTATCCCTGCTGGCTAAGAATTCTCTCTTCACTATCCCTGGGGATTTCCTCTTTCGTCAGTTCGTAATTGGTATATTTTTCTGTATTTTTGTATGTCGTTATTTCCATTAAAAAAAATATCATGGGACTTAGACTACGAGCAGTCTCTCTTTTTTCTTGGTCCTTCGAACAAAACGCCCGAGACACTCAAATGACCACGCGCGTGACTGAAGATGCGAGACGGGAGAGGCACGACGCCCTCGTTTCTCGCCTCTCGCGGCTTCGCCGCTCAACGCTCGCGCGCGCGTGCACTCCCCTTACTAAATCTGAAGAAAAAGAGAGGTTGCTCGCAGTCTACTTGGGACTTAAAAGGTACTATAACCTCTGTGAACTGTATAGGACCCCAACAAATCATCATTAATCATTTGACGACGTAGTAGAACTGCCTTATAACACAATTCATAAAAGAAAAAGCAAAATGAGTTCATATTTACCTTGGTTCGACCCTTCTCTATCAGTGTGCGGTAATCTCGACTCTTCGGAGATGAAGTCACATATCCCAGAAATACCACAGGGTTAGGACTACAATGACCAAACGTGTCAACATTATAAAAAGCGATTGTTAACAACTTTCTTGGGGTTATGTGGAACGTACGTCTTTAAGGTTTGAGATTCCATTTGAACTTGGGCATCAATGTAATAAAGAAGAATGGAAAAACAAAAAGGAATGTCGGTCGTTTGGCCTACAAGTTGTTTCGCCTAGACTGAGGTCGACTCGCCTAGATGATTTTAACTGCTTCATAGACGTTTTATAATCGTCGCTAAAGAAATATTACAAAATGCAGCCGGATTTGAGAGGGATTTTGCGATTTATTTTGTCACACAAATGAACAAGCTCATACCTCTCATCCATAATCCTGGCTAGTTCTTGAGCCTGAAGCTTACGATCCAAGTTATCGCTGTAGCATCGTACATGAAACGAAAAATGACTTAAACAATATATTTAACCAGAAATAGCTGATACTACAAGTAACTCTTCCAAGCTGCGGCTACTTAACCCTTTAGGCCCAACTGATCCACATACAAATTCTCTAAACTGCTTTCCATACATTTCTTTAAAGAATAAGTCGAGAGAATTTGCTTAAAGATCAACGCATTTTCCCGTAGGTGATCATTTTATTCATTCCCAGCGATGGACTAACAACCCACCCAGGAGTGAGTGGAAATGCCGCTAGGTATTTCTGCAGAATATATCCATATATCCTGTGTGGCAGGCCCATAAAAAGGAGGGAGAGGGGGAGGGGAGAAAAAAGTGAAAGGGAAAAGGGAATCTCTCTCCCTTTTCTCCTCCTCCCCTCTTCCTTTCGACTCCTGCCACGCAGGCTATTATGGTTATAACAACAATCCACGCTAGTTCAAAGACCAACCTCATTCCCAGGTTCTCTCTTGCTCCGTAGGGATGGGTAGGAGGGAAGCCTGGGAATTCGGTCGGCTCAAAGACTTAATTTGTTAACTCAACGGGCACATATTTGCTCACCGATCATTTCCCATGTGAACAACAACAAAGTCGACCAGGTCACCAGTGATGTTGATTGTCGCACTTAAAGCTGGAGCTAGTTCTCCTATTACATGAAGAAGAGAATACGCAAAAAACACGATTAATTTTTTGTAACAGTATACAATCCACATAATAATCTCTTACAGGGATCATTTAGCCAGTTGCAAAATGGAAGATACAGCCAAGCACAAAGCACAAGGTTATGAAGAAAGTTGCAACCTATCTCAGGTGAAGAAGAAAGTTACGTCTTGTGCTACTTGGTTGGTTGTGAGGCAGTTTGTTGTTGGTAGTTTAATAAAATGTTAGTAAATCAGAAATTATAATATTATTATACTGCCTTGACTTGTCTCACCTTCGGGAGATGGAAGTAAATGATGATGGGACTTTACTATTGGGTATTTGGACAGCAAAGTGGCCCTAGGAAAAAAATATAGATATATAAATAACCACTAGGGCAGTGATTTTGATTTTTACTACATTAGTATATGATGATCTTATTTGGAGTATTCAGCACTGGCTGACAAGATTAAGCATGAGTTGCTGTAAAAATCCTGGGTTTCAAACACAGGCACAATAGGGACTGGATAACAAGTGTTTTCAAGCAAAAAGACATACATGTATTATGCAACCCATGTTCTACAAAACAACCTGGCAGTAGATCATCTCTATAGAGTTCAGGAAAATGACAAAGCTGTTTTAAAGCATATCAATTATTTTTATGAATTGTTGAAGAGATAACAGCGAAAAAGGGCCAGGTGACTTTGGATCAACCTCTAGAATTTGACATGAGACCAGAAGTCACTTCCCTTAGGTCTTTTTCAACACCATCCCCCCCACCCCCTTGTATGAGCTGAGCTGATGGTTTTTGCAACGTTCAAATTTTCGAGTTTACAGCCACAGTTAGAGTTATTACTGAGTGGTAATATATAGTCTGATTTATGAGATTTAGGCAGCATGGGGCAATTAGCAATTTATAGGATTTGAATATTCACTCCTCAGCATTTTGCTTTGAGAGGGAAAATTAGTTATCATTTTTAAGGTTACAGGTTTCAGTCAGGACCTTACCCCCATGTATGATCTCTGGTAGAGGGCCCAAAATCAGAGTACATTCCAAGTCTTTCCTCAAACCATGTTGCTAGATCATGATTCCCTAGATAAGGCTTAGAACAGTCACTTTCTAGAAAACCAACCACATCAGCACCTAAGAAAAATATAAAAGGGCAGGTCAGTTAGTGCAACCAACCACATGAGGGTGGTTGTGTGTGTGTGGGCGGGATAGACAGCTGAAGTGTCTAGTAGGGGGGAAGGGAGAGGAGTAATGGTTATTTGGGGTCTGTGTAGACTGGAGGGATGGGGGAGAGGTTGAATGTGTGAGCAGAGCCCAAAAGCTGTGGTGAGAGCAGAAAAACTGGAAACAGGGGGGACAGCAAGGGTTTGTCTGAACTGTCTAGTTTGCACGCCAAATTTACACTCTGTTTGATAGGGGGATGGGAGAATGGTGAAGAGTAATATTTGAAATGGAAGCAGGAAAAATAATACTAATAAAAAACAGGAATACTGTGCTGAAAGACGAAGACAAACACTAAAAGAAATCTGAGTTTGGACTCTAGTCCAAGAAGCCTTGAAATTTTTTTAAACCTTTCACTAAGAGAAAACATACCAGTGTCATTTATCATCTGTGCAGCTCTCTCAAAACTGGGCCAGCCAACATTATCATATGCAAAATGGACTGTCCAGATCATGGCAGAAAACTTTTTCTGTTCCTGTTAAGACAACAAAGAAGCGCAGTATCATTATCAATATGCTACTTTATTACCACAAACAGCTCTCTCTTGCACATGACTTTGTAAGACAAAAACCTCTGTGCAATGAACATCTAAGTTGTCCCTGGTCCCTTTACTTTGACTCTCCCAAAACCTTATTCCTTGATGGTAATTACTAACCTCTTGAGCGGGTGTGAGGTACTCATGTCTTTGATATCGCATTCCCATAAGAACAGACGATGCAATCAAGAGACAAAATAGGACTACACAGAAATACAACAAACACAATCAAATTAATCATTAGTCCAGGGACGCTTTCTTGACTTGATTACACAAAAAATGGCACTCAAATGAAATCAAATCTGGTTACACACTTGACAAAATATTCTCAAGAGGCATTCAACAAGAATAATCACCAAAGCACAAATAATACCAGTTTTACCTGGAATTACATGAGTCTTGAAAAACCAAAATCGATCTCCATGCTCCTCTAGAAAAGCTACGTTATTGAACTTGACTGCAACAGCTTTTTTGTTTGGAGACGACTTTCCATCAGAACTTTTCTGATCACTGCTGGCTTTCTCTTCTTTTTTCATTTTACCGTATGCTTCCTTAACATCCGGTGTTGATGCAGTCATTAAGGCAAGCCCTTATTTTCAGAACAACAACAAAAATACCAAAATGTTAAGGTTACTGTTCAATGTACAATTATGAAGACAAATGACAAATTAGTTTAGCAGCCAAAAATTGTCCTTCTAGTGGCAGTAAGTATCTTGAGCCCTGCATTCCTTAACAATATTGATCTAACATTTTGGATCCGGAAAGCAAGAATTTCATTGCCGCAGTGTTTTAATAATTTTCAAATGAGGTTGATTTGAGAGTTAGTGTAAAATTCAAAGGCGAAGACACAAAACTGGATTGGTCTACAAGCTTGTGCTACATTGCAATGCGTACATGTAACATTCTGATTTATAAATGATAATGCAGCCACTCCAGGCCTGAAAATTTATTGAGTCTTTTGAGAATTGAGCTCCTAGACACATGAGTTATAAAACCAGGGGGTTTAAAGAAAATCAAGTTACCAGCTTACCATTCTTTTGGGCAAGTCATAACTAGATGCATGGTAGCCAGAGAGAAGTAAACAGCTGATATTTTGCGATGCGATCCCTGGCTTCCCTGCAAAATGATGCCTGAGGACAAGTGAAGAAATTTGATACTGAAATGTCCCTACCCAGATCTGGGTAGTGCTTCCAATAATAACTATTGGTTGAAGTAAATGTCACATGCATAACAACCAATGAGAAGCATTTTTCAAATCTGGGTAGTGACTGGTAATGAGTATGCAAGTTCTGTGCTCGTTCCTCCGGTGTCATTTCGTGGGGAACCAGTGGTGTTGATGTGAAATGTGGGCTGTTTTCTCAGGCTACAATGGTGCAGGGCACTAGCATTACGTGCAATTTGACACCCTTATCTGTTGGCTAAAAACAACAAAAATTTCCTAGCAAATTACCAAATTACCGACAAAAATCACTTTTGACCTACCAATTAATACCATGGTAATTCCTAACAATACATGTGTCCTTTCTCTTGTGTATTCTCCTCCCGGAACAAAATTGTAAGCCACTACCCACACTGATCCCAGTGTAAGAACTATGTACACCACATTAGCCAAAGTTAGTGTCCGTGCAACAGGACGGCAAAACAGTCTGTCAATCATAGCTGGCCAAACCGACATGGTGTAGACACCAAGAATGAGTCCGCCGATGAATGACCAAAAACGAGGAGCAAAGTATAACATGGCAGCACCAGCTGAGCCAATTAACCACCACAACAAATTACTAGTCCAGTGTTGACGAGATAGGAGAACTCCGACTCCTAGAGCAATGACTACAGCGGCTCTGATACAATAATAAGAAAAGAAATTTGAAAAGGTAGTTTTTATGCATAGCATGCCCATGTTTTCATATTTGTGCTTGAATTGGTCATAACAAAATATGTACATGATATTTTGTGCATGAATTGGTCTATCATCTTTTGTTTGTGAACCAAGAATAAGTCAGGTTATCTGCTTTTGTTTAAAACCAAGAATGGGCAAATAAATTTCCAAACTTTGTATGTATGAATTCCACATCTTACATTGCTCCAAGTTCACCTTTTGAAAGTCACTATTAGCAATCTAGAATTAGAAAATGGTTGCCAGACATTATTAAGATATTAATGTGAAATCAACAAAGTAGGTCTTGTCCAAAATGTGCCATAAGTGACTATAAAATAATGATTAATAATTGGGATCAACATAGACCATGGAAGGTGCCAGTATCCAAGTTTGTGCCTTAGTGAGGAGTTAATTTTCATCAAGATGTTCTACATGCTATTTGCACATCTTAAAGTTCTGGCTTGGCAATACAATCCTTTGAGAAAATAATGGAAATAATTAAACAGAAAAATTCCCCTAGCCACCCCCTACCCCCCAGTTACCAGTTTATAAGAATATATATTATTCTCCTCTGATTAAATGTTAGAAGCAAATTTTAACATAATATTGTACCTACCCCCATGGATTAGGCTTGGGACCTGTATCTGGATACCCTGATACAGCCCAGCGACAAACAAGAGACACTTCACCAAACACATCATGTGTGAGGAACATCAAAGCACCAAAACCTAATGCCACTAACAGCCACCCAGGACCTGACACTCTTGAGTCTTGGGGCTCAGTTGGTGACTTTGATGGAGGACCTGACTGAGAAATGGACATCATATAGCCAGTATATACTCTGTCCATTGTTGCAATAACAGCAATAAGAAGAATGACCCTGTTACTTGTGACATCTGACCAGATTGGGTTGACGGTGATGTATGAAATGCGCAGTGTCAGCAACAGAAAGAAGCCCAAGACTAATCCCCAGAAGGACAAAACCCTGAAATTTAAATTGAACCAAAAAAAAAATTATACACTGTTTTTGAAAAAAATGGGTTATTGAATTAGCACAAATAATAAACAATATCTTATTTGATGAGGGTTTCGTGATATCCTAAATAATCAAGGTTGAGGCAAGTGTTATCAGGTGAGCTGAAGGCTGAGGCTGATTACACTAACCGAAGACCTTGATTATTTAGGATATCACAAAAACCAAATCTAATAATAAAAATTATTTTAGATCTGTGTGATGTGCTAATTCTGAGCTATTTAAAACGAAATCCTGAGGAACTTCTGATGAGGTGCTAGACTCTTCCTTCCAAGTGTTTTGCATTTACTTGCGAAACAAAGGGAGAATTGACAAGTCAAACATTACATGCCTTTATACAAACCTTTTGACGACAAAACTACAGTAAGTGCTAATATGAGTCATTTAGAACTCATACATGTACGGAGCACTTACGATTGCCAAAAAGAAAGGTGATCTAACAGAGACAATCAAGAATTTTGTCCAACTAGAACCTTCATTAAGCGTGCTACCTTTAATTACCTCTCCTTAGGATCTTTGTTCCAGATCATTCCACAAAACCAAAGCATTGCTGTTCCACAGCCAAATGCTAACATTATTAGTCTGATGAGAGTTGTGGGAGCTTGGAAAGAAGCAACACCAACTAAAGAAAGAACTCGCCAAAATGCTAAGCCATGTATGGTCCCTGAAAACTGCAGAAGAGCACTAAACCCAGTAAATATTGGTGATAGAACTGTAACCACAAATGCCTCATAACCTGAAATTTCCAACTCATTCAGTGGATAGAACCAAATCATCGGAGCAATTCCATGAATCAGAGACCACCATGTGTATCCTATTAATACATTAAATGAACAAAATCAGACTATTAGATTTAAAAAATGGAATCTGATCTAAAGATAAAATCAAACCACAATTGACGAAGCCATGTTTTCAACCATGTCTTCAGTACAGATCTAAAAACATACCTATTCACTTGCTAACCTTGATGTTAACAATGGTCAAACACTAACATTCTATAGTTGTTTATCGTTCATTATCCTGATTTCAAGGAAAATATTCCTAACCTAGAATCATTTCTGCCCCTAGCTCCCGAATGGTGTATGTGAATTCGATCACTTCTTCGGCGATTTCTGCAGTCTCCTCGTCAACAAATTCATCTTCCGAACCTTCAGGAATAACAGTCTCGTACTCTTCCACCTCTTCCCAAGGATCTGTAGCTCCCTCTACCAGGCTTTGAGCCCTGTGACGGAGCTCTTTTCGCCGTCTTCGAAGGCTTTTTTGTGGAGAACTTTTCACGGGTGCAGCCTCCTCCGCCATGTTGGAGGACAGATTGCGGCCTGGGCCAGAGGATGGGCCAGCGGTATCTAAGATAGCGGAAACCTCAGAATACAGTTACCGCTTCATGTATGTTTGAAGAGCATCATGGGAAGTGAATGTGGCGCGTATGCAGTTGAAACCAGTCGAAGGAGCTTTGATCTATTTATATTTCATTGCAATATTCCAAGAATACTTTTCCTTCGTTTATAAAACGATCGTGGCTTAGTTACATGGACATTCAGAGAGGACATTGCCTCAAGACGTTAACCGTGCAGTAGGACTGCAAATCAGATATCTTGATATAAATTCCACTTTATCATCACGCGTGATTGTCAATTTTGTCAAGCTCAACTTTCCATCGGTCAGACTTCCTTCTTACTCAGATTGTTTGGATTGGACTTCAACATGTTTTCGTCCTCTGCGACACCGTTTGGAACTGGTTCTGGCTTTGGAACAGGAACAAGTAAGTTGTTTTTTCTATTTATATCAAATCAAAGTGTATACAAAATGTTCTTGACAAGTCAGCGGTTGTAATACTCTGCTATGTCTTCTTCGCAACTTTCACTTTTCCTTGTTGTCGTTTAAATCAGAAAAGATTATTTGTCATGGTTTCTGTATGATCGCGTTCAGATATGGTTTTTCCACGGTAGTCTATCTTTGTGTGGTTGTTGAGAACAGAGTGACTTTTGTCACACTAGCCATAAATAACAGACCAGTCCCTATCAGTACTGGCCTTCAGTTGATTTTCACCTTGGATGTAATCAAAATTGAAACTCATTTCTTATGATTGTCATGGTTTTAATGATTAACACATATACAGCTTGAAGGTATGTGGTCAACTCGTCCCAAGGTCAGATCGATCTACGCCAGATTGTTCCACTTAATAGTCAGATCATTCCACAATATAGTTAGCACTTTTCACGAGTCTTTAGCAAGCAGAAAGAAGGGGTAACTCAAACTTCGCATCAAGTTTTACACTGAAACTGTGGAATGATCTGACAGTAAAATGGAATTGATCTGGCTTGGAATGATCTGACCATGGGACGAAGTGACTGTAAAATTGCCTTTGCACTCATGAAGGTTGAGATTTTTACATGGATTTTATCATTCACATTTGTAGCTTTTGGAGGTCAGAAAACAGGAACACAGTTTGGTACCACAGGTTGGTTTTAGACAGTGAGGATTTATCATTTTCACTCTTTGCTAATCATCTTGTCATTTTCATCCCATCATCTTGAATATCATAATCATGTATTTTACTACGCATTAACCTTCTTATTCTTCTTTCTCCTTTTCTCTACCATCATGATCATCATCATCATCATCATCACTATTTCCATTGTTATTATATTAAATCATGATTATTACCATAATCGCTGACGTCCTCCTTGTTATCATCACTGTCGTTGCCATTATCATCATCATTGCATGGTTCATTATCATTGTCATCAATGTTACTGTATCACTATTACAACCATCTCAAGCACCATAGCTATTACTAGATATCGTGATAGAACCTTTCTTTCTAAGGTTAAGACTTGTAAAGCTGTGTTGTTGCCCTGCATCAGATTTATTCTCTTTGTTCAGCACATAAAAATTGAATGATAAAGTAAAGATTACAATTAAATTGTGATGCAATTTTTCCAGGTCTGGGCACAAACTTGTTTGGAAATAAACCAGCAGGTTTTGGTAGTACATTTGGCAGTCAACCTCAGAGTTCAGGTACCACTGGCTTGTTTGGAAGCAGTACAGCAACAAATGCAGGAGGTAGTCTGTTTGGGGGTACAGCAACTGGAAGCCTCTTTGGTCAACAGCCAACCACACAATGTAAGTACCTGAATATATTAGTATTATTATCATTAACTTATTTAGGAAAATTTGAGGAATTATGTGGGTGTTGTGAATGATAGTTTTGATGATAAGGCAAATCAAAGAGAGGATAATAACTTTCCTTACTTGTTTAAGTAAGTAGGATGCAGGGCTCGAAATAGCGGCCTGTCAACGGACAATGTCTGGACTAATTGGGGAGTTTACCTGTCAACCTTTCGTCTTGCTGGTCATGTTGACCGGTCACTTTTGATCATATTAAAAATGTAGTACTTAAATAAAATTTCCATGCTGTTCAGTTATTTGTATAGGTAATAGCATGATTTGTAGTGATATTTGGCATAAATACCACGGGTGATATTTTGAAATTGTTATACGTAATTTCACGAGCCATTAGGCGAGTGAAATTTGAGACAATTTTGAAATATCACGAGTGATATTTATGCCAAATATCACGTACAAATCATGCTATTATTTGTTTATACTACTACCCACAAAAGGTTTGTAATTTTCACATGTAGGTATTTCAAATTAAGCTGAAATACCACTGCTCTAAGCCAATCAGATTGCAGAAATTTCTCATGTTGTAGTATAACAGCTGTTATCATTATGTAGTGAGTTGCTGTGTATTGAGGAACTCTGATCTGAAATCCTGGGTGAAATGCAACTACAACCGTTGTTCACAATTTGTGGATTGAAACAGACATTAGGGTTCATGCACTTCCGATCACAAAATTAAAAATACTCTCACTTTTATTAGTTGAGCAATGGCTTTTTAATTTTTGGAAAAATATAACCCCAGTTTTGGTTCATGGACCCTTGTTTTAAGAGTTATTTGTCTTATAAATTTGACCAACCAGATCTTAATAATGACTGTTCAATGGAATGCTCTACCTTTAGTATGTAAGGATGGAAACTGTAGGCCGTATCTTACAGTACTTTCACTGAGCAGACCCTTGTGAGATGTAAAAGAACCATTAGGGATGTAATGCTCTCTGGCAGTTATCACCGGTAGTGTTTATGTCATGCTATTCAGAGGATCTTCTTCTATGATACATGTAGATAACTTGCGAAAAGTTTATTCTGTTTAAACCATCCTTAAATCAGGCTCAATCAAGCAATCAATCAATCAATCAATCAATCAATCCATCCATCAATCAATCCATGAGTCAGTCACTCAGTCAGTCACAGAGTTGTCATTAAGAGCTGGGGGCCGGGGATTTTCCCCGGCTACTAAGAGAGTGGCCCCCGGCTACTTTTATTGGAAAAGAGAAGAAAAATAGAACCAAAAGAAATCCCTAGCCCTTTGATTCCCCACCTACTTGTTGTATTTTCCCGGCAACTTGAAATCTTAGTGACAACCCTGCAGTCAGTCAGTCCATTAATCAGTCAATAATATTAATTAAAGTAGAAGCTGATGGGCATGTTTTGCATCGCAAGCCAGAGACATCCTTAGACATATTCTGTTTACTTGATTGATGCTTGTCTGATAACAGTAGAAAAGAAACCATCCATTTTTAAAAGAAAAGAAAAATACATTTTTTTGTATATATTAATTGTATTGCTTTGTTCAAACAGCCTCATTTAGTGGCTTTGGATCAACTGGTGCCAGCCTGTTTGGCAGCCAAGCGAAAAGTACCACAGGGACAGGTGTCTTCCAGACTCCAGGGCAGACTTCCGCTTTTGGCAGTGGAACATCAACGGGATTTGGAGCAACTGGTAAGTTTGAGCATGTTTCAATTTGGTTACATGCATATACAGTCAACTCTCGCCTTGCGGACACCTCGCTATAACGGACACCCCGATAAAACGGACAGCAGCTAAATCCCAGGAAAAACCAAATTACAGACATTTCACTGAAATAAACTCCCGCTATTATGGACTCTCGCTAATGAGGACACTAACTTGAGGTCCCTACAGTGTCCGCTATAAGGGGAGTTGACTGTACAGGGTTCTCATTAAGGTATTTGCACAGGCAAATTTTCAACATTTTATTTTGCACTCAAAATCTTTCTACAGTAAGTCCAGATGATGTAATATGCATATCTGGTGTTCTTTTTTGAATATACCTTTGCATTAAAGAAAAAATCTACTCAAAAGTTGACTGATTTACCGGAAGTTAAAGAAAAATTGTCATTTCCGTTACTAAGAAAATGGACGGCAGGAGTGCAATTTGACTCCTCTTTCCAGCATCAAGTTCTATTGATGCGCTGAACAAAATCTATTCACTGCTTGGATTCATTGAAAAACTACAGCCGCTGTATGTCCAACTTGATTTTTCTTCCTTCTGTTAAAGCTGTGATGACTAATATTACTTGCTTCTTGTCAAAATTCGTTATGTTCTTGAAATATACTCCGTTTTCCAGGGCTTAACATTGTTTTAAATTTACATTACATCGGTGTGTCTTCTCACCTGATATATTCTGACAATTTTGCCGGGAGAGTAAAACGTTTTCTTGGCCCCTAATCCTCTGGTCTGTTTTTCTGCCAATTTCTTTCACTTTACAGAAGCAGTTCTTTTCAATTTTGAATAAAACTCTTCTTCAATGTTCATACTTCGGCGCGCTTCACTGCATTAAAGCTGACACTGAGTAACGCATCTTCCCGAAATACGTCACACCTAGCAACTGGTCACGTATCAAAATCCAAGGGGGCTATAGAGAGGCCATTTGGCATTTTCTTAGGCTTCCACAAACATTTTACACAGTGGTGATTCAAAATGGCGGGCAAGAAGGTCTGTGATGGTAGTATCGAGGAAAAACAGTTGATTTTGAGAAGAAAATAAGCTTTTTCACACTGGAAAAGCGTTAATTACCGCGTGACCGATTTACCTTGACTTACGGGAACCAGTTTTTTGGAGGAATGGATCATTATTTCTTTGTGAAATTTGGCAAATACACAAAGAGCATGTTAATGAACAGATCTGTGTTTGACTAAAGGTTAGAATTGCCGTACAGCTGAGTTATTGATGTCAAAATATGGGTCAAATTACAAAATAGCAAATTGTGCCCTAGAGGCTGGATTAATTGGAGCTGTGTCGTAGTCAAACACAGAATTATTCTATCTTACGTCCTTATTTGTGTTACATTTCTTTTTTAACAATAACTCTAAGGATTCTTCTGAAATTTTGATTTTTCTCTTTTTTTGTCACCCTAGGGGGTAATTAAATTAACACCTTTTGGGTGACATAACATAATTTATTTTGATATATTCTAGTTCCTCAAGAACTGAGGAATACTGTCAATGTAGTGACATATAGATATTATCCATAAAACAACCACTAAAAATGATGCAAAAATGTGCAAAATTTGCCTGTGCAGATACCTTAAGTTTTAAAGTAGACAGCTAAGATGTAAAAGTAGGCAGCTTGGTATTTAAGTGCTGTCGGCAATTTGAGGCTTTCACTCTCTTACTTTGCCCTTGATGCCCAAAAGGTATATGGCTCACACCTCCAACTAGCCAGCTTTTTTTAGCCGTTTGCCCGCAATTAATGAGAAATTAATGAGTGTATGTATTGTTTTTAATGAACTGCATTGTGTTTACCAGAATTAATCATAACTATAACAAAATTCTCAAATATGATTGGCTATCAATAATTGATAGCCAATCAGATTTGAGAATTTTGAGAATTTATTGAGAATTTATTGTACTGAGAATTTTGAGAATTTATTGTACTGATTTCAGCACTAATAGGACAGTGTAACAGGACATTATACGTCATGCCTAAGTAATTGGACAGTGCGTGCCTTTTTTTTTTCACTACTAGCAAAAACCTCTTGGAATTTCTTGATTTAAAAATGCCTAAAAAATGAAAAATTTTGTTGTGGTTATGATTTATTGGTAACAGAACTAACTTCGTGTTGTCCTATTCAGTCTGTAATTGTACTCATGATTAAGCAAATCGGACTCCCGCCATGCTGTTGTGCGATTTTGTTTATCACTTGTATGATTACAGACCGAATTGGACTCCACTCAGTCCTATTACCATTATTAAATTAACAAGTCAAGAAATCAGTAGGATTGTTTAACCGTTGGAGCCAAGAGTGATCAGTATGAAATTTCTCCTCAACAATTCAACTCTGTATTTCTTTATTTTTTATAACAGGTGCTAGTTTATTTGGAAATGCAGCTAACAAAGGCACAGGTCTGTTTGGTGCCAGTCAACAGACAGGTACCTCACTCTTTGGACAGAGTGGCATTCAGGGTAATAACATTTGCAGGGTGCAAAGAAAGTCATGTCCAATAGCCCAGAGCTAGTGGATTTTGCTATCGGGCTAGTGATTTTTGCTCTTAACTTGCCCAAAGGGCAAGTGCTGTTTTTTTGGGGAAATTCAAATTATGCAAGGGTTGCAATCAATCCCACTGATCAAAAAGGGTTTTGGGGCTAGTTGAAATGACTTGTGGGCTAGTACATGCTAGCTACAGCTTGCCCGAATAGCAGGCTGTAAAACTGATTTTCTTTGCATTCTGATTTGGCAAGTCAAATGATTATTCGTTTGACAGAGTAGCATTCAAGGTAATAACAATTGGCAAGTCAAATGATTGTTCATTTCATATACATCAATCACATTCATCTCTTTCATGGGAACATATGAACACAAAATTGACCAGCTTCCAACATCAGCGGCTTCATAGCTCAGTTGGTTAGAGCATCACACTGGTATCGTGAGGGCATGAGTTCAAACCTCGTTGAAGTCCTGAATTTTTTTTTTCAGGCCTCTTACGCAATTGCATAAATTGCATTCACAACTGCGAGGATTATTCTTCATTTGATTTCATTTCTGCAGTTCTTATATGATTTATTTCATGTACATCTATCACAAAATGATTATTGTTTATTTGAGCTTTTCAAAGTTTTAGTTTTGCACACCTCATTAGCACCTAAACTGAAATTTGCAATGTTATGGAAAAACTCTAGCTTTTAACTTTGTGGAAATATTCTGTGCTGTTACCATTCAAATGAAACCTCCAGTACTATTTATTTTGTTGGATTTTACAAAAAGAAATTTGATTTTTTTGCGTGAATTTTTGCTTTGGCTGCCATAACGGGTGAAAAGGTCAAGGCTTCAGGTCTTACTGCACTTACATCCATGTAGCAGTTAAAATGCCAGACTCATAGCTCGTAACAGGAATTCCCAGCTGAGCCCTTTGCTTGTGTGGCTGCCACTGTAGCTGATGTGTGTCATTGGTTTTTTTCAGGAATAGGATCTGGCAGTGCAACCCCTGGAACACCTATCAAGTTTACTGTGAGCCTTTATTTTAATTAAATATGTTATTGTTTTTTTTCATTTCACATTAGAAGGAATTTCAGTGAATAATCTACACATGTAGCACGAGAAGAGAGCTGACATTTCGTGATGCCACCAACGCTTTGTGCGCTCATTCTTTAGACATCATTTCGCGGGAAACCGTACTTAGTGGCATCACCTAATGCCAGCTGTTTTCTCAGGCTCTTTTACTAAAGTTAATGTTTTGCTTACATTTCACAGCTTTACATGTATTTGTGGTATTGCATATAGCTCTTAGGTCATTCCTGAGAGATCTGAGTATGGTGTAAGTTTTGTGGAGTTGGTTTAATTTACCTCTCTATTTTTTTGTGCTCAGGTCGTTCAAGGGACAGATTCTATGGTCAAGAATGGCATTACCACCAACATCAGCATCAGACATCAGTGCATCACTGTCATGGAACATTATGCAACTAAGTGTTTAGAGGTGATTTAGATGTTTACAACTGTATGCTATATAGCTGTTATCATTTTTAATCACAGTATAGCACCTTAATTTTTTTGTGATATGATGGCTCTGCAAAGTGTTGTCTTAATATTGTTATGCACAAATTCTCCTTACTACATGTAGAACCATACATGTACATACAATGTAACGATTGAACTGAACAAAAAATATCTATGTATGGACTGGCCTTCATTCCATTGCATTACTCTATTTCTAAAATGCATAATTTTATGAAAATCATAATATTGGTTGTCTTTACACTAGGCTGTTAAGTAAGACTTAGGAGGTGCTAAATTTTACTTAACCAAAAATGCGCGTATGAAGGCCTAAGCAAAATCTCAAGTAACTTTACCTTGCATCTCATTAATGTCGGAAAGTTGAAAGGATTCAAGAAAGTTTCAAGTGACTTGAAAACCATCCTTAAAACTGACCTAGTGAACTTGCGGTTTCCAAGCTTTGAGAAAGGCGAAGCGTGTCAATCAATCTTAATTATGTTGTGTGGGAAAATAGGCTCAAGTAAACCTGAAGTGAAAAAGATATGTTGTGTGTGAAGCTTTCCTTTACTTGAAGAATTTAAAATTTACTTGTCTTGAAATATTTCTTAGCTTATTTAGGCTCTAGTGTAAAGACTACCATTGTTATTACCTCCTAAAGGTTTCAATGTCTCACTGCTTGTTTGCAGGAGCTGAGAATTGAAGATTATGAAGCTGGTCGTAAAACTGGAGCATCTGCCACAACTGGCTTTTCAGGCTTGTCAACAAGCACAGGATCAGGTGGTTTGTTTGGTAATACATCAACAGCATTTGGTGCAACATCTGCTTTTGGTCAGAAACCTACGACTGGGTTTGGAGCAACTGGTATGGATTCAAATTAAACCTGTTCGTATTTAGCTTCGTGCATATTTTTCTTTGTGGCTGCTTAAGGGGATCTTTCCTGGATAAGAAATAAAAGGCCCAGCTGGTTCAGAAATGATATGGACGACGTATCGTACATCAGAAAAGTATCAAATCAACAGCCCCTTCTTCTCGTATCTCATTTCCCCGCCATCTTTAAATTATACTCGCTTTTATTTTTGAGTGAAATGTGGAAAGTCCTCTCACAGTGGCTTATTTTCTTGGAGAAAAACCAAGGAATCACTTTTGAAAAAAATACAGGGAAAGAGGAACAGTTGATTTTTATCACAAGATTTCATCACCACCTACACATATCTGTCTTGGTGATTTGCAGACTGTTTTGTTCAGTTACATGAAAATATTTTTCCATTATTCTGTTTTCAGGAAGCCTGTTTAGTGGTTCTGGAACAGCATCCCTGTTTGGTCAACAACAGCAGCAGCAAACAACAGGCTCACTTTTTGGTCAGAAGACAGGAGGGTTGTTCGGTACACCAACATCAAGCACAGCATCCACAGGTTTTGGAACTGGCTTTGGCGCTGGAGGAACCACGGGTCTCTTTGGACAGAGTTCTACTGGACAAACAGTAAGCTTTATATTACAGGAATGTCAATTATACAGGAAAAATTGTACATGATCTGCAAGTCAGAGAAATGAAGAAATTAACAGATGTGACCTGTAGAATTACTGCAAGGATTAGCATGGAATGAGATCACAACTATCCCTCATCTGTGTCATTCACAGTTAGCAAAAATTATGATTTATAAATTTGTACAGTGTGTACCTCCTCATTTATTTAGCTGCCACTGTTAAATATATTACATATGTATGTTTCTAAGGTTTTATTTATCATTTGTCTCACTTTAGTCACTTTAGATATTGATTGTGACATTTCACTTCATTCACAGAAGAACATTTTAGTCTCACTCAGTAAATTGTCACTTTTGCCGAACGAAGACTTGCAGTACATGGCTGAAATGTCGGCATCAACATGCGACTATTGTGAGACAAAATAATAATGATAAATAAAACCCTTTATGATTCATGTTGTTGTTTTCAGACCAGCTTATTTGGTGCACCAACAACATCTGTATCCACTGGTTTGTTTGGAGCTCAAAACCCAGGATTTGGCCAGACGCAAACTGGAACAGGTCTGTTTGGACAAACTGGGTTTGGTCAGACCCAGCAACAGGTTAGCTAGAGTGCAAATTTGTTTTAGACTAGTTTTGAAACCCTTGAAAGGAGCTGTGTTATAATAGGGCCACTTATATGAGGAAAAGTAAGATGCATCTTTCATTAGATGCGTCCTAAATGAGACGCAAACTATCTCGTATAAACGGCACATAAAGATGCGATTTAGCTAAGACGTGTCTTAACGAAGAACAGGTGTTAGGGGCTGTTCTCAGTTAAGAACCATCTCAGCTAAATTTCAAACGAAATGTACCGTTTTTACGAGATAGTTTGCCCCCTGTTTAGGATGCGCCTTATGTAAGATGGGTGCTATTTTTCCTCATATAAACTGTCCTAATGTTTAGTATAATTCTTGGGAGACACATTTGTTTGACATGAAGCTGTGATTGTGTCATTCATGAGAAATATATTTATCATTATGTTCTATAATGATTAACCCTTTAAGCCCCAGTATCCACATACAAATTCTCCAAACTGGTCTCTATACATTTCCTTTAAGAATTAGTTGAGAGAATTTGATAATAGATCAAGGCATTCTCTCTTGGATGATCATTTTATTAATTCTCATAGTTAACTTATCTCTTGAGTATGGATATTGTTAGGAGATAATTGATGTTGGTCACTATTGGGACTTAAAGGGTTAAGGACGGGTAATTGGCATAAAAACAAAATGAACAAGTCGAAGAACAGCCTTGATACAGCCCCTGTGATCCTTGATATCAACATTTTTGGCCTTGTCTCTTCCCCCTCTACCCATCCTCTAAAGAAAACAAACAAAGAAAAAATCAATCCCTGAGCACCAGGCCTTCCTAAAGAAAAGATGGGGGAGGGGGGGGGAGAAGAGAAAGGAAGGCCTGAAAAAACCAAAAATTGTGTGACAAAAAATCAATGAAATAACACACAATACCCCCTGAAAAGAGCGATAAGCCATTGACATTTTTCATAGATGCTTTGATTTTACGTTACCGGTATGTGATACTTTTATGGACAGAGACACAGAGAGGAATTCAAAAAGGCTCTAGAGGGCGCTCTCAAGTTTTTTCCTGGAATAAAAATAAAACCCGAGCAAGAATTGTGTTTTCAAGGGCTCGTAGTTTAAAGGAAAGATGTTCTCGGAGTATGGAAAAGCCTCATATACCAGCTTCTGCCGAACTAGGTCCGAGTATTCAGAGTATTGGTTTCACAAGACCGGAACAAAGACGACGATATCAGTGTTTCAGATCTCTTAGTTCTGATTTACAACGTCCTGCCGTTAAAAGGGTATTGTTATTGTAAATGGAAATAGAGCGAGGTAGCCATGTATTGAGATAGCCGACTGCACCAATGCTTTTAAAAAGCTTGACTTTGCTTGTGGCGGTTACGATAGCGTACGTGATTGGAATTCGTTCGCTTCCTCTTCCAAAATTTTCTCACTTTTGAAATGTCTTAAGGTCAAGCGGGCGCCATCATATTTCGCCAACGGGATTGACCTTTGCTAAGCTTAGGCTCTCACTATTTTTTTAACTTGTAACAGCTTTCACCATTGCACCTTCCTATTCATTCTTGCAGCTCCTTTCAACCACCCGAGGATACGAGGGATAACATCAGCTTTTTAGCTGCGAGACAAGCGCCTGATGTAACTCTGTAAACAAAAGCAATTTACAATTTTCCGGGGCACGTTTATTTACAAAAAGAGCGTTGGCGATCTTATACTAGCACCATTTTTAAAACATGTTATAATTCCTGTAATGTTTTAAATTACAAGTATTCGAAAACTCCTTATTGGATTTTTAAAAAAAAGTGAAATCGTAGCAACACAAACACCGGACCTCGGCCAACCCGTAAAGTGAGATTTATTTTAGGGGGAGCTTTTTGACGCGTGAAGCTGACAACCCAATGACCGGAAGTGATTTTGATTGGATGGTATCGAATCATGCTGTGTGGGGGTGGAAGGCTCCAGTAAAAGCATCCGTGTCAGGCGTTTCTCTCCTTCAGCTCTCTCCTTTTTTCGCTTCCATCTTTCCCCTTTTCCCCAGAAACGCCTGATACTCAGGCTATATTGAGCAATGTTCTGTGACTGAAGTGAAGGTCACATTCAAAAGTTCAGTCAGTTTTGACCAAAAAAGAAAAAAAAAACAACCAAAAACTTGGCATAAGCTAGTTACTGCCCAGCCCTCCAATAATAACATTGTCCACATGGTACTCTCAATATTTCTTATTAAACTTGATTTTAACGTTTTTTTTGTTTCGTTTTTAGTCAACACTATTTGCAGCCAAGCAATTTGGAAGTAAGTGGTTTAATGTTCAGTGTCCTTTGAAATAGTAGTGACTTCCTTACATTTTGAGTGGGGCATTTCCTAGTTCCAAGAACTCTCACTTTCAAAATGAGGCTAAGTACAAATCTTTATTTGCATGAGAATGGAAACTCGTTTTCATATTTATCAATGGCCTCGCACTAGGCCTCACTTTTTAAGCAGTCGAGGCTTGAGGTGACTCAAGAATGGCCCGTTGTCTTCATGTACACAATGTAATCAGGTCTACATCGGGCAGTTCTGTAAACCAAGGGTTAGTCAAGGTTTTCAAAATTGTGTGCTCGAGGACCACCCAAAATGCCAAGATTTTGTTATTACTTGAATGCAGCTATTGCTTGCTTGTCTTAGTTAATGATTTAATTACCAGATGACTTATCTGGATTTTTGCCTATAGGGCAAGTGAGCTTAGAAAGAAAACTTACCCAGCAAGAAAAATTTCATGTCCCGGAGTAGCAGAGAGTCCTTTTTTTGTTCCCCATTATGGGAGGGGCTCACTTACAAGTGACTCCAAACTGTAGAGGTTTGATTGGAACACTTTGTGATTTTGGTGCTTTGGATATGTAGTCAGTAATGCAATCGAGTGGTGGTTGGACTGTGTGTTGAACCAGTTTGTGCATGAATATCTCTGACTTCTGTACAAAACATAATACAGGGTGCAAAGAGAGTCATTTTTACAGCTTCTATTTCGGCAAGCTGAAGCTACCATTTACTAGCCCAAACATCATTAATTTCAACTAGCCCCAAAAACGTTTTGATTGAGCAGATTGATTTCACAGTTCTTCTGTAATTTGAATTCCTCAAAAAAACTTCACTTGCCCGTTGGGCAAGTTAATAACAGAAGTCATTGCCTGATAGCAAAATCCACTAACCCCGAGCTATCCGACACTGCTTTCTTTGCAAGCTGTGTTAATTGATATTAATTTTTTTTTTCAATTTCATCTTCGCTTCCTAGCAACACTGGGCACAGGTACAACCGGTGGATTGTTTGGTGCACAGAATAAACCCCAGACAGGATTTAACTTTGGCGCTAGCACTACTGGCCTTGGAACAAGTGCATTTGGTGCCCCAACCGGAACAGCTGGGAGCCTGTTTAGTGCTAAACCCACGGCGTTTGGTACTGGAACAGCCTTTGGTGCCAATGCTGGTACAGGAGTGTTTGGTGCCACAGGAACCCTTGGAACAGGACTGGGCACAGGTACCCTAGGAACTGGTAAGTAACAAGAACTGTTCTATTTCACACCTTTGGCCAATTTCAACTGTTTCATTCCTTTGGGAAAATATTACAAACAGAGAGTAAGCATTTTCTACATCCATGGTGGTTAACTGATTTCATGATTTTTTTTTAAAATTCAAATTAAGAGAAAGCTACTGGTCATTTCTTGTTTAAAGGATGATTATGTAGAAATTAAGCATAATTATGCCAGTTCTGTGAATCATAGTGTTATTTTATTTTTCTTGTAGACAAAATTAGAAAATTAATAATGTATAAGATTGTAACATTACAAAATGATACTACTATTTACATTATTATAACAGTTTACAATTAAAATTAACTGGTGTTTTTTAAATTGCAGAGACACTGAGTTATAAACTCTGACAAAAAATAATGAATTAACACTACTCTTTCTTGTTAGGATGCTTTGGATCCCTAGCAACCCAGCAAACAGGTGGCTTTGGCCTAGGCACTCTTGGAAGGTACTGTAAAATTTGTCTTTGCTCTTTTCTTGCGCTTGTAGTAGAAGAAGAGCTGACAGTAGACTATTAAGATTGTTAGTAGGCAAAATTGTGTAGGGTTTAGCAGTCGCTTAATTTGTAAAAGCCTTATGAATCAGGACGTGGTTGCATAATCCAACTTAAGATTTTTTTATGCAACCTCTCCGTGCTTTGTAAAGAATTTGCACACTCTTTCTGTTTCCTATACTCATATAATCTGCCTTAGGTTGAGTTAACCTGCTCAAAGAGTAAGAGTGACTAACATCAGTTTTCGCCTAATACATCATCAAGAGAAACTGGTTTTGACAATTGATACAATGATAGCCTTGGAAAATGCTCTGATCTTTTACAGAGTTCTCTCCACTAATTCTTGAGGAAATATGTGGAGATTAGTCTGGAGAATTTGTCTGTGGATATTTGGATTTAAAGGGTTACTCGGGATGCTGTGCAAGAAAATCCCCCTTCACAAACAAAGGGATAGAGCTTAAAAGTTGGGTTGCTCTACACAGCTGGCAGCTGGCCCCTGGCCTGGCCCCTTGCCTTCATGATGTTTTCCTTGTTTTAGAAACTGCTCTCTTTATGATCTCTGCCTGTAGATTTGTAGTTGTTTCACACCAGTTTTTCTTGTTCTACTGTAGCAACCAAAATACAACCCTGAGCACTATACAACAACAACAACAACAGCAACTGCAGCAGCAGCAGCAGCAGTTACTCCTGCAGAACCAGCTTCAAATCCTGGCCAACTCCCCATTTGGAGACTCGCCACTATTCAGGAATTCATTAGCGGTGAGAGGTTACTAAACATACATTTGATTCAGGAAATTTATTAAACCCGCGACTCCTTTGTTATATGTTTTTGTGGACCTGTTACTAAACATACATTTGATTGTATTGACAAAGTATTAACAATTTGCCAACAGAAAACAAAGCATTATACAAAATTTGAACATAAACATGTAAAATTGATGTTTGCATTGGTAACAGTGTTTTTTATACAAAATGATTTCTGCATTGTGTTTTTATTTGTCAAGCTTAAGATTGAGCGATGTATTGCACTGTCTGACTGAAAATGTCCTTCACTTTGAAACAAGGATGTGCTCTAAGAAAAACTGTTGGGAGTCTAGTCTTCTGAACCTGTGAAATCTGTGTTGCCCAGCATATGATTTCATGCAAAAACTGAGATTTTCTAGTTGTCTTGGAGCAAACATAAGGTGCCAGGAACCTGTAGGTACTGCTAGGGCACAGCTCATGATAAATAAAAAACCAGAATACTTGTATAATATCACAAAGACTATGGATGAAGTGAACACTCAAATGAGTAAGTGGTAAATAACTTTTACTTTTGAAATTTTTTTATGCCTCTAGGAGAAGGCTAAGGGAGAACGAGCATCTAGCTCAACTTCAAGTTCTATTCAGAAGAATTCCACCACTCCATCGCATTATAAGGTGACAGTTGACATTTTTGTGCATGCATCATTGTGTGTTCAGTAACATTTTATCTTATGGCTATTTTGTTGCTTCATGTTACATAGTTATTGCAGTATTCTGTAGATAAGTACATGTACATGTATTAACCAGATAGACAATTTAGTGTGAACAAAACTAAAAGTATTACTGACTGTCAAGCCATTTGTTCTTCATCACTTGTACTTGCAGTGGTGATATATGCCGTGAAAAGCTCCACCTGGTTTCTCCATTTTACCAGACAGTGACAGTAGAGCAAGACACCAACCACACCAGGAATTAAAATAATTTATAATATAATGTCAAGGTGTGTGGTGATGATGATGGCCAGAATGAGAAGGAAAAACAGTGTTTGCTAATCAAATGAGTGTACTGCAGAAAACATGTTCACTGGTTTTGGAAAAAATTGTAGGGAAGTTCTGGACATTTTGGGACAGCCCATTGAGGAAAGAAGTGAAAGTTAAGGGCAACTCAGGCCTCTTATTTGTTTATTACCCATTTATCCCCTTTGTAAACTGAAACATTAATTATGCTGTTGCCTTCAGACATACAAACAGTCTAAACAATGTTCTTTTCAACTTTTGAATTTTTTTTTCTTATTTGCCAGGTTTCTCCTCGTCCATCAGCAAGAATTAAACCAAGACCAATCAATAACTACACTATGAATAAGGTTTTTTATTTTCCTGTCTATGTAATGCTCTTTTCATATTTGGTACTATAACATCCGACAAGTCTTTACTGAGTCATTTGTATTTATTTATTTGTCACAGTCTAAGCTGTTTGAAGGGCTGGAGGAAGACTCCGGCTTGAGTCCAGATACATTTGTACCCAGAAAAAATATCAAGAAGCTTGTCATTAAAAGCAAGTCTACCACAGAGGTTTGTTAAGTATTACAGTTAAGTTTGCATGTGGAGTAGTTGACATTGCTTGCTGCTTCTGTTATTGTTTGGTAAAACCTGCAATGCTAAATGTTGTGTGAAGTCTACTGAAGGGACTTCTCAGGGCTTGACAAAAACAACTTGAATTCTAACTCATCCTGTCAATCTCCCTTCACAGCCTGGGGCATGTCACATTTTTTTATATCATATTTGTAAGAAGACGGCTTGCCTGACCTGTTGCCAATTGGGCAAATGGAAAATGTTCTTTCTCATGAGGATAATCTACTTGTCTTTGAACTCCCACTTATACCACAAAAATACTTGCAACTAAATCTCAATGATAAAATAATAAAATTGGTATTAAATTTCATGTCACCATAAAGTGAAGGAGTATTTTTTTTCCCCAAAACACTCTTTGGCTATTTTTAAAGTAATAAATTCTTGTTAAATTTGCAATATTTCTTACAAAAATGCTTCATCTTTTGCCAGGATTCACCAATGTCAATAGTTGACACAACTCGAGTCAAGTTTCATTCCTTGGGGGAAGGTGATGATCTGCCAATAACCAGCTCCCCCTTTCCGCCCTCCCCTCCCTCATCACAAACTACTTCACCTGTTAGGAACACCCTTGCTGTAGAAGAAGGAGCTGCTAAGGCTGTCGATGACAGAATTAATACCAGTGATGGTGCCAGTCCGATGGGAGTAAGGTTTTCCAAAGGAGCAACAAGAGAAACATTAGATACCACTATTGCCGACTTGAATGTCCGCCATGTTACAAGGCAAGATGATGACCAGGAAAGTGTAAAGAGTTCTGAGGTTACAGAGGAAGATCTTTCTGAGAGTGGAACTAGAGAACCCTGTGGCATAACTTTGAAAAGGTGTGTTTATGTTGTACACTGTATGTGTTTCAACTATACTGTATATAAATTCGGTAATCAGTTTTGTTAGGGTTATAATAATAAAATTTTGAATAAATAAAAAGTCTATTTATTTCTCTGGTAATCAACAATCTCTTTTCTCCTTCATAAAAATTAAGAACCTAATAAGATCCTACTTAGCCTGAATTGCCAATAAGAACCCCAAAATAAAAGAACCTATTTTGCCAGACATCAAAAAAGTAGGTTCTTATTAGCGGGTGTTTACTGTATTGCAACTTAGAAATTGCTTGCAATGATGAAATCTCTTCCAAATATAGGTGTGTTCAAACCTCTTCTAGGAAGGTCCTCCCTGCATTCTGATTCTCTTAAGTGACAACCACCCTTAACCCTTTAAGTCTCAATAGTGACCAACAGCAATTTTCTCCTAACAATGTCCATACATTGTCAAGAGATAAGGTTGTGAGAATATGAAAAATGATCATGAAAGAGAAAATGCCTTGATGTTTTATTAAATTCTCTCAACTAATTCTTAAAGGAAATGTATGGAGATCAGTTTGGAGAATTTGTATTTGGATACTGGGGCTTAAAGGGTTAAGTGACCACTAAATCTTTGCATTGTGGGGTGCCGCTTACGGGAGGTTTGACTGTAGTTCTTATTTTGTGTGACTGCTAATGTTCCTCGCGTATAATCCCAAATTTTTTTCTAGGTCTGAGTACTATACAGTACCACCACTAGCTGAACTGAACAAGAGGATTGACAACAATGGAGATGTTTTTGTTGACGATTTTGTTGTTGGTCGCGAAGGTTATGGCAAAGTTAAGTTTTATGGCAGGACTAATGTTGCTGGACTGAACTTGGATGAAATTGGTAAGAATTTCAGTTAGAGTACTACCGTATCTAAGATTTTATGTAGCTACTGACATGAGTTATGGTGGCTTTTATGCAAAGTTCTAAACTCCATGTTGTTCATTTTAACAGTGTTCTTCAGGCGCCGTGAAATAGAAGTGTATCCAGACTCGTATCCTAACAAACCTCCAGTGGGTGAGAAGCTTAACAAAAAAGCAGAAATTACTCTGGAAAAAGTTTGGCCAAATGACAAGACATCACACAAACCAATCACAGTGAGTCATTTGAAAATATGTTTTTTACTTGTCTTGTTATTTTGGCACGTGTTTTCCAAAACAAAGTTGGATATATGCATATTTAACATTAGGTAGTTCGTTATTTGACTGTTTCAAATATATTTTATTTGTTTTTTCCTGAATATCCAATGTGTTGTTGTTGTTTGTTTGTTTGTTTTTGTAGAGCCCAGAGAGACTGAAGCTTCAAGGATGGCAAGAGAGAGTGGAAGCTGCCACTGCAAAGCTTGGAGCAACTTTCCTTGATTATGATCCTGATTATGGAAACTGGGTTTTTACGGTATAAACAAAATATTCTATGCACAAGGCTCACAAAAAACAAAGAAATAAGGATCTTCAACCTACCTGCTCTACTCGAAAAAATACACATTTACGAGTTATTTACAAAATTTGTTTTCAAAGATTTGATTTCCTTTTTCTTTGTACTATAATTATTCCCACTCTTTGTGCTATTACAATAATGTATGTTGTCAAATATCAAATTTTTTTATTTTTTCCTTACTTTCAGGTGGAACACTTTACTCGTTATGGAATGCATGAGTACCTTGATGATGAACAGCTGGCAAAAAAGCTCAAGCGGCCTCCTCTTAAACCACATCTGCAGGTGCACAGGTTTACCTTTTGTGTGGTCAAAGTTAAACTTTCATTTTGTATAATCACATTCACGATAAAATATAAAGTATTATGTGGAAGCACTGCTGAAGAGGTTTCATTTGAATGGTCACACCATAGGATTTCATCCACAGACTCAAAAGTTAGAACTACGTAGTCATTAGTCAGACTATGTACTAAATAAATAGTACCATGTGAAAGTACTGTTGAAGAGGTGTCAATTGAATATTGACACCATTGGATTTTATCAATGGACTCAAAAGTTAGAAGTAAGTAGCCATTAGTCAGACCAGACTCTGACTGTTCCATCTTTTGACAGGATACAGATGACTCTTTGGAAAAAGAGAAACTTGAAATTTTCAAACGTCTTAAAGAGAAGAAACAACAACTTGAAGCTTATGAGAAGGAAAGGCAAAGGGCTTCTCTGTCATTACATGACCAGGATAGCGACATGCCAGATATTGATAATGAAACTTTCCCAGGTATGAAGGATGTTTTCTACTCCAATAAAAATTCTTGTCATTTATATTTCATATGATATCTCATGATGATTTTGTGGTACAATGTGATGTCTTTACATTCCTGCAACTAGCAAAAGCTATTCAGCAAGCAGTGAAAATAGCGTATTATTTGATACTCAAACATAGAAAATTGACTACCGTATTTATTTGATTAAGCACCCAAACTGGAATAAGCGCCCATCTCGAATAACTACCCACCCTTTGCCCAGCCTTGACTAACCAATCTTGACCTTACTGGCTATGGGATTTAAATGGACTGAGTTTTGCTAAGAGACTTCCCCACTGACCGAGGTTTCTTAATATTTTAAAGGAACTTTCTATGAGCAGTTAAAATTTTGCTTTGGTATATCTTCACGTTTGTTATTATTTATTGTTTTTTGCAAAATAAACTCACTACTTACAGAAAATGGTAAAAATTTGATAAGTACCTAGCCTCAAATAAGCGCCCACCACGAATAAGTGCTTACTCCCAAAGTCCAAAAATTTAATAAGCTCCCAGCCCTCTTGATTTAAAAAATACGGTACATAATGTCTTCTTTTGATTCTTTTTTTTAGAGGAAATGCTTGACGACGAAGCTAGAGAAGGAAGTGATGCCAGCGACGAAGAACTTGAAAGCTCACCTGCCAGTCATCAGTTAGCCACAGCATTGGGCATGAATGCGCAGCGAATCCAGGTTATGAAGGCGTCATTCTTTGCTGACCAGTCTCAGCCATCTTCAGGACACTTACCCAGTGATAGGCCTTCTGTTGACAAGTCCCTGTTGAGTGCATCTTTTAGCAAACCAGGACACACCAAGAGTTCTGTGTACCCTGCTGTTATGCCCCTTGGGCCTCTTCTCTCTCCTAAGGTCCAGCGCCGTGTAGATGAGTCAGTTGGACCAGAGCAGATGCCGCAGTCTTTGTTTGGCAGCCCTAAGATAGGTAATTAACCGAATATCACAGAGTTTTAGCACCAACGAAGAGAATGACTTTTTGGTTTTTAAACGAACAATAAAGACTTACTTATTTAGGAAGGCTTTTGCCTGTTATAGTTAGATTGATAAATTTTAGATTATAAATTTTTAGGTATTCCTTAAGTATACTTTATTGTAATTATTACAGGCAGTTATAGTTGTAAGGCGCATTTGATCATATTCAGATGTTAATTTGCACCTAATAAGAAATAAATTATTATTATTATTATTATTATTAATGAGCAGGAGTCAGAGATTTAAGAATTCTTATAGTTGTCCCTGTAGTTGAAAATAGATGGTTAAGAGATTGAGCATAATAATTGAATAAAAACGATGAAGATTATTAATAAGGTAGCTTAATGTAGACAGCAGCCCTCGATAGGTCTATAAAGTTCCAGTAAACCGATTAACATCGACTTACGATAAGTTGGGTAAAAAGTTGTCATTAATACTTTTCAAAATAAATTTTTCATGTAATTAGAAATAAAATGTCCTTGAGAGGACTGTAAAAAAAATTATTTATTATCTTATAAGGCGTTAATGTTATGAGTTAAAGAAAATAAATGTTTATACTTGGTAAAAATAATGTAATACTGAAAACCCTGTTTTGTATAGTCCCATACGCAGCCATTACTTGGGTTCTCTTGCAACCTTGTGCTCGAAAAAGACGACCCTGATAGCAGCTGCATAGAGGACTGTTTCAAGAGACACATTTATTGCTGACACCTTGTTACTGTGAAGTGGTTACTGTTCTTCTACAGAATAAATGTACATATCTTTTCTCCAGAGGAGTTGTGGGTGTGGGTTTATGTTGTGTCGCATAGCACTGGGCTGTTTTTGGGCAGGAGTTTTGATATTAGTCAGCTTTTGAGTGTCACTTGTCAACCGGAAGTGGGCGTTTTTCATTCTTGGGAAGTCGGTTTGCTGAAATTTTCGGGCGAATCGTGTCTATAACAGTAAAGACACTCAGCGATACAAACATGGTAGCATTAAGGTGTTTTGAAATTAAAAAGACCTCACTTCCGGTTGACGTGTCGGTTGTCGCTCAAAAACGCCATTGCTTAAGATCCCTAATTATTGTTTTCTCCTGCAACCTCCAGATAGCGGTTGTGTCCCCAGATCAAAACAGCCCTATGGTGTGACATTTTCACACCTCTGACCAGTGTCAGTCACAACCTGTAAAAGGCCAATCGGTTGTAAACTGTGTGTAATACATAAACGTTTCCATCGGTTAATCCAATAGGTGTGTATCCGCTGAGACATCCAGTGGTGCATGACCTAACACCAGCGGCCCCTCCCTCGCCAATGCTGCTCCCTACTGCCATTGGCACGGCAATGGATATCGGAATTAAAGTAGTTGGAGCGCGCAGCCAGTTTGGCTTGGTACCTAAAGAGGACTCCCTTGTCAATACCAGAGAGAAACTTGTGGGTGATGCTGGTCTGATGATGGGGCGGTCCTTTCGTGTTGGTTGGGGACCAGGGTTTGTCTTGGTACACAGTGGTACCCCGCTAGGAAAACGAGAGAAGCAGTCCATGGCTCCCATCACCCAGCCCTCCCTGGTGGGGAACTTTTTGGCTCCGAAGCCAAGGCCTAGCAACAGTGATGGAACACCTGCGTTTGGTGTGACACTGGAAAAGCTCAACGTTGCGTCACACTTCAGTCATGGAAGTGATACAGTGCTGGTTAGTGAAATTATAAATACCTTATTATCTACTCCCTTTAGGGTTTTTCAGGGATAATTTACAACACTTGTTGGGGGACTTTTGCCAAACTGCTTATGGTGCAGTTTTCAAGTAATGAACGAATGAGTAATGATGCCCTCTGTGTGAGTGTGAATTTATAAGACAGATCACCACAATACGTCCCCTACTCTTTATAAACAGTGAGTGGGTTCTTTAACGTCCCACAGAATTTTATTACATGTGCAAGGCTTGTGAGACGGGGCCTAAGGTTTATCGTCCTTATCCGAGAAGAGTGGAAAGTCTAACCATTTTGACGAACATACGTGTATTTATTTCAAACTTTGCTGAAATATCAGTTGCTAGTCTTCGTAATAGTTATCTCACACATTTGTAGGCACAACACCAGTCTGTTCTTGAAGCAGAGCTTCATCATGCCCAGGTGTCTGTCGATAATGGCTGTCCATTCATTCATCCTTCGACTGATGTCAAAGCTCTTCATCACCATGCAGAAATTGCGAGGAAAAACAAAGACGCAACAGGTATTATTAAGTGATTTTACAATACCTTGTTACCATCTGTTATGTTTAAAGACCCTTTGAATGTTAACCACTCGCCTGTCACATAAGTAGCTATGTTAAGACCGGGGGGGAGGTACTTAAGGCATTTTTGGGTGGGGATGTGCCATTGGAACCCTTGAACCCTTAACCTATACCAGAGCTAGTTCAGCTGAATTGTGTTGCCCTATACTAGACCATAGTTATTAGAGGAGACTGGTTATGAAAAGCGGCAAACATCAATGATAAAAACAACAGTGCTGCAGTTCATGTTCAAAGCACCGTCCCAAATCCTTTGTTTTCCCAAATTGTTACGGAATAAATTAATGCAACGTTTTTATTGGTCAATACAATCAAAATGATAGGAATTCTTTTGAACGTTGTGCACTTTCAGGTCCACAAAAACATATTACAAAGGAGTCTGACGGGTTTCATAACCATTCCACTCAGTTAACTATGACTAGACTAAACTCCCCAAATCCTCCCTATCCTAGAGTAGCTGTTTTCCAGAAACTACTGAGGTCACTAGCACAATCCAGCCAAAACAAAACCTATTTGATTCTTTATATTTTTGAGTGGTAATTCTCTCGTCAATCAATTGATTACTTTCTTGGAAAATGATACTCTATTCTAGACCCAAACTCTCTGATTTGTATATCCCACAGTAAACTGCGTGAACACCATACCCTTCACACCGGCACACACCTATACTGCCCATATATGGCAGTACCCCTCCACGGTGTAAAGAATTTCACCAAAATTCAAACAGTGGGTACTACTATTAAATTCATAAAAATAACCGCTCAAAACATTGAAAGAAGAAATAAATAATACAGCAAGTACAAAAACTGGCACGAATGGACAAACTTAAGAAGAATATTAAAATGGATTGCAATTGCGATTTTGAAAAGTTGTTAGCATACCAGTTTTCCAGCGGTCATTTTTGTTGTTTGTTACGTTTGATGCTTGGGAGACGTAATTGATTGACACGAAGCTGTGATTCATTTACAAATAATCTGCGCTAGCGTTAAGCCCCATAGCGTATAACTTTTTTTAAGGAAGCGCAATTGGCAATGTTAACAAAATGAACCAGATAGTGGTGACCTAGCCCTCCCTCCACCTTTGAGGCAACTCAGGGGAGGCGTGTTCAACGCCTAACCAAGACTATTAAACATTCTAAAAGGTAACCAAGTTTTTCACGATATTGGTATATATTTCTTGAAGCATCTGTGCTTGTGTGGTAAGGGTCTTGAAGTTGAATCATCTTGGTTTCACTATATATTTGTTACTGTGCTTTTAGTGTCAGGCCCACTAAAAGAGGCAGCAGAACAGATCTGTTTGGTTTGGGATTTAGTTGTTGCTCTATGGGGCAAACTGAATGATGAGCAAGAAGAAGATGATGAAGGTAGGAAAGACCAAACTCACAAGGTTATCTTGTACCTTAATAAGTCTCTTTGTCTAAATGCTATACTGATGACGTATCACTACCCAGATCTGACTAGTGCTTCTGATTGGATGAAGCAAATTTCCCACGCGGCACGACCAGTCAGAAGCACCTCCAGGATCTGGGTAGTGATACGTCATTAGTAAGCAATTTCGGTGCTCGTTCCTCAGGCGTTATTACGCGGGGGGACTAGGTCTCAGGGTACTAAATTTAGTTACGTTAATGCAAGTTTTCTGCAAGGCTCGGTTCAGACGCCAAACTTCTCATGAGCCCAACCTAATACATTGAATTAAGTACATGAAAAGTTCGGTGTCTGATTCAATTAGGAACGCCTGTTTCAATTTGGAACGGCTCAGCCGTTCTTTTCCCCTAGCCCGGCGGGGAATTTCGCCTTTGGAGCAACTTTGGAACGGCTTTGATTCAGACGCCGAACTTTTCATGTACCGAACCTAATGCATAAATTATAAATTATAACGTATTTTGTACGCAGTTTGACCGAAACGGAGCATTTTTTGCCTTTTGAACTCCGTTCAGCTGCAATTAAGATCGGCGTCTGAATTAATTCAGCCTCTCTAAATAATTTGAGTCGGCCTTAATTCGAGTTAGGTTCGGCTCATGAAAAGTTCGGCAGCTGAACCAGGCCAAAGCGCATTCTTAATTAGTTTTTTATGTTTAATTCTCATCATCATCATCATTAACATAACAATCATCATCATCATCATCATCATCATCAATCAATAAATGAATCAATCCTCTAAATTATATCTTAGTTACCCGTAGTGCGTAACATTTCCCAGAATTGTTTCCTTCAGTGTTTCATTTGTGTTTCAATTTATTTTTAAAGTTACAAACGGAATGAGGGATGAGAGGGAATCCTATCAGAATCGTATGGCAAGGAAAGAAGCTTTGTCAAGGTGGCTCGCTGAGGCTGCAAAGACAAGAATCTCTAAAGAGGTCGATGAAGCTAATTTTCAAGTATGTACTCCCACGCACTGAAACACAAATAAAGTTTACTTTTAATCGAGGCTGATTATTCTGGTTATGAACAAGAACTAGCCTAGAAAGGAGACTCTTGTAGGGGAACTTATGCACATCCAAGCAGTCGTGGTCACTCACGCCTTAAGAAAAAGTACATTTCCTGCAGTATTTCTCTCGCGGTATATTTATCATGTTGTAACCCTGCGTTTTACCGAAGTAAGAGCGGCCACAGTTACGTTTGCTTCCCGCCTTTTTTCCGCACACAGTACGTCTTTTTCGCGGGATTTTTAATTAACACTCCTGTGACTGGTTGTTTTTTTTTGTGAAACCCTTTTACATCGAAACCTGAGATAGATAGCTAGGTAGCTTTCATGGTCACTTCCTTCGATCCTTTTTGACGTTTCAAAGTTTATTTCCCCGTTAAATTTATCTCGAAAAGAAGCGGTTGCACACTGATGGTTATTTTCCCCAGGGAAATAGGCCTTACTCCGCGAGAAAATAAAGTGGATATTCAAGTGTAAGCGCAAACCTATGTTTATCTTGTCCTTTTTGTATTGTAGGAAAGCGACCACTTGAAGTCTATCTTCAGTTATTTAACTGGAAAGCAGATTAGTAGGGCCTGTAATACGGCACAACAACATGGCGATTATCGACTTTCACTTCTGTTGTCACAAGTTACAGGAAACTCGGCGACACGAAACCTCATCTACAAACAGCTGAGCGATTGGCAGGAAATAAAGGTGCAATAATGGATACATAAATATTTAGGATAATCAACATAATTTTACGATCCCAATAATCTTTTATATGCCTGCGATGTTTACATCAAGTATTGAAATGTTGTTTTTTTTGCTGTGTGAAAGTTATGTATTGTCAATGACATTCTTTAAGTCAAAGAAAGGAATTTTCCTTTGTTTTTGGTCCAAATCTTGTGCTGCTTCTGGCTAAACTTTAAGCATATTACGGACCCGGAGACGTTCCATTTTTTGTCCGCAACCCCGTCCCCCTAATGATGGCTCGAATCCGAACCCTCGAACTTTTGTCGGCGCCCTTTGGAAAATGAAATCCGAAGGGTTCATTTTTTGTCGGCACCTTTGCAAGATTTGTCCGAATGATTTAAATTTTGTCCGTTTTCTTTAAAGAAAAAATCCCAACCCCCTACTGAAAATCCCGCCATCTCGAAAAGTTATCGAAACTTTTGAAAATCGGGCCTAAAGTTAGCGTTCCCTCTTTTGAATGAATGTGCGAAAGTCAGCCCAGTGCAAGAGTTGCCGCTTTCAACCCACTTGGGTTGAAAGCGGAAACTTATATTTGGCTTTTTTTGCCTTTCGACAAACAATGCCTAATCTTTGGTTACATATTGATTTTGTTTTGTGTGGTAGAATTTCCCTCCCTTTCCGGCGTCACAGCGTTGATCTTCTTATGAACTCACCCGCCCCGGATTGTCCTCAGTTTGAAATGGCGAGCTGCTGGGTTCGCTAATTCTCAACTTTTCCCTTCAAATTCTCAATAATTTTTTATTTTTTGTAGTTTCAGACAACTTGGATATTAATTGCAACATTTTTTACTTTAATTTTTGTTTTTGTTGTAAGCAATAATAGTTGTTGGATGCTGTTGGATGCTGTTGGCTTGCCATTTATAACTGAAATAACATAAATGGCTGGCTTTCCTCTCCTCTCTTTCTATCAAGTCTTTTTCTCTGTATTTTATTTGTTTTTGACATCGTTTCAATTGTCTTAAACAGGCAGACATGTTTATTGACGAAGAGAGAATAAAAATTTACGCTTTGCTCGCTGGCGCAATGGTATGGCCCTTGACAAGTGACACAGTTAACGTTTGCGAAGGTCTGGATTGGAAAAGAGTACTTGCTGTTCATTTGTGGTAAGGAAATTGTTGGGGCGGAGGAGAGGGTAGTCTGCTATACAGCCGTTTTTAGTGTCGTCACGCAACGTTCCTCCCCACTAAAAACGGCTGTGTAGCAGACTAAGGAGAGCGGAGAAGTGGCGCCTAATGAAACTGAAACCGCAAAAGACAACAACAACAACAACAACCTGATACTATTTGTTTTGTTTGTTGTTCTAACTTTTGAGTCTATGGTTGAAATCCTATGGTGTTACCATTCAAATGAAACCTCTTCAGCAGTATTTTCACATGGGACTATTTGTTTTGTACATGTTCTAACTTTTGAGTCTATGGTTGAAATGCTATGGTGTTACCATTCATATAAAACCTCTTCGACAGAACTTTTGCACAGTGCTATTTAAATCTTAAGATTTAACAAAAAGAAATGTAGATTTCCTTTTTTAAATTTTAATTTTGGCAAATTTTAGGAGTACAAGAGTTAACAAGCTTTTTTTTTCATTTGTCAGGTATTGCTGTTCACCGACATCTTCAATACAAGATGCATTGAATGCGTATGAAGCTTCTTTCAAGGCAAGTTCTTTTCAAGTAGCTTGCTTTGTTTACTAAATTACGTGACCTTGCACATAATTTGTTAGACTCCTTTACCTGTGGCCTTCCCAGTTGTAGTGAGCACAAACTTAAACAAGGAATTTGTGAAAAAATTCAAGCCAAAATATCTTTTTACCATGCAGGGAAGTTCCAGCTATGGGAAATATGGTGCCCCTCCTCGGCCACCCTTTATGGAAGAAAACGACGAAGACGAAGATGAAGAAAACAAGTTCGTGACGCGAGATACGTGTTACCATCTGTTAAAACTTTACTGCAAACGATCGCACAGACTTGAGCGACTTCTTTCACCATCAACCTCTACTTCTCATCAACTTGACTTCAGCTTGAGGTACAAATTTTTTGTGCGGGGGCGTTGCGCTCTTGTTGTCTAACTTTTTTTTTTCATTCGCAACTTTCGCTTTGACCCTGATACACCTTGTTCCCCCCCCCCTCTCCCCACCCATAAATTTTGCATGAGCACCGTCTTTACCTCAGTTTCTCTTGGGATGAGTGTAATACCTTGGAGAAATTGGAAACAAATGTTATGCATTTTTTGGCGGGGGAAGAGGCTAACGAGGTGTATTATGGGACTAAATGACGTTATCAAAATTCAAAATGCGATTTGCGGGAAATTTTCTTTCCATTGGTTAGAAAAGCTTCACAAATATAAATTTTACTTGAGCACGTTGTGACGCAACTTGGCACTGCAGGGCTCAAAACAACTTTAGGGCGGTGGCCGGACACGATGACCGACCAAAGAAATTTTTGCTCGTTCAAGTCTCCTTTTCTACCCGGTCAAGAACTAGGGAAAAAGTGTAACTGATCCTTGTCTAATTTTCTGTTAGTGAACACGATTGTGTTTTTACAAAGAGACAAAATCTTAAGATATACAGGTGAGGAATTGGCTGTTTGTTCTACAAAAAGAGTCTGCGTGACCGATCAACATGACCGGCGAGTGGAGCTTTTGGCCGGTCAAGACGTTAGTCTGGCCGAACAGTGTCCGTTGACCGGCCGTTATTCACCCTGCACTACGACGTAGAATTAAGGTAATCGTGTAAATACATGATAAGGCATAATGCAATTTCTTTGCACAATAATATCTCTGTAAGTGGTGATAAATATGCAGTTCTAGCTGAGTCACAATCTCTCTGTGTTTTTCTGTTCGTTTTTCTCTCCTCAGTTGGCATCTGTATCAGGTCTTACAGTCTCTCGAGTACACGCATCTCTCCGAGTACCACTCGGGCATGTTACACAGTGGTTTTGCCGCTCAGTTGGAGGGAATGGGTTTGTGGCACTGGGCTGCTTTTGTGTTGTTACATATACAAGACTTTGACAAGTACGTTTAGTTTACTCAAGACTTGGTTCTCATTAGCATTTTCTGCAAATAACCCTGACTCTCCAAGAAACAAGCTTTGAGATGTGAAATGGGTTTTTAACGTCATACCTAAGCAAAAGATAAACTCACTGCACTCGAACCCTTGGCGCCTGCAAATGGTGTCAGTGGTTATTGGATTTGGTTACCCTGTGCATTTGTTACCTGCGGTGCTTTGTCAGTGTAAAATCGTAAAGTCATTTGTCCTCCTTTTAATGAAGGATAACGTGTCTATTTTTTTCATCTAATATTGCTAGGCGAGAGAACGCTGTCCGTAGTCTTTTATGTCGCCACTGTTGCTTGTCAGCGGATCACCAAAATGTCGAGAAAGAGCGCTTTATGTTAGATGACTTAAAAATCCCTGCTGAATGGATACACGAGGCTAAGGTAACGTGAAACTCTTTGTATTTAATGTTTGATTTGCTAAGAGACATTTGTATTTATTTTGCGAGGTATATGATATTACCAATGACCCTACAATTTCAAATATGTGACAGCATGAAAGCTTAACCTAACATACTGTCACCTAGTGTGACTGTTTAAAACTAAAGTAAACGAATCGAATAATTGGCTTTGCATAACAAAAGAACGTAGCAAACAGGGTTATGGCCAAGAACAAATCGATCTTTTTTTTAAAATTCAATCGTTTTTTTTATAAAATATTGTACGAACTCTGCCTGTCTGGTGCATACGAAGCAGATTGAAATGCTGTCAACTGCTTGCTGTAAAGATCTTCTAAGAAGCGCTGCTCCACGAAGCTATATGTTATCCACGATACGATATGTGATATGAAACTTCTTAACAAAATTAGTGGTGGCTGTTTCCACCCTTTGTACCCTATTTTGCCCAATAATGTGGGAGAAAAAGTGAGATGCGAACTTCGGTGTTTCAGAAAGTGACTAGAAGTGCCGTAGCTGACAGGAGACTTTTTCCCATTACTTTCAGGCGTTGCGTTCGCGCTACGAGGGTCGAACTCGCGAGGAAGCTTTTCATCTGGTTAAGGCGCGTCATTGGAGTCTGGGGCATAACGTTGTATTGCGCAGCCTCGTCAGTGATGCGATCATCAACGGTAAGAAATTGAAAAATTCCTTTAATTATAATGCCTGGACGATGTGTATTGTAATTCAACGCTTTATCAAATTAATTCTTTCTTTTAGGGGAGTATGACATTTTGAAGACCTTGCTTGGAGAAATGGAACCGAGAGATCGTAGCTCCACCGTGAGGGACTGGGCGACAGGAGGACAGGTTTGTCATAAGTCCATTGTTATCCCTGTAGCTGCAATCGTTGCTGGTCAGCGCCATGAGTCGAGAACTCTTGCAGATCTGGGGACGGGAATGTTCTTGTGTCTAGAGCTGTTTCCAGTTTAGTTCCGTAAACCCAGACTATCACAATCCAATCCAATAAACAACAAAATGAGACATTGAGACACCAAAGCATGCAGCTCGCGTGGAGCGCGGGAAAACTAGTCTGAACAACGTGAAGACCTTGGCACAAGATTCTCGGCCAATCAGATGATGAGGACAGAAGTAGCCCAGTTAATGGAGACCTTAAGATGTAACCTTTTCTGCATGCTGGTGTACGGGAACGGGTACAGGTAAATTCCCAGGAAGAAACGGCTTGGTTCCCGGGTAGAGCAGTCAAGCTAATACTACCACATTTGTGTAAACATAGTCTACTTTATTACTTACACATGGTAAACATGTTCCCCTTCCCGCACTCGTCGGCAGAAACGGTGTATCTCCAGTCGCGTTCTCATCTTTTTGCTCTTTCGTACAAGGTATTTTTGGATTACCTCGCACTAATGGAAAAGTTTCAAGACATTGCCAAGGTAACACAAACATATTTGTGTCCCATTATCATCATCATCATCATCATCATCATCATCATCATCATCATCATTTTACCTTGCAGTATTTTCGTTGGTTACTCATAATACATTTTTGATGAAACTTAGACATTTCACCGTACTTAGTGAAAGAAGAAAAGAAGCAATTTTACCCCAAACGACAGTGCATGATTTCTCTATTAACTTCCTGGACTGAATGTACCATTTCCCCCCTATCTTTCATAACAACAGCCATATTTTGCATAAGAAAACAAACTGTTGTTGTGTTCAAATGACGTCATCGTTGAGTCTGCGTGCTTTAGTGATCCAGAATGCATGACAACAGTAAATTAACAACTGTCTTGCATTGTTGCAGGGCAAAGTTGTACCAACGAAGTATGATCTGGAAGATATTCATGCTGAGGTCTCCTCCCTCTGCACCAGAATCAACATTTTACCTTCCAACACAAGCAGAGACTTGTAAGTAATTGTTTCGCATCGAATGGCCCTGTTTTTTTAACTGTTTGTGATGTTGTTTGGTTCATGATGTAGAAAGTTGGGAATTCGTAGGCGGTGAAGGGAGGGAGAAGGGGGTCTTACTTGAGAGTCACACAAAGACAGGTGGTATTGGAGGATCGTTTTAAACTTGAATTCCTTTAGAAACTGAGGGATTTTGGAACTCAGAAATGCTGGATTAAACAACAGTACTATACCTTTTATTGCCGTCTGTTACTGTCTCCTGGGAGTTATTGTGAAAGATAAATAAAAGAAACAACCGCATCGACTGTAATCTTTAAACTCCATTCTTCATAAAGAACAATGGCCATAAAAGTTGATTTTCATTGAATAGCACTGTATTATCCGCCTTTAAGTTGGGCAAAAATATTATCCTGGCAAACTGATTGCCGTGTTCTCTTCTTCCTCTACAGGTTATGCCAATACGATATGGCTAAAATGTGCGCAAATTTTATGAAGATCGTCATGAAAGAGCTGGTAAGCGTGTTTTACAGTTTAAGAACAAACTTCTCTTGTAAAGGAAACTGTTGATAGCCTTGATGAAGCACTGGCTTTTGTGGCGGAGATTACCTTTTTGTCCCTCACGAAATCGTCCCACTTCAACCCTGGAAATGACCTGGTCAGATTGCTTTCAAATTCTTGTTTGTCCTTATAATTGGTAATTTGATTCATTTTTAGACGGACCTAACAGATGAAGGGGAGGCTCTTTTACCAACTCATATCCTAGCCCCTCACGTGACTCGGTTGCCGATGCCCGAGGACTGTTCTCTAGCGGAACTACGTCAGTTGGTCCCAAGCTATATCACTGAAATAGCAGCTAGCCATTGATACTAAAGAATGCGAAGAAGGGAGAAGAATGTTCGCATGCTCAGGTCACAGCGCGAACTAATAGTGCGCAACAAAGAAATCCGAGTGTGAGGATGGTATTCGCCACTTTGAGGTTGCACGGGGGCCAGGCCGAGATGGTTGTCAAAGTGCGTTGTGGGACTGTTTTAGGGGACGAATTTGCCGCCATGTTGAAAATGCGTCCCCCAAAACAGTCCTACAGTGCACTTGACAACCATCTCGACTCGGTCTCCCGCGCAACCTCAAAGTGGCGAATTCAAACCTAGCTGTTTGAAGAGCCTACCGCAGACTCAGTCTTGCGTTTGAATAAACGACCAAGACCCCATGGAGATGACGGGGAAATTATGTTCTTGTTATGACTTTCGACGGGTTCGATATCTTTGGAACATTACAGGATCGTACATCGTAAAAAGAACGATCGCGTTATCCTTTGAATTGAAGCCAAAAACAGGCGCTGTATTGTAAAAAAAATAACTTAGTTTTCATTGAATATTTCATAATTATATCAGTTAAAAGTTAAACTTTTCTTTAGTTAACCATTTTTGTAATTCGTCTTGTTTTGGCTAATGTCGATTAATCCATGAAGTAGGTGGCTGCATTTTGTGTGAACATTGATTCTAGAAAATCTGCAGAAGCTTGTAAGGAGTTTCTGGTAACCTGAAGGTTACTTCTTTTTTTAAAAACGTGATCCAACCTGTGCAATTCATGAAATATTATTAAATGAATACTGAATTTTATTGGTTGGTCCAATAACCTGCTGAACTCATCAGAGTTGACTTACTGGTCTGTGTTGTCCTGCTTGCGCAGGTTACAGGTTGGGGGTGGTGAAGGTGAATGTAGGGGAAAGAGGAGGAGTTGGTCTGGGTACAGGGGTGGAAAAGACGATGAGTTAGTCTGGGTTTGGGTAGGGGTAAGGGGGTGAGTAAGTTTGGGTAGGGGTAGGGGAAACGGGATGAGTTTGTCTATTTGGGGGTTGTAGTTGGCCAAACCAACGGATACTACAAACTTTTCGCATAACAGTGCCGTTATATTCAGTTTAATTTCAACGTTATTTTGTTGATATTTTTACTATAAACAAGGCGCTTAATTTTGCCAAAATTGAGATTAAAATTCAGCAGTTTATCCTTGAAGAACACTCAGTCTATCCAATACACCGGAGCATTCATTGAAGGATGGCCTAGCTGGGTGTCCTGTGCAAGATCTAGTGGCCCAACAATTTAATAAAACTTTTACACGTGTCATTCACAAGTGTAGCCTTTGTTTTAGAGTCTGAGAACAATAGCTACACTTGTAAATTACACGTGTAAAAGTTTGATTAAATTGACCCCTGGATGAATAGGCCAGTTTCGAATTATCTAAATTCATACTTGGCTCTGAGGTTGAGAGAAATAAAACAAAAGAAATAAATTATTCATTTGTGAATCTCAATGCCAGTTCTTTTGTTATATACCCGTTAACCTCGAAACCAAAACACCATCGAAACTTACCCTTTTCGTGCTTGAAACATTCCGCATTATCTATTTAAGGTAACTGAACTTGTAGGCTCTTGCTTGCATCTCTGGGGTTTTTCTTTGTCTTTGCGCGAACAGTTCCGTGTTTCCACTAACCGGAAGTGGTTTTCTTCTTACATAAAAGTTGTCATTTGTCGCCAAGAATGACCAACTTAAAACTCGTAACGCGATGGGTAAGTATCGAAACTGAACCGTATCAATCAATTATGTGAAAGAACGAAACCGGAAATACAACTTACGGAAGTTACTTTACCTCATTCACTTTACACGTCATCACCACTTATGGCCATATTTGGATGAGAATCGTCCCTTCCCTAAAGAAAAATACTCGAGTTGTCTTTTCGCTTGCAGCGTACGTCGATTGTCGATAAAAAAATCATCATTGTAATGGATCCAAGCAGCTTTGACAACATTAAACGAGCCGTTCAGTCAAAATCCTTCAAGGACGAGAAATTGAATGTGATTCGGTCAACTCTTCCCTGCTCATATGGTTATTTGTCTGGTGAACAAGTCGCTCAGCTGGTCCAGGAGTTCCCGTTCGATGACGATAGGTTAACAGTGGTTGAGATTTGTGCTCCGCGAATGTACAGTTTATCTTGTCAGCAGGCAGCGACCATAATGGGCGTTTTCTCCTTTGACAAATCCAAGACTAAGGCGTTGGAGTTGATTGCTGGCCACATCAATGACAATAACTTGTCTGCTTTAGACAGCGTGCTCAGCTTCTCAAGTGACCGAGATCGAGCGAGAGAAATTCTTATGAATCGCTCCGCTATGGGACAACCGCCCCGACAGCCCGGACTTCCACCTCAACCAGGACCTCAACCTTTCCCAGGCACCGGAGGTTTCCCGGGCGTCGGAGGATTTCCTGGGATGCCACCTCAACTCGGAGGATATCCTACACAATCACCGTTTCCAGGAGCACCACCATACGGTGCACCAAGCCCCTATCCAGCACCAGGACCATACGGGGGATATCCCGGAGCAGCTTCTCCACAGTATCCAATGGGCACAGCTCCCCCTCCTACTGGTGCTCCTTATGGTGCCCCACCTCCAGGGGGCTACTATCCACACCCTGGGGGATTTCCTCCACAGGGGTATCCCTATCAACCTAGATAGAGGAACCGTATGTTTGTTTTGGTGAAAGTAGTTCAAATTGGCATTTTAGCATTTTTAGTAAGACTTGTTTTGACATACTATGTTGCATTAGTGATCAGTTGTTTTACTGTCAGACTAACAAAACAGTGAACAAAATAAACCGTGTTTATTGGTCACAACACACTGATCTGGACATGCGAGCTAGCCACAAAACCACAAACCAAGAATTGTTGTTTCTCGCACTTTAAGCCCTGTGCAAGCAAATTCAACGTTGTTGGATGTTACTTGTTGTGTCTGTTTGCATACCTGTTGCATGTTGTTGCGTGTTGCTGGAAGTTGTTGTGCAAAGTTTGAAAACGGTAAATCTTTTAACCACGAGCAAATGGACACAACAACTCCCAACATTGTTGGGCCAATGCACATAGCTTTAGTTTTCTCATCCCTGATTGAATTTTTTTAAACACTATAACTTTCCCGAAATATTTCTGGGGTTCACAGATTTGTTAGTTTTACAGTAATATAATGAATACTAATAATATATAATAATATAAATTTTTTGGCTGTGATTCATGTTACCTATTATACAGAAATGCCAACCTCTGTAGATGTAAAATCTGGATATTGATCCTTTGGACCACTCCTCCTACCTCATCAACTTGCCCCACCCCTGGTACGCAGTTAACTCAGCCTTCAAATCAGTAATAGTGTTTACAGTGGTGATGAATGCTTATAGTCATAGTTGCGTTTAAGTATCGTCAGAATGCTAAACGTAAATTATTAATTTTGAAGAGCCTAATTTTGTGAAATTTTTGGTTTACGGCAGACCATACTACCAATAGATTAAAAGTGTCCCACTGCTGTCTTTAGCTTGTTTATTCATGCACATTTTTTTCTTTTGCTCATTCATTTTTCGCAGGCTATACACAAGGGGGCTGGCTAATTTCATTTGGGAGATGTGAGGTCCCATGTACAGGGTTGTCATTAAGAGCCGGGGGCCGGGGATTTTCCCCGGCTACTAAGAGAGTGGCCCCCGGCTACTTTTATTGGAAAATAGAAGAAAAATAGAACCAAAAGAAATCCCTAGCCGTTTGATTCCCCACCTACTTGTTGTATTTGCCCGGCAACTTGAAATCTTTGTGACAACCCTGCGTGTAGGTAAATATTGGCAATGAGTTGAGTTCTTATTGGTTCTTTGATTTGAACGATCTGCCTGTATTTCCACTCTAGCCTCCGCTGCCAGCAGTGACATAATGAATACATTCTTGACATTTCTGCACCTCTATAAGGATTTACATTTTGCCTAAAATAAAGGATCTTTCCTGCATTCCACTCCAGAGTCCTCCAGTGAGCACAACGATGAAACGAGATTGAGGCTTGGATGGACTGTTTCACACAAACTATCAGACTGCTGTCTTCAGCTTGTTCATTCACACATGTTTTTATCTTTGGCTCATCCATTACACTAGGGGGGCTAGTTAATTTCATTTGGGAGATTTGAGGTCCCGTGTAGGTAAATATGTGATTTTCTTTGTATCCAGGAGTCTACCAGTTAGAAGAGAGTTGGTATTTTTTTTTTGTATTGAATTAAATTAAATGTTCTTCATTCTATGACATGCCAACGTTTCAGATTTTCAAATGTGAGAGAAAATTACAAGAGTTAGTGTTTATTAATAATGACCTTATTCAGGGTGTCAGATACACTGAGACATTTACTCATCATTTATGTTACCTTCCAAACACTGAAGAAAGTGAAATTATTCAAAAACATTAATCTAGTATGAAAAGTTGTTGAGGTACAAAATACCTCTCATGCTAATAGTTTCGTTGTCAAATTGTCGTATCTTTTAGCAAAAGATAACTTAAAAAGGCTCCCAGGGAAAAGAGAGATGTTGCGATCAAGGAATAATATAATTTTATAGTAGGACTTCTGTTTGTTCAGTTACTTAATATGACCAATATTATTGTCCATAATTTTGTCAAAAGATGTGTGCCCGTCATTGGCATACCCAGAAAGGAGTAGCATGAAATCAATGTAGTTATCATTGCTCATGGAAATTGTAAATTTCCTATTTTATTTTAATCAATCAATCAATTAAAATAAATCAGTCAATCAATCATTTTTTTTCATATTTTTCCTTCCTATTTTCTCTAATGCTTTCTTCTAGGGGTAGGGGGGGGGGGAGAGGAAACTACAATTCCAAAATACCTACACATGTATGTATCTAGAACAGGGTATCTACGAGTTTATTTCAGACTGGTGGGTGCACTGTGAGTATGCCCATGGACCGAGTACTCTCTAGGCATGTTTTTCAATCAATTAAAATAAATCAGTCAATCAATCACTTTTTTTCATATTTTTTATCTTCCTATTTTCTCTAATGCTTTCTTCCAGAGGTAGGGGGTGAGGGTGGGGGGGGGGAGAGGAAACTACAATTCCAAAATACCTACGCATGTATGTATCTAGAATGTATCTAGAACAGGGTATCTACGAGTTTATTTCAGACTGGTGGGTGCACTGTGGGTATGCCCATGGACCAAGTACCCTCTAGGCATGCATGTTTTCATGCTTTGTACATTTTAATGCAAAAGGTACATTCTGCTGGAGCTAGAAGTTGTTCTTTTAGGTTTTGCAGCAGAAAAAGTGATCCTGTCCCCATGACTTTCCATAAATGTTCGATTCCATAGAAACAGGTGTGTGTTATTAAAAGATGTGTATTGAAGAATGAAAGATGTTAATGGTTTTTTGTCTTCCGATCGCCATCATCTTGTTTGCCCTGCCTCTCATTATAAGCTGTGCATTTGGTGCCTAATTGTTGTGATGGACTGAAAATTCTCCCATCACTGTAATATATTAGCCAATCAAGAGTAAGAGCAAAAGCCAATCGCATTATGCCTATTTTCCCATGCTTGGCAAGTGGAATGAGTTGAGTTCTTATTGGTTCTTTGATGTGAATGATCTGCCTGTATTTCCACTCCAGCCTCCTCTGCAGAATGGTTACAGTGACCGTGAGAAGTCTGAGAACCAGAAAAGGAGTAAAAAAGAGTTCTTCACTGTCGCTCCCCTTTCTCTCCCCATTCTCCCACGCGTTCTCTTAAGCAGGACAGTGATGTCTACTGGGGAGGCTATGTCCACACAATCTCATAGCAATGACCAGCAGCTGAATGCTTAATTTTAAACCTAGAGGAAAATCAATATCAGCACATGAAAAAAACACAGCCTAGCCCCAAGGCTTTTATTGGCACGGTCATTTCTGGACTCTCCCGTGCGAGCTGTGACGTCATCGAAAAGCGGACTCGCCGACCCTTCCCAGAATTCGCGCGAACAACCGGGTAACTGGGAAGTCCACTCTTGTTTGGTAATATAAATGCAAAGTTTTGTCAGGTTACGAGCTATCTGAAGGGGCAAAAAAGAAGTTCAAAGCTGGACGTTTGTTGACTGGAGGCCGTAATCTTAGTCACAAAAGGACAATTAAAGGTAAAGTAGACCAAAGACTGACAACAGAGTTCTAGCATAATAAAGTTTAATTTCCTTAATTAAGATGTGCAACGTTTAGTTTAGCTTAGTTTTGACATTTTCATCACACTTATCCCTATAGCTTTCCAACAAATCACGTTCTGGATGCCTTGTCATCATCAGCACATCAAGCCAGGGTGAATCTCATCTTCTCTCAACATTTGTTTTCCGAGCTGCCCACATAGGCGAGAGAAATTCTTCACAATCCTTTCAAGGCCACAGCTAGATTTCTTAGGATCCCCCTCTTCAATATAACAAGCGATGAATTCCTGCACATCGTGACACATGTTTGAGTCTTGCGTCATCTTGTCGAGGAAACGCTTAACGCACTTTCGGTGGACAAACCGTGCGCAAGCTCGGCAGGTATCATGACCTGGATAGGAACAGCAACAATGGTTCTTTTTTAGTGGTAACCTCAGGGATATTAGGGTATTTTGGTACTATCCCTCAGCCCCTGAAGCACGAGTGCAAGAATTTCCGTGGGTAGAATCTGGTGATACTTGCAGCCTGGGTAATGGGCTCCTGATATTTCGAATACTCAAGTTCACCTTAAAGATTTTCCCTCTCCAAATCCTCAACTTGGTAGGACAAGGGTTTTTGGCCTTATTAGTTTGCATATGAGGCAGTCCTCGATGTAACGATTGTTCCCCTCCCCCACCCGCGTGCTCATTTTTAGTAAATAGCCTGCGAATAAAGCCTCCTTTCATTGCTTTTCGTGGCTGAGGAGGTCCGATTTTGGCTATAAATAAATATTTAGATTGATGAGGAAGATTGTTGTTGTATTTTTTAGCTAGTTTAAGGAACACTTACCAACATAGTTTTGTAGGCTGTTTGCTGAAAAGTAGACCAAGAAGGATTTGTCAGGAGTGTGCAACGAAAAGTAGCCTGCGAGCAAACTCTCCTATTTGGGCAAGGGCCCTCTTTTGCTCGTGCGCGAGCCTCGCGAGAACTTGCAAACGAAAAGATCAAAACTGGCCAGTTCAATAGGACAAATAAAGTGGGAGATGAGACGAGCACAGATAAATTTGCGGCAAAGCACCAGGTGGTAGGGACGAGTGTAGGAAGCGCAAAAGACTCTTGCTACCGATCTCTACCCCCCAGTCCCTTTGCACTTTCACATTCTTCCATTTTTTTGCGTTCACCGAATACAAAATCCAATGGTGAAAAAAAAAAAAAAATGAAAAAAGGGCCTTTATATCACCCGTAAGGGAGCCGTCGGGCTCTAACACATTCAAACTAACTTCCAAAATCTCTTGGGGAATTTTTTGTTACAGTTTTTTCCTCTTACCATGTAAGGCCTTTTCAAGTTTTCTAACCCGATGTCGACGGCACACAGCACATTTTTTGTCCATCACACCATGTTCCAGGACGACCAAACTATACTGTGCAAGCCAGGTACCCCCTGGACATTTCTTTAGAGATTTCCATAAGCAGTCCATAAAAGTCTGTTGACGACAATGATACACAACGATCAATAACGATCAGCGTAATATTCACTCTATTTCAAGCCCGTGTTCTTATTGCCCTATTCTTTTCCCTTAAAAAGGGGTGGAGATACGAGTGAGAAGCTTCTCCATCTCTTCAGTTGTGGCTAAAGCTCAAAAAGACCCCTAAACCTCAACCATCTAAACAGTGTCGCGGCGGTTTGCTACACGCAAAACTCTAGAGCAATGCCTTCAAAGATAAAAGTGAGTGTTTTTCTCCAGAGTTCAGATGTTATTATACCAAGGATAGAAGAAGACGAATATCACCACGGATCTCCGAAGTTTCACTGAAGTGCAATTTTGCTTCGCTTTTGACCAAAATGAGATGGTGGCAATCAGAGGGCGTGATAAACAGTCTGAAAAATGCTGTCACCCATAAACACTCACGGCAACCGCTTAACCTTGCCGTGACGGGAGATGGGGAAAAACTGTTCGAAAAAAAAAGAAGGACTGAACTTCACGACAGTATTAAAAAGGGTCGATACTCAGTAAAGCTTAATTAATACCTGAAGAGCTTGGCAATAAACATTTTTCTTGTCCTTCAAACTTTGAGTTCGTCCACCATAGATTGCGCGCCTGTTGGCGATCAAGAAAACGTTTTTGAATTCATGGTTACACTTCCCGATGGCGGCATACTCGCACGGAAGTCTTGGTGCAGTTGGGGAAAAGGTGGTATTGACGGTGGGAGTATAACCACCAAAACAGCCATGAATCGTGATGCAAAGAAAAGAAACCAAGAGAAGCAGAGAAATTGACGCCATTATCAAGCTTTGAAGGTCTCTAAACCAGTACCCTGTGAGCAGTGGTTTCTTCAACTAAACCAGCAACCTAAAAACAAATTGAAAAACTCATTTCTTATTCAGTTTGTATTGTTATCGTATCATCCCCGTATGTATTGGCTTAATCTAATTCTTCCTTTGGTTAATTTACTCCTGACGGTATACAAGTTGCTGATTTTTGTACTAGAGCTAGAAGTCAGAAATTCTGTGTGAAAAATCATTAATTGAAGTGATTTAAAAAAGCATTGGAAAATAATTGACTATGTTTTGATTTTACATTACTACGGTAATGTTTTTTTTTCTAGGTTAAATTTCGTGTCCGAGTTCTTAAAAAATTCACAGTCACTTTCTGCGTGTGTTATTTTAGACAACCAATACTTACTAAAAGATTTTTCAGATTTAAAAGGTGATGAACCAGACGCACACGCCACGTAATGTTTCCTTTTTTAGTGTAGTCCTTATGATCCAAAATTTGGTTTTTTAAGACGGTTATAGTCGTAAAAAGCATTAAAGGTTATTTTTCCAATGTTCTTAACGTAAACCCACGCAATAAAAACCAGACACACAGACTTGAAAAAAAAAAGACGTTGTAGAAACGCTAAAAAAAGGAAAATATATCAATTTTTGTTTGAATTTCCATTCTCTTTCTTACCTCTTTCGTTGAACTCTGCTACGAGTTTGCTTGAATGGACTCCGTGAAAATGTGCAGATGGATCTGTAGAACACTTTTTCCTTTATAGCCTACTATGCAATTACGAGGAATAAAAAATCTGAAGGAGTACTTGAAATCCGTTGTCCGACAAAAAGAAAAATCAATTAACATCAGTAAACGCTTATCAATAAATATTAGTTGCCCATAAGGTCAATAGGAAATGCTCTTTATGGCCTTACCTTTTCACGCAATTTAAAAGTCAATATCTGGATCTTCTTGAATTTGAAAACAATTTTAATTGACAGGCGAACTTGACTACAGATCTTTTACGTCAAGAGGTTCGCTATTGTAGGTCTTGTTAAAAACCAGACATGCATTATAAATTTTGTGCAAGCGCTCTTATACAACAACGAACCTTCCAGACTGCCAATTTCTGCTCTTATACGACAGTTGTATAACCAACCACAAGTTTAGAAGCAGGTTCTAAGCCCGGGGGCTAAATTAAAGTTTTATACAGAGAGGCGTTCTCCGGCCAGAGGTCCAACCCCTTACCCTTTTACATATTGTTTTGGACAGAAAAGGTACCCCATTTCGTATACCGTACATTGACAAATGGTACCCCTTTCACATGCCTAGTTTAGAACTTTCCATCCCCTGGAAATCCCTGCTGGAAATGCACCGTCTTTGAAATATGAATAAACCACAAAACAAGAACGTTTTCTCGAATTTTTCATAGCCATAAAATGCATCTGTTCCTCCTTTTGGGCCTTTTTGCAGACTGAAATAACAGATTTCCCTGCATACCCTTTCATATACTCCAACTTGTGAAATCCCTGAAGCTTTCAAGAGGTACCCCCTTCGGGACGGGACTCCCCGTATAGGCCATTACAGGGAGTACCCCCGGGTTCTAGGCCCTCATTGCTGTATTGACGATCAAAATAAAATTAACCGGATTTCTCCTTCTCCCCCCACCCCGGTTCAGACATCCACCATCAGGTGAAGACGCATTTTCTCCACTTTTTTCTCATTTTCGAACGTCATCAAACATTTTCTCTTAGGGCTTTTAGTCCTTAGAGGATTCAATCTCCTACTTTCCCCAGTCTCTCCAAAAGAAAACATATTATCCCAATATCACGGAAAATATTGGGGAACCGCTAGAGATGCTCAATTACTGCAGAGGACAATTTTTTTCCTGATTTAAATGACGGAAACATACTAAAGGATATAGTAGACAGTTCAGTTATTTATCCAAACGTTACAAACGTATTTTTGGGTGGAAATGAAAAACGTTATCCTGATTTTTCATTTGTATTAAATTCCATTCAGGAGTAGCTGAAGCAAACCTCTTTACTAACGTTAAAATAATCCAGCCTTAGATAACAATCCAATTCAACAGTATAGAGTGAACATAACAGTTAAGTTAACAATTAAGTTTTTCAGTTCAATTACCACCATCAATAAACACTAAAGCTTTACTTTTCACTTGTCAACTTGATAAAATTCTATCAGTATTGGTTTATCTATTCTATATCAGAAAAGAAAGGAAACAGAAATCTCCTACTCCTTTTTGAGGAGCTCTGGCAGCTTTATCTTTTCGAAACAGACGTGTATCATTAGTCGAACTATCACGACATTAATTTGCGCACCAATACTCCCTTATAGATTCATCACGAGGGGAACTTCCTTTAGTTTCCCACAAGTGAGGGTTGATACAGTTCCACGCAACATTTGGGCCAAGCGGAGTAGCTTGCAGTCGCAGGCATTTGCTTGTTGAATAATTGAACTAAAACATCTGCGCTGTTGTGACATTAAGCTAGACCAGTATCCCTAAGTATGCACAGCTGGAGAATCTAGACAGTTAGAAGACAGTTTTCTTCTCTATTAACTCTCCATTAACTCTTCAAGCTTTATCTTAACTTTTTTTTTTCAAAGTATAACAAAGGGGTAAGGTGGAAATATATGACCTGAACATATAGTAGTTTCAGGCTCTCCTCTTCCGTCCCGCTTGTCGCTCCGATCCGCGCGTTCGGTTGCATGCACATACCAACTGTGAACCTGCTGCTCTAATAGATGCTGACTTTTGCATGTCACTTTAATTTTCTTTTCAATTTCATAACTTGTATTTGGTACTTCCAGTCCACTTCGAAGAACATCTCCTTCATCCACTCATCCCATTCCGCTTTTCGAAGCATTCCAAGCAGCTACATTCTGGAAGATGAGATTATCAATTCACGTGGGCAAAAGTTTCGTAAATTAAAATTATATGCTAGGTGGATCAAAAACCATGGAGGGATATTTCAATTGCCCAGCATTTGAGTCTGCTCAAGAACAACCTCCTTCCCGACCCAGGGTTTTATCTGTTTCTTTAATATTTTGAAATGGCCGGAATAACACGTGGAACGAGTTTGTGATGCATACTTGATTTTGACGGAGCCTGTTTCAACTTGTAATTTTCTGGCCTAAATTAGCCAGAGTACTACGGCAGAACAAAAGAGATAAACTGTGGAAAGTCAGAAACCTTAGTATTAGCTCGGGGAGGGGTGGGGGTGGGGGGGTACTCCCTATAACGGCCTATGTGGGGAGGCTCCGAATCTGTCATTTGGGTCTGTAAAAGGGCCCAAAAGGGCTAACATTTGAATTTTATGGCTTTATAAAGTCGAGAAAACGCTCTATTTTCGTGACTGATTCCTTTTAAACGACAGTGCATTTACGGCAGTTAAAAGGAATGCAAAGTTCTAAAAGAGGTATGTGAAAGAAGTACCATTTGTCAATAGAAGGTACCTTTTTCGTGAAAAATGGTATATAAAAAAAAAAATTTAGAAGGGTTTGTATGGAGCTTTAAGCATAACTGGTGATCTCAGAGACAATTTGCTGGACCTCAAGGGGCGGACATTGTTCTCCCCATATAAAAAATTTGTTTTATGACGTCACCCCCACTCTATAGAAGGTGTACTGAAGTGTCAGTGAGTGTTTCACTTCCTTTCATGATTCTGTTATCTTCCGGTTTATCTTGAATGGCTACTTATGATGTAGCATTGCATTAGCATGCTGGTCCGTTGTGTTCTGCATGATCGCATTACGCTTAAGACCCTTTTAAAAATGGGCTCCACAGTTCGAAATCATCTGTTCCTCTGTCTGATGTTTGTTATTGGTTCATGCAATCGGAAAACCTATTTAATTGCTGAAGGGGCAATGGCAGAAAAACCATCCTGTTTTTTCCCGAGTTTCCTGCAAGAATCTTGTTCTCAACCCAGCAAAATTTGTAGACATAACGGGGGCGAAATGTGATCGAATATCAACAGTCTCACCGCGCTGGAGAGAGAACATGCACAGTTCAAGTTTAACTTGTAATTCCTGGAGTCTAATTACTAATGTAAACCCTTTGATACTAAGCAATATGCAAGAGCTACCCAGCTGTCCCGCTGAGCTGAATGGAGGATTTCAAATTATGCAACTCTACAACGGAAAAACAGATGAAATGTGCTTTTTCAACAATGACAATGATACAGCCATATTCGAGTCGGACTGCTTAGGAATGGAGGGTCTTATTGTACAACTACCACTACAAAGAAACTGCTCCTTGAGGAGTAAGAAATCAGAAATTGGGCTGGACCGGCTTCGCTTTCTTTGCTACAGTGCTCCGTGGAAGGATAATCAATTTACATATTTTATAGTCAAAGGACAAAATGTTGGAAGAAAAGTATCCCATGACAGCAAAGCGTCAGTCTTTCTTTGTGCTAGGTTTCAGAGAGCCGATGCAAAGGGAAAAAATAGAGAGATTCAAGTGGAATGTTTTGACCAACCAACATGTTGGCGAAATTTGTCAGCCGCGTCAATTTTCCTAAGAATACAAATCAGGAAAAGGATGACTTTTGACCAACCAGCGAGGGATCCATCTGAGGTGAATAAAACGCAATGCACCTTCCCAAAAAACCTTCAAGGAATTTGGAGAGAAAAATCTCAACAGAATAAGCTGCAGATGATGGTTATAAACGAGACCATGGTTGATATTTCTCCTTATGGCAGGTTCCACTGCAAGGATCGGTATTTCTTCCAGCACCAGGCTCCGTACAAATGCAGTTCAGTAGTGACCGAGAAGTGGCCTGGTACTGGGCGCGCAAGATTCCACTTGAACGATTATTTGCTGTTGTCAAATTTCTCCAATGGCTGTCGCTCAAGAATCACACGCTTTGGCGTCACTGAAGCAATCGGAAATGAGGTGTTGATTTACAGACTTTCACAAAGTGTACCTGTAGAACGCAAAGTGAAAAATTCTGACGTATACTTTAAGTATCATATTCTGAAACAGTTCTGCTCGAGTTGGATTCCGTATATAAAAGATCCTTATCCTATTTGGGGTCGAAATATCGAAAAAATCGCCATGAAAAATCCAACCAGAATCAAACGGCCTTGTTTACTTCCAGCTCTTGGTAAAGGAATCTACCATTTTAAGTCGATGTACGCTGACCAGGATGAGTGCAGTGGACCATCTTCGCGTCTCCAGTTTGGATGCGACAGTTTCATTAACATTTAAAGTGAGGTACGATCCAAGTTGTCGTAAGCCTAATCTGTCGCTTACATGCGTCGGAAAGATCTGGAAAATTGGCGAATTTTCCTTAGTTCAAGATGTGAAAAGTAAGATCACAAGCTGCGTGTTTTTCGATAACGAAAACAACCATCTATTTCGTTTAAACTCCACCCAGTGTTCTGACCTTGAGTGGGGAAAGCGACCATGGGAAGGTAGAAACTTTGCGGAAAAGTTTGTTCTCCAGTACTATGGGAAATGCCCCTTTACAGCTGCAAGTGACTCTCCAGTAACTCGTATGCGAAATGGTTCACATGATTGTCGCACCTTTTTGGCGACTATAGTATCAACTTGCTTTTTGACTAAGTATATTCTCTCTCATCTCATCTAACAATAAAGATTTTTTTTCTTTCGGTATAGCTCTGACCCTGAGGAAGGCTAATTTTGTTAGCCGAAACATTGGCCTATAATAAATCAGCCCTTTGCCGTAGTGCCAACCCTGCATTCAGTTTTGTTTTAAAGATTATATGGTCTCACCGAAATATATCTATTCTTTGTAAATACAATATATGCTATATTTTGCTTATGTAATTGCTCCATGTACAAATTCGGCAAAGATAATTGGAAAAGACACCGAATTTCTGACTGAAAATAAAAGGAAACACTTGTGAAGGCAAAACCACGACCACAAACAAGTGAGGGTGAGGCCGGACCGGATCTTTAGTAGACCTGGATAAGTAAAATTGATCCTTACGGGAGGAAGAGTGATAGAAAAAAAAAAACAAAAACAAAACAAAATAAGGTGGTGAATTATGTTTGCCCGATATTTCGGTTTGCATCACAAACCTTCAACGGGGGCTATAAAAGAAAAATGAAAATAAAACTGGCCATCGCCCTCTTAAAACTGAGGAAGCCAATTTTCCTCACGCTTGACAACAGACACAAGCCTTCTCCTGTTTAGCGGTAGTTCAAGAAAGTGTTAGAGACCTTTCTTCACCCTCCTAGGCTTTAAAAAGTATGGAGTCTGGAGTGAGGAAAAATTCGCCCCTTTAGAGTTCAATGTAATATGTCCACATTCATTTGTTATTTTTTTCCCCACAACTTTTACCTGCGCGAATACTCACTCCACACCCTTGCGCTAATGGTCAAGAAAATCCCCACGGTTCTTATTTTAGTACACGTGTTCGTCGATATCTCACGAGAAAAACGGCCCGCGTATTGGCCCTCCTAGCCTGCGAACAGCAGACGCATTTCTGGTCGTCGCTTCTCTCCGGAAATGCGTCTGCTGTTCGCAGGCTATGTCCCTCCCCAATGAAACCGCTATCTACACAAAGACTATTTTAAAATCTAAAGTGTTAGCTACTTTCTGGCATAAAACAAGATCTTAAATTGGATTTGATCTCAGATTTATTACAAATAACAAAAAAATAAATATATTGATTTATAACCGACTCGTATTTGCCTAACGGAGGACGATGCTACCCGCCCAAAGAACTTCTGCGTGTTTAAAAACGCGGCTGGGCTGGGCTAGTGTAGGGACTGGGATCTAAAGAGAGTTTTCGCGGTGTTCGAGGAAGCCTGGGTAAAAACAATGGCGGATAACAGGGCCGATAATAGCAATTCATAGGTGAGAGTGAATTCTTCTTTTATACAAGGTTTAAAATAACAGTGAACTGCATCATTTTTGATGATCTAAAGATTTATGTTTAAGTACTTTTAATTTACGTTCTTTGAAAAATAGTAAGTTACTCCTTACGTTTTTATAGCGCTTGCAGTCAGTCAACTTCTTTTTGACCCGCCTTTGTACTAAAAACGTCCCTAAGCACTTGTACTCACAGACTTTATATACCTACCAACTCTCACGCCTTAGGCGTGAGTCTCACGCCTGCGGGTTGAAAACTTCGATCTCACGCCGGCTCACGCCTGCGGGCCAATTTCTCACGCCTGATTGAAAAATGTGAGTTGTTGCCGTCCTGCTTGTCACAATTTCCAAAAATATGTTAACTCAGACCCATGTAAGGAACGAAAACCATGTGTAAAATGAATAAATGGCAATACCTTCCTCGCGATCTCTGATTTTTGAAGTGAAAAGCACTGGGAGTGAGCTCGCCTTTGGCAGACCTCGGCAGACTTCGGACGTCTTCGGAAGACTTCGGACTTCCTCGGGAATCTTCGGAAATGATCGTGTCGTCTTCAAAAATCCCAGCACTCCCAGGATAAAAATCTCACGCTTATATCTCAGAAAAAGTTGGCAGGTATAACTTTACCAGGTGATTTGGAGCATCCATAGCCTGAAACGGAAAGAGTTTTTGCACCTTTTTACAGACTGTTTGGTTTCACTATGCTAATCCTTTTTTTCACGATGTTGCTGCAGAAAATTTCACCCAAGTCACCCAAGTCACCCATGCCATGCAGGGGTTTTTGTTTGACCCCTCCCCCGCTGCCTCACTCTGGTGGATATTCCAGTTTAACGTCAGAATTTCTTTACCAATATTGTCATTAAATTTCCATTTGTAAAGTTTTTTCTTGTAAGGTATTTTAAACAAAGATATATGGTGTTGATTGTGTGATGATTATCATTTTTTGAGTTTGTGTTGAATGACACTCAAGGTCTTTACCTTCTATGTTTTCAAATAAAGTGTTAACTTTATAAAAGTGCCAAGTAACTTTTGACCAACTGCTTGATTCTCCTTGCCTTGTATTTGCTTGAGCAACAAAACAAGCTAAAGGTAGTAATTATTATATATTTGACATCACATTGAGGGTTACCTTTGCTCGGGGCCTATTAATGTCATGCACTCTTTTAATTATCACCCATTCAACATACCGCTTATTCTTGTGACCATTTTTATTCAACAGTGCTTTATTGTGACCTTGTTCCCCGTTCCTGAGAGACAACTGAAATCATCATCGAAGTCCATATAAAGTCAAGGGCTTAATGAACCAACATGTTCGGGCATCTCCTCAGAAGAATACATTCATCTCCTGTTGCACTCTTACTTCTTAAGAGACATGCTTCTTGGACACAGGGAGAAGGACCAAACTACTCAAAAAATCTGATTGCTTTAGGAATTGCAACTGCTGGTGGTGTTATGTTTGCTTTTGTGAGTTAAGACTGGTTTTCTATGGTTGCAGTATAAAAGGCCATTTTACAGTTATTGATGCAGCTGGTTCTCATTAAGTTTTAAAGTAGACAGCTAGGATGTAAAAGTAGGTGGCTTGGTAACTGAGTGCTGTAGGCAATTTCAGGGTTTCATGCTCACTCTACCCTATTTCCCCAAAAAAGTGGGCAGGTGAAACCTCCAAGCAGCCGGTTTTTGAGCCAGCTGCTGGCACTTTTAAGATAAGCACCCTGTAGATAGAAACAAGGCTGTGGAGTTGACCTTATTTTGATACTACTTATCCCGCTTTCTTATGTAAATAATGTTTTTCTTATGCTAACTAGTATTTTTCAAACATGCAGGGTGTTCATAAGGCATCGGAGATCTGAGATTGGAGAAGTCTTTTTTTAATACACAGAATTCTCCAGCTAATGTTTGGTAGCTTATTCTTAATGAAAACCTGACCTGAGCATGATTTCCATAAGAAAACAAAGGAGGTTTGTATCAAAAGAAGGTCAACCTCAGCCTCACATTCACTCAAAGGCTAGGGTACTAAGTCCTCAACTGTAAAATGGTCTATTGCCTTAATTGCTAGCCTGCAAAGCAGGCATATTTTGGAGCGCGATCCATGATTTGTTTTTGGGAAGGACGTTATCCTGCCATCTTGGACGTTAATACTACCAAAGAGTTGGGATGAGTCAAAAACTGATTTTAAGGGAGAGGTTTAATAGTTTAAAACAGTTCAGCTAACTCAACCATCTTTGCAACTGCTAAAGATTGAGGTTTTATTTGAATAGTCACACCACAGGATTTCATCCACTGACTAAAAAGTTTGAGCTATGTACACATCCAAAACAAATGGTACCATGTGAAAGAACTGCTGAAGAGGTTTCATTTGAATGGTGGCACCAGAAGATTTCATCCTCAGACTTAAAAATGAGAACTAAGTGCAATAAAAATAGACATACCGTATGAAAGTTTTGATAAAAATGTTCTTTTTGATTCAAAAGTTAAAATGACATGACATGTATTCATGGCTCTGCGAGTAAAAGCATGACCCAACTATTAAATAGTTTTATTATGTAAACACCAATGAAGGTGATGAAGGTGAACTTTTTGAGCGAAAACATGATATCTTCACATGTGAAAAGATCACAATTGCTGTGGCTACATAATAAATCGCACCTTTCACTGTAACCAAAAACTATTAATGTAAAATGGTTTGGTATTTCATTGGTGTTTATTTAGTAGGACATTAAATGACCACTTGAAGATACAAAATTTGTCTTCTCATTTTGAAGAATATCTCACTTGTTTGGTCTGCTCACTCCTGAAATATTTTTCAACACTGAAAGAGAAGTTTCATATCTCTGTGTGCAAATTATGTAATATCTTCTTTTTAATTATGTTATTTTTCCAGGGGTATCAGAAATGGAAACTTGACAAGGACTTTGAAGTTGAATCCAAATGAGGATAGTTCGTACACTGAACTTGCTGTCAAGGGCTCAAAATGTACCTTTGTGAAAATGATAACTGCTGTTACAGATATAGTGTACCTAACAATGACTTGTTTATTGCTAGTACTGGTCAATCGTTACTGGCTTGTCTTTGTATTAGCTAGCTGGATATAAACTGTAGACATGTCAGCATTGTTTTCATGGACGTTTTTGTGGTATAAAGTTTTAATTCCAAAATCTGTAAAAAAATAGAACGTAAGATAAGGTTGCTGTCAAATACTTTAATTTATCTGAGTCATATGCTTACGTTTCTGATATGATTAAAAAGTTTCTCCCCCTTTCCTGTATTTGATTTTTTAGTTGTAGCACATAATACCCAGCAGATATTTCACTGGATTTTCCCGAAATATGTAAATAGAGAGCAAAAAACAGTTTTACATCTAAGTTCTGTGATTAGCTACTGTGGGCCAAATAGTGACTTTTACCTGGGCCAAAGAATTTAAGTAAAGGAGATAGGAAATTTTAAGTCATTTCAAAAGGAAAGTTTGAAATTTTAGTACCAAAAAAATTTTCCAATAAAAAGACAGAAAAGAAGTCAGTTCCTTCTGATCCGTTACTATTGTGTTCGTGACTTTTCTTTTCGGTTTGATATAACTTGTGACGTCATTTACAGGTAAGTCACGAAACAGGAAAATCAAACGAAGCAGGAAGTTACAAATGAAAAAAGGAAAAATTTTATGTTCATGCCAACTATGACATTTTGCACATATAGATTTACTTTTTTCAGCCCTAGGGAGGCAAAAAACGGTCAATTATGCCTTTAGTTTTTTGAATTTAGTGTGTTCATCGCGTGACGTGACGCCTCGATGGTATGGCCACAGCCCATTCACCGCCCAATAAAAACAAGTTCAGGTGTCAACATATCACGTCCCAGCTCATTGTGTCGCGGGAACTTGCTGTATCACCTGTGTTGCTCTGTTTGTTGTCTAGACGCTTTCGATTTTTCAGTCGTTTGGTAGTCCTGATAGATTCAAGGCTTAATCAGTTGTACACTTGATTCAACTCTCAACCATGTCTCTCCAAGTTTTTTCAAGAATTCTCCGTCCCTTGGGGGCCACAACTTCTCGACAGTCTCTTCGAAGTGCTGCTCGCTACACACAAGCAAAAACAGAAACTTCCAAAGAGGAATGGGGAACGTTAGTTCTGGGGCTTGGTCTCCTGTCAACTGCAATTGTATGGGTAAGGTTCAGAATTCGGATTCAATCGGTTGTAAAGTAACGTTGTTTCTTCCGCCATGTCTCAGCGCGCGAGCATGGCCACTGTCTCTACTGGATAATTGCTGGGTATTGTTATCAACTCTTGCTTGCGTTTAGGTAAGGCAGAGGTTTTAAGCGTTTTTTTTTTCAACAAAAGAAGGAGAGATTATGTTACTTTTTTCAATGAAAGATCTGTAGTTGAAAGTTCAATAGTTGGTAACTTTTGCGTCATGCCCTTTTCGCCTTCTACTGTGAAACGTGCTGTTTTGCACGCACATCAGCTGTGAGGGAGCAAGGCGACTGCCGACAGTGGAGACTCTACTTTATGTTTATTGTGAATCATAACAGTTATTTGCGTGTTTTAGTGTTGGGAAAATGCGTTTACATGTGCCTGCGAAAAGAAATCACAAAAATTTGGGAACGAGACGCACTTGTTTACATTGGTTAAGTGATAATTAATGCATAATGATTTTTTAGGCACGCAACGTAAAACGTTTTACAGGTTACAGTTTGCAAGCGCGATGGGTTAAAATTTAGTCAAGCAAATATTCACGCGAAAAAAAAAAAAAAATTCAATCAAGGTGTTATTCAAAATAGAGTTGATTTCAGGTTAGGCCCTTTGAGACTTCAGTACCTTCGAAGATGTCAGAATTGAAAAAAAAATTATGCAATATCACATCTACTACCCGAAATCACGTTTACGAATATTTAATAATTTGGTTTTTTTCTCTGCAGTCAACTAAAGAAGGTGCCTGGTCAATAAACATGACTCCTGCTGAGCGAGCTAAGGTAAAGAGCACTCTTTGTCATCAGTTTGTGAACACTGTGCATTATAGACTTTTGTTTCAGTTGGCCCTTAAATGTTCCTGATGCAGTCATAAAATCCTTTTATTACAAACGTTAATTCTCTTTTAACTGCGTTAGCCACCCACCCCCTGCCCCCCTGCCACACACTCCCCCAGTCGACCCCCTCATCCCTAGCCCCAGTCTCCCTGATCCTTTCCATCATCCCCGGCTCTTGTGACCCTGACTTTCTCTGAGTTAAAAACAACATGATTTATTTTTCAGCTGGAAGAACAGGAAGCTGGAGGGCAATGAATGACTGAACTGCACACGGCTGTCAGCCTAAAGACTTAGAACTTTATAGCTCAGGTCTCATTGAAAAATGTGAAAATTTATGGTAGCCACAGGAACCTACTGGTAGTTGGAATTATGGTTTTTGTTATTAAGGTGTGCTGATCAAGATTATCTCATAATTTGGACTAAAATAATTATATGTGATCAAAAGAAAAATAATTTTAAATGAAATTTATTTGGTTCCAGCAGGCCCTGTTGCTTTTGTCTAGTCTGTTTTTTGTATTAATTTTGTCAATCCATAGTTGTACATTTTAGGAGCTGTAAAAAACTGAGTTACCCTCAAACTATTTCATTGTAAAGTCTTTGAGTTGCACATAATATAGTTAACTTTACTTTCTATTGGCTGTCAGTGTATTTATTTTATTGCCCAATCTAATCTTGGAGGATTGGAAAATTTACTGCCCTCTATATCCTCTTGTCTGCTATCCCTTTCATAACTCTTTACCCTCGGAAAGTTATGACCCAAGGAACTTCGAAAAATCTTGTCTGATCATTAGTTCTTCTCCAGCTTTGGATAGTTGCTTACAGAAACTTTATCAGTTTCAGATAGTTTCAGGAGACGTAAATTATATAATGGGAAAAAGAGTAAACCTTTTTCTCTATAGTCGAACGGGCATGGCGAAATACCAGGAGCCGAATAGAAAGATACTTTTTGGCGTGCGCGACTACCGCGCGGGAATATCGCGCGCGCAAAGGTACATCTCGGGAAGCGTGAGAAGCGGTGTTGAATCATTCGCGCAGGCTCACTTAACTGTTGTCCTTTTCGCATGTGTAATCGTTGATATTCCAGTTAGAGAATGTCTCTGTCGACTTGTGGCAGGTTTTTCCGACCATGTTTGAGTCGGATTAGACCGGCAATAAGCTCTTCAAGGTTGAATGGATGTAGACTATTCAGCTCGCTCGAAAAGCGGCCAAATTTTGCCATCTGTCGGCTGCAGGCAGCCAGACACGCTTCAGACGGTGGTCAGGCTTCGAATTTTATGAGTGATAATGGACTGCTTGTGCTCGGTTTTGGACTGCTTGGAGGATCGGTGATCTATGTGAGTAAGATTTATAGTTTTTGAAATTTTTATCTCAAGGATGACTTATGAGGAAACTGAACATAGCACGCGTGTGAATATTGTCCCCCCTTCACCCTCCCCTTCCTGTACTTCTTCGGCCCTTTTGAATTTAATATCATTACCTCCCCCGGTTGAGGCTTTACCTTTTCTTCTTACCCTTGAAAAATCCATAAATTTGCATTCACTCCTGAAGATTTTCATAAAATATGGGTGTACCCCTCAAAGAATATAGGTTTACCCCAGAAGAATTAGGTGAAAGGGTGATTTTTCCTTTTTCACCCCTAAAGAGCAAGGTGAATAGGGTACACAAATCTGCCGATCCGTCATGATTTATTAGCCAAATCCGCCCTTCCATTTTCGCCCTGGATCCGAAATCCGGGCAAAAATATTTTAATGAGGCCTTCCAAGGGGTTAACGATCAGCATTGTGTTTATCAACAAGAACATCTCCAAAGCTAAAAGTTAAGACTGAATGTTGACTTCAAATGTAATATAAAAAGAAGACTGGGGAGAGGTACCAAAGCGAGGCCACTGGTTGACACTGAAACACGAATTCAAAGTCTTGAAGCGTATTGGCAATGGAGGAAAACTGTGAGCCTTTGTAACTTTAGCGATTTCTGTGATTCATGTTTACACTCAAGCCATTAGAGTGATCAGAAACTCAAGTGGTTGATCTTCTATTAACAAGAAGGAAGTTTTTACATGCGCTTACTATTTAAATTAATCAAATTACAGGACACAAAAATTAAGTACATATAGCGAACATTTGTATTCCAGCAATAAAGTGGCAGCAACGATTGTATTGTAGCGAAAAACGACAGCGACATTTGTCTCTAGCCTAATAGGCGACAGGTGGGTTGGAAAATGAGCGACAAAGAGACATCAGAACCCCCCTTGGAAGACCTCTTTAATTACATGCCAAGTCCAAAATCCGGCTGCGGGTTGCTAAGGTGTGTTTTTGGGGATTGGCATTCAAAGGGTTAACTTTTAGTCATCAATATTATATAAGATCAGTACACATACCCTGCAAACAGCAGAAATTCAATATTCTGAGATAAATTGTGAAATGTGATTATATCTACAGGGTAAACATGAAAACCTTACACTTCCCCTCCAAGGTTATGATTTCAATATAATGTAACATCGAGTCCTCACCAAGTTTTATATAGCTACATCTCCAATTATATGACTCATCGATCTGTTTGCTGAAAATCTCTGTTTAGTAAATGAGAGAATCTAGGATTAATTAGGCAGTCTTAATTTTTTTGAATAACTGATCTTTTTCAATTCTTTACTTGCATTATTCAGGGATATTTTAGTGGTATTTTACGTGTATATCCAGAGTCAACAGCTTCCAAAGCAGTGGTTGAGGTAAGCAAAAGTTGGTCACAGAACAATGCTGACCATTTTGTTTGTCAATCTCAGTCATGTCACTATTAAAACTGGGGAAGTGAGGATGGCACAGTGGTGAGAGCAATCACCTCCCATTACTGTGGCCCGGATTTCACATCCCTGCATCGGCACCATTATATGGGTTGAGTTTGTTGTTAGTTCACTCCCTTGCTCTGAGAGGTATTCTTCAGGTACTCCAGCCTTCTTCTCTCCTCAAAAACCAACACTTCCAAATTCCACTTCAACTAGGAATCAGGTAGACGAAGACCCAAAAGTGGATTTGGTTTAAGATGGTTCAAAATCCCAACTGGTAGGAGTTGAACCAGTTGGCTATTTTACAAGCGTGGCTCATGAGGATTTGAACTTGGGACTTACAAGAACAAATCCAGCTACAACTAGTTGCAAAAGTAATTAAGACTCTACAGACTCTACTTAAGTGTTGTATATTGGCTTAAATGGTCCATGGTCTTGTGCTTGTGATCCCCCCTCCACCGCTTATCAAAGTTGCTAGCAATACAAGACCATGTTCAAAACTTGGAGGAACAACTTTGAATAGAAGGGAGGAGGGAGGTCAGTATTATATCTCACAGACATGTGACCAGCAGTGATTTGAAGCAACATTTTTGCAACCGGTTGTAGCGGTCAGGGTGGGACTTAAACTCAGGGCCTCAGAATTACAAGTCCACCTCACATGCCATGCTGCCTCTGCAATATGTTTCCCATTCTGCTGTCTTTGCAAAAAGTGCCTGATGCTGTACTTTCCTACTCTTAGACTTCTGCCGTTTCTTCTGAAACCTCAGAACAAGTTCAGTCACCAAGTGAGGCAGCTCCATCTTCCGAAAAAGAGGAGTCACAGACAGCTGAGGTTGATGCTGCTGTTTCTCAGGAAGGTAGATAATTATATAAGTGCTAAAAGTTGTCTCCTATCTCTATTTTCTCAAGATTATAAATAATATTGTCAATAATAATAAATTTTATATCCTATGTCTCTACCTGTAACCTTAGTATTATTATTATTATTATTATTATTATTATTATTAGTATGATTATTCACAAGGATGAAATTAAGGTTAGTGGACAAAGGAAAGTGGAAATCAAACAAATTTGAAACTATTTTAGAATGAATTTCATTTTGAACTTCAACAAAAACACTGCATTCAACAGAAAAGAAATAAAAAATTAATGACATTTTCCCTTGCTTTTTAATTATTAGAAGATGCCCCACCTCCCTTACCTGAGGTTCCTGAACATGCAACATACATCTTAGTTGGAGCTGGAACAGCATCATTTGCTGCTTACAGGGCCATTAGAAAAGCAGATAACAATGCTAAGGTACATGTATTTATGTATTATTCTCAAGTTTGTGTATTCCATTATGTTCAATGACCAAATTATGTCCTGGCCAATGTTATGGAACTCTGCTGTTTCGTAGGGTTGACTTCTGAATGGTAATTTAGGGTTAGGGTCAAACTTGTGCTAATTTCCCATAATTGTAGATCATGTCATCCTCTCAGAAGGTTTGTTGGAAATAAAGGTTGTGTACCATCACAATTATGATCTACAGTAAATTGGGCACCATAACAATGAAGTGGATTACTCCAATTTATTGATCTTCCTGAGGAAAGATCACAACTCTGATTTCTTTCTGTTTAGGTACTGATAATTGGTGAAGAGGAATACCCACCATATATGAGACCTCCACTATCAAAAGAGCTGTGGTATTGTGAGGATGACGAACTTGTATCCCAACTGAAGTTTAAACAGTGGAATGGAAAAGAAAGGGGGTGTGTGTATAATATTTTTATCATGTGGAGTTAGTACTGGAGCTTTAAAAATCACGGAGTGTTTAGGGACCTGTACAACTCAGTGGAAGCTCTGAAGCATTGAGGGGCATGGGAAATGCGTAGTAAGAACTGTTGTTATTAGGCTTGATTATCCAGACTCAGTGGGACTAGGGTAAACAACCTCCAAAGTCAAGAATCTAGATAAGACAAAATGTGAGTATTACTGAGATGTGTTCCTCATCATTTCCTCATTTCATCGTTGCTAACAGAGGATTATTCAGCAGCACTGGCTCAAGTTTGTTCATCTTTTTTGGTGGCATGATCAGGGGCTCAGCATCAGTGTTAAACTGAATGTACTCTCTTTAACTAACAGTGCATATGAGTGCCACTTGCTCTCCAAAAGGAAAATCAGTCATTCAGAAGCTCTTTTCATATCTTGAATAAACAAATATCATGTCCTCTAATCTTCCTGATGATTTTTATTTTGAAAATAAAACCAGAGAAGTCTGGATACACTGTATGTGAGAAGCCTATTCATTGTAATTGGTGGCAGATGGTTGAAGTTTGATTTTAGGATATCTTTATTTTGTGTTTCTTTTCCTGTTGCATACATTGTAGAATCTTTTTTGAACCAGAAGCATTCTTCTGTAAGCCTGGTGAACTACCAAGCAAAGAGGAAGGAGGTGTGGCTTTACTAAAGGGTAAAAAGGTAAGGATATTTGAAAACAGTAACATTCTCAATGTTGCCAATAACCTCTTTTTTAAACCTCACTGATTGTCCTTTCTCTAGGTCGTAGGAATTAATAGCAAAGAACAAAAAGTCAAGTTAGATGATGGAGCAGAAATTAGATATGACAAATTGCTCTTGGCTCCAGGTTTGTTTCTAGGAACAGGAATTTTTTATGCTCTTTCTCAATTCTGGTAGAATTTTAAAATCTCACAAACTTCAAACCTATGGCAAACATGATAATAATAATAATAATAATAATAATAATAATATAATATTAACAATAATATTATAATAATGATAAACAACAGTTTATTTTACTACCACTGTAGACAACTAAAAGAATATGATAATGATAATAAAATGGTAATTTGGAAGAAGGAGAATTCTTATACCAGAAAGCTGAGAAAAAATAATCTGATCTCCAGGTGAGAATCGAACTCATGGCCCTCCGAGTTCTAGTTCGGATGCTCTAACCACTGAGCTACTGGAGGCTCTATGACAATGATAATAATACTGCTCAGCAGCTTTCACCCCATCTCATTTGAATTCTGGGAATTTATAACACTTTTTAGTAAACCAAAATGGGATTCAAATGGATATTAATCCTTCAGGAGCACCACATATTTTGCAGTAACTAAAAAAAAGGAAAAAAACAGAAAATTTAATATTTTTATCATTTCTTGCTTCATTTCAGGTGGCATCCCAAGAAATCTTCCTATTTTTGAAAACAGCGGTGATGAAGTTAAGAAAAGAATAACCCTCTTTAGAAAGGTCAGAACTGACTTTCACAAAGTCCTCTTCAGTTTTGTTTTGTATACATGTATGAAGACGTTTCTTGCCTGCAGTGTTCTGACATGATTTTAGCAACCATATTATTAGATTGTGGAGCTCTACAGCTTAACTCTACTATCAACAGTTCAAACAAAATGTAAATCAGTAGTTATCCCACACTTAGTTGCTTTCACCGAAGCTTTGTCACCTTTTAGTGATCTTTCATGCCAAGGATAAAGCACCTACCCTGTAAATTAATTTCGGAAGGAAATTAGACTCAAAATCCTTCAAGCAGGACAAGTTGACCTAACTTAGTTGCCCTCTTGGGCCGCTTCAGAACCTATCTCACTTAAGCTTGCTCAATTCTCCTTCTTCAGGATTACTGACAAACACTTCCCCTATATTTTTGACCAAAAGAGGTCATCTTGGTGCAAGTCTGAGGTGACAAGTGTACAGTCACATATTCTGTGCACATTTACATACATCACTGCCTAGTGCTGGCCAGTTATCAACAACCCTTATGTTACTTGCATGGATAGGTAACATCATTCGTTGAACATGGTCTTAGTGCTCAACCTCTTGGGCTTAGAACTATAGAAATGAATATTTATACATTATTTGTTCTCAGATTGTGGATTTCAAAGATCTTGATGATGCTATAAAGGAGGCCAAGTCTGTTGCTGTTGTTGGTGGAGGATTTCTGGGAAGTGAACTGGCCTGTGCACTTGGCCACAGAGGTAGTCTCAAAAGATCATAATCCTGCTAAATACAGTTCTTTTTGCTAAATTTAGCCTTTATCAGATGAAGGATAATCCAGTTTGGCAGCATCTGCTGTTACATACAATGTCCAAGAAGTAATACTACATGTTCTGTTTATTCAGTTATTAAGATAGCATTAAAATCGAGGACAAGTTCAGGGCTGTCAATAAGAGCTGGGGCTGGCAGCTACTATGAGCTTGATCACCGGCTACTCTTATATGAAACAAAAGGAAAATGGAACCAAAAGAACTTCCTAGCTTTACAATACACCCAGCAACTTGAAATTTTAGCGACAGTCCTGAAGGTACAGACACTGGTACAACTGTATGTTGTCAAAACTGAGCTGCAAATAACAGTCACCCATAATTGGACAATATCCAACTTTTATTTGCACTCTGATTGGAGTAGCTTGATTTTCCTTAGTAACTTGTTAGTTCACATTCAATGATATTTTGTTGTTTCAATCAGGTAAGAAAACTGGTCTGAACGTCCTGCAGATATTCCCATATGGTCCCAGAGGACAACAAATGGTAAAAGGTAAGAAAAGAAGATTATAACATAGGGCAATCAAATTCAATAGTTTTGTGCCCAAATTCCTTTAGCACGCTGATGACGCCAATAAACTATTCGTAATTAAGTCAAGTTGTTGTGAGCTTACAATCCTGAGTAAATCCATAACTCAGAATAGAAATGAGGTGAGAAAAAATTTAAGAAAATACAGTGTACCTACAAATGTCTTTTCGCTAAACACTTCTCAACTATTTAAACATTTGTTAAATACAGTGTACCTACAAAGTTGCTAACAATTCACTATTTAAACATTTGTTAAGGTTAGAATAGTGTCTGTTATCTTTAATATTTATTAAATTTCTTGTATATTGTTGATATATTCGTATTTGTTGAATGGCAAAATAAGTGAATGAATGAATAAATAATTAAAGATGTTTTTGAGAATAGTGTTTAACAAAAATTTTACATATTAATGTTAAATTTCTTGTATATTATTTGGTAGCGCCAAGGCATTTTAAAGAGAAAACTCTTCACCTCCATTTGACATGCATCTCCCCAAAACTCCTTTGCTCAAGCTCCCCACTATTTAATTGAGTACAACTGTGTAGTGGACATGCATTCTTTGTCAATTGTGGGTGTGGTTGAGGCACAAATGATAATCTAGGTGGCTCATGCATAGGTAGGTTCCTACAGCAGTGTCCTTACCAGGATTTTGTACACTGGGGTCCACAGGACCCATAGAGAAACTAAAAGGGGGTCATGAGGGACAAAAGCGGGTCACAATTTTTAGATACAGTTAACTCAACGTTTTCACAGGTCTGAGTCGTAGATAAAGGTGGGTGTTTTCTAAAGACCCCAAAACCAATTAAATTTTGGCTTATATTATAAGGAAATGTACGTACATTTGTATGTGTACGTAGGCTTACTTACATTTTGTAATAGGTTTTTTTTTCTTCTTTTGCACCTTTGGGATTCTTTGGGCTAATTATAGTACGGCATTTCCCGAAAAAGTGCTGCGGTCTGATAATAACACTTCTACAGTGTCTGCAGCCGTTAGTTGGATCTTCATGTTGTGTGTTACAACCTAAATACAGCCTTAAGTTTCAGCCGTTTCTAGCACTTGTGACCTTCATGTGTCTGTACTTATAAACACCACCTAAAGCATTCAGGTTTCTTATCAGATTTTCCTTATATTTTTATAGAGGGTGTGAGTGTAATTCCAAATTCCACAGTGGAACATGTTTCATTCAAAGACAATCAAGTTAATCTTAGGTTAAACAGTGGAGAAGAGGTGAGATACTGGTAAATTTATTTTGCTTTGATGTTGAAAGAGAAAGCTAGAGTGCTTACCACTTACGCAAACCACTTGGGTGGAAATCTTGCATGTAAACAAAAGTACTTAACTATAAAACTTGATGTGATGGGGGACAGCGACCTATCACAAAGTATGTCTGAATCAGTTGAACAGACGGCCAACAGTGTAGAAAATTGCATCACCTCGAATGACAGCCCATATTTTCTGAAGCTTCCTAAACAAAATGGCATGAATCATGTGATTTTCTAACCAGAATTTCTGGTTTTCCCATGTCAATGTTACATACCCCTGGTCATCAATACATTGTTAATGGTCAGGAAGTATTCAGTGTCCACTTCCTGAGATCTCACGTTTGTTGAATCTATTTAGGGGCCGACCATTTAACTCTTGATCTCATCGTTTGTTGAATCTATTTATGCCATTTTTTTCTTCCGGGCTTTTTTTCTCCCACCCCCCCTCAAGGAAACCAGCAAACCAGCATAAAATCCATCTCATAAAGGTCTTTTTAAGAAGAGTTGACTTCAGTAGAAGTTTATTTTTACAGGTTTGTCTTAACACCGCCATTGTATCTTAGCAAATCTTTATCTTGCAGCTCCAAGCAGACCGAGTGATTGTTGCAGTAGGCCTGGAACCAAATGTTGAGCTCGCCAATGTTGCTGGTCTCGAAGTGGACCCAATTCTTGGAGGTTTCCATGTCAACTCTGAACTACAAGCCAAGTCTAATATTTGGGTGGTAAGAAGGCAAAAGATGACTGCCGTTGAGCAGAGACTGGCTAAATGCCTTGTTGCTGTTTCGCTGACAATGCTATGCTATATATTGCCCAATTTAGTTCTTCCTGTTGCAAATAACCAAATTTCGCCTCATATGCCAGACTTTATACATTTTGCGTTAATAGTTTTTTGTGATGATTTTAGGCCGGAGATGCGGCTTGCTTTTATGATCCAAACCTCGGAAGGCGCCGAGTGGAACACCATGACCATGCTGTGGTCAGCGGAAGACTGGCAGGAGAAAACATGACAGGCGCAGGCAAACCTTACTGGCACCAATCCATGTTTTGGTCAGTTCTAGTGCTATCACGGCCTAGCGGCCTTATAAAGTAATAGAAGTTTCGGCCGGGTTAGGATCCAGGCTGGTTTTATTTGTAAATTCTCGAGCACGAGTTTTTTCCTTGTGCCTGTGACTTTACTAACTAAGATAGCAGGCACGATAGTCTGGAACGATAATCTTGTGGTGTGCGTGAAAGAAATACCCAACAAAATTTTATCTTGTTTTAATAGGAGTGATCTAGGGCCTGATGTTGGTTACGAAGCTATTGGATTGGTAGATTCTGTGCTACCGACGGTAGGAGTCTGGGCCAAAGCAACCGAGGCTGACACGCCTAAAGCAGTAGTAGAAGCTACAGGTGAAGGCGTCCGCTCAGAAACAGAGGGTGAGGTGAGTCGGTGGAAAAACATGTACCTTTTTTGAATTGGTCAAGTAAAACGCCACGGGGGGCTCTCACATTTATATTGTATTATATCTATTGTTTACCATACGGTCGTTTACGAGAGCTTCAGTCAGAAACTCGTCGACAATTCATGAAAAAACAAAAGAGAGTAATTTTTAATGAGTGTCTTTATATCTGATATAGACCAGGCTAAGCCTTACTTCCAGTTTGTTTTTAGACCATTAGCGCGGTGCATTTTCATTTAAGTGTTGATTTATATGAATAACACTAAGAGTGAAGGCTGAGTGGCCGCTTATGAGAGCTTGAAAACAAAAGAAAAGTCCAGTTGGGTAAACCCGAAGGTGGTCGCGGTCGCTTCTTCGTTTTTCTTAGATCTTTATCACTGAATTAAAGTACTAAAACATTTTTTCAACCAGGGATCTGAGCCCTCCCCTGTGGTGCTCACCCAGCCAGCGGCCCCAGTCCCTACCGCGTCGTCAGAGGAGTTCGGTAAAGGTGTTGTATTTTACATGAGAGGCAAGCGAGTCGTGGGAGTTGTATTATGGAACGTCTTCAACAGAATGCCCCTCGCCAGAAAGGTTAGTGTCATTTAGTTGCTAATGCAAAAACTGCCCACCTACCCCTCCCCTAAGCTAACATTAACACTTGCTTCTCACTTAGGGCAAAATGATGGCATAGGGGAGGGGTAGGTGGACAGTTTCCCAGAAACCTAAATTAATCCGCATTGTTCTTTTTGCTATTTTTCTCTTCAAAGTGTCACCGCCCCGAATCAAAAGCCAGAAGAAAATCTGATGTGCATTTAAAAAATATCTATTTGGAGACTGATTTGTTAACCGTTTATTATTTGACTTCTGTTCGTTCTTTCTTGCTTTGCAGATTATCAAGGAGGAAAGAGACCAAGACGATCTTAATGAGCTCGCTAAACTGTTTGATATCCACAAAAGCTAACCGTTTCAATATATTTTAATTCCGATAAACTACTCTACAGACAAAATCGTACATTGTGACAACACGGTTGTAGTCCAGACACGGTTGTAGTCCAGTCAAGTATCGAGTGTTGGCAATGCGAATAGAGAAGGGCAGAGCTTCATTAGACCAGTGCTTCTCAGAAAACAGACATTATGCTCTTTCGCTCCCTGAAAGAGTGCGTGACAAAAGGATTGCGTGACGAACTACATATAAGGGACGTTTAAAAAGGAAATTGTCAAGAGCCCCCGTTTGTGAGCTCATAGTTATGACGTTTGTTCCCAAAAAGTCAAGTTGTTGACGGGCAAGAAAAATTTAACTTGTCGACTGCGGTAAATGCAGGACATATTCTTATAATAAAAATGATATTTTCTCTTCCAAGAGTGGTTTGGTTTTCAAGTTCTATTTCATAGCATGTGGCAGCTACATTCGTCACTTTAAAAACGAGAGGGAGACTGGACCGAGTAAACTTTCGCAATGACTTCTGGGACTGTTAGGACAAATAAAAAAATAGCCAATATCCGGAGTAGCGATCCCAGAAACAATTGCGCGACACATTTCGGCTCCAGATCTCTTTTCGTTTCAAAAGTGGCGAATGTACAGCTTGCCCTAACCGCCCTAACCCCAGGGTTCTTTTCTTCCCGTCCAGGGAGAGAACCCTGGGAACGAGGTTGGTCTTGCCCCTTGCTTTGGCTAGGTTTTACTAAAGCCCCATGCAAACGGACGCAACAATGTTGGATATCACATGTTGCGTCCGTTTGCACACCCACCCTGTTGCATGTTGTTGGAAGTTGTTGCACAAAGTTTGAAACCGGTCAAACGTTTATCGACGTGCAAACGGACGGAACAACTCCCAACATGTTGGGCCAACAATGTTGAGAGTTTTTGCACATCAACAGTGGAAAGAGAACAAAATCTGGGAGGGATATGGCAGTATTAAAGTTTTGGTTTTTTCTTTTTTTCATCCCCACTGAGCCAGTCATTTGGTTGGATGTCCTGCGCTCATCTCGTAACACAAAACAATCTCCTCTCCACATTCTTCGGGCTTTTTGGTCAGGCCAGCGAGGCCAGGAAAGACTCTGGGAAACTGGAATTTGTTTACAGAAAACGTGGGTGTCGCTCAGCTGACCAGCCCGAAGACTCCGGGTACGAGGAACATAGTGACAAACAGTTCATTTACACATTTTGTTTCTTTTGCCGCTATATTTAAAAACTCACACTAAACATCAATTGTATATGAATATCAATAATAACACATTCTCGAATTTGCTCAACCCGCAAAAATATTTTATTGAATTACATCGAAACGTAATGGTAGGGGCACCCAACGACAACCGATATTCGGAGTTTTTGTACTAACTTACTTACGATTTTCGGAGGTTATATTTTTGCCGTTTTTAGACCAAGATGTTGCGATTATTGTTAACAGAGCTCTCCCGAAAATTTCGTTATAGAGCCAAAACGTCCCCTAGAATTTTCTTATGAAAGTACGGCTACTCATGCCCTCGACTTACGACAGGACCCATTAGCAGTGATCAGGGTAGCTAGCAGTTTCGGATGAGACAAAAGCCAGCACCCAAAACTTTCGGGACGACCAAAGTTCCCCTATTAAAGACAACCAAAAGTCTAGGGCAGATTAAATGAGCCAAAACGAACTTCTGAAGCATAGAGAAAACTATTTGAGACACTTCTGACGTCTTTGGTGAACATTCGCCGGGTTGATGGGTGCCCCTGTAATGGGACCTAATGGGCGGCAGGTGGTATTTGGTTATGACGGCTTAAAGATACTTTAAAATACCACCTTCATGTTTACAATATGTTTTAAAACTGTCCACGCGTCCAGCGAACTCGCGAACAGGTGAAATGCATTTTGTCATTTAAAATCATGGCTTATTCACTGTTCCATGTGCAAATAATTGATGCCCGAAACCTCTGAAAATTAATTAAAACCACAAAGCTTATAAAATTGATGCTTGGGAATAGAAGCAAGTAATTACTGCTTTAAGTGAAAAACGTCTGTAATTAATGCCTCGGCTTTGAAGGAAGGTGTCATTCACAGCTTTGCCGGCTTAAGGAGACGGACATTTTCACCTCTAAATGGAATGCGTGATTCGTGGTAACAAAATCTGCGAGTAAGGGTCGCTCACAGGGCATTTTTCTAGCGAGGTAGATCATTCGGGTTTGTTTACGATGACAAGCACGACTTTTATAGGTTTACTTAGCCGCATTGTTGCATCTGGGGAGTTCAAATCCTTACACGAATATTTAGCAACCTTTTTTGAGTCGAGTTACCGAAATAGCTGCGAAGAAAACACAGCGTTTTGTTGTGAACTCATCGAACTGCATGGTAAGCTTCAAGGGCAGCTGTTTCACCTTCTGGAATTGTGTTGTTCTGAAGGGGGAATTTATGGAGGAACCGAAGCGTTGAAAAAAAGACTTCTACCTTGGCTTCGCAGTGGGTTTCTTACTTCAAGAGTCAACGTTGAAGATGTAGAAACAGTGAAAGAAAAATACGAACTTATCGTAAAGGAAATGGAGGAGGAACTGAGAGTCTCTAAAGTTGAAGAAGCGGAGCTTAAAATTAAGTAAGTCCTTTCAGTAAAATGATTCGGGTTTTCTGCAAGTTAAATCAACGAAAACTATACAAACATTGTAAATAGTGCGATTTATTATTTTCTATACTACAAAGTTTTGCCACTGCCTCCATTCATATTAATTTACGAGAACCGGTAATAAATGTTTCTTTTTACTATAATTTTTGCCTTAGTATATGCAGGCTGAAAGTTTGAAAAGCACTTATCATAATTTGTAAATTAAAATTAGAAATACAGTACATATATATGAATGCAAAAAGATGCTGTCAACAGGGACGTTGTCAATATACATTTCATGACTAAATATTCAACTTTATATTTTTTGTTTATCAAATTCTAGGCTAGCAGATGCAGAAGACGAAATTCGAGCTCTGCGAAAGCAGTTGAAGGAAAATCAAAGAGGAAACTATCAAGAAATTGACGAAATGGGAAAAGAGTTAGTAATGATAAGTGTATGATAAGCCTGGTAAAATAAATAATTATCTAGACGAACAAATAATGAATCCCTGAGCCGGACAGGTATAAGGATGCTCTTTAAAGTGTCACGCTGCTTTTGTTGAAGTTAATTTTAAGTTGCCTAGCAACTAGTGGGGTAAGCGCTCTTTGTCACATGACAGCGGCAGTGTGTCGGCAAGAGATGCAAATGCCTGAAAGCTCGATTTTGAAACAAAATCATCGTTTAATAGGTTCAAAGAAGCATTGGAGTTTTTGCATTGACACGAGTGATAGGTGAAAGCGACTTTTCCAAAATTTTCGTTGTAAGAAAATGATGTATCTGCTGCGAAAGGTGAAATCTTCCTTTGTAGGTTTTTGAAGATCAATGAGTAATTTCAAAGTCGCTGTATAAAAAGCGTTAATCCGATCTGGTGTCGTTAAATTTAAGGTTAAGCCATGCGAAGAACGAACTAGTGGCCAGAGAATGCCAGATAAAAGAGCTAACTAAAGAAACTATTGAACTGAAGAGAGAGAACTCTGAGCTACACGGAAGGCAAGTATTTCAGAGGGAGGAAGGACGGGGTAGGAGCTCTCGAAAAATGCCGAGAAGTGGGAGTTCTAATAAAGTGGGAAGTGGAAGAAACAAAGGGAAAATGGCGCCCCAAGACAGAAAGGACCTAAACGGAGGAACCGAAGATAAAAGAAATAAGGGTCGGGAGCTGGAAATGGAGGAAACGGGAGGCGGGGGGACCCCCTTGTCCTCCCCCGCCAACTTATTTCAGATCTTTTTAAAGTACATGCCGATCTTAATTAACCGATGACAGATCGATCCTCGTCGACAAATGAGGCAAAATATATATAAATCCTTTGAAGCCAGTCAGAAACAAGATCAGCTCTTACAGCATAGCCTTAATTATTCAGTGCTTGGTGCGTCAGCCTGAAACTCGGACAATCCGTCTTCAATTTTCTCTTCACATTGGTGTTTCGCTCTACCTGTATTTAAAAAAACTGTGAAACAAAATCTTTACACACTTCTTTCGTATTTCTTATAGGCACGTTCTTTTCAATTGACTATATACTCAAAAAAGATTGTCGTGTCTTCAGAATTAACATAGATTAAAAAAACTAAACGCAGTGAATATGAAACAACAACAGAAACACCGCGAACGTGTTAGAAACTTGCTTTATGGAGGTTATTATTATTATTATTTTTGCCCACTGTTAATGGCATATTTTAATTTTAGACTTCAAAAGAAAATCCTGGAAGCTGTTTCGGAGCCCGAGCCAGTTCGCCTCGTGACGAAACCACTCTCCGACAGAATAACTCCGTTTCAGACGCGATCTACCAAGCTCGTGGAGAGATTCACAGATCTCTATAAAAACGACAGAGTACAAGTTACGGGAGCTTTGAAGGGAATGCCCGACCGATCGTCGGCTGAACGATTGATGTTCACCGTCGTTGAGGTAAGATTGTATAATGCATATGTACATACCTTTATGCAATTGCCAGTCAAATCACAATCTCAGAGACAAAAAAAAATCCCCCTTTCAAAATGAGGCCAAGCGCACAACCTTTCTTGTGAAAATGAGTTTTATTTGCTTGACAATGAAAAATGTCAAAAATCATTTCCATATCAAAGGCTGAGCTCTTAACCTCCTTTTGATTCAGAGGCCCGGGGGAACTCGGATATGGCCTATTGATTTCGGACCTCGAGCGTCTTGAAATTGATACCTATATTCAACCGGTGAATAACACTATTGTTACCTGCTACAAAGATGATTACTCTACGGAACAGTTACGATTTAGCCTTCCCTGCTAGCAGAGGCCTCCAGGGAAGACTTAAGCCATTTACTAGAGGTAATCATTGATTACGGATCCGCGTTTGTCAGTTAACGGAAAAATTACGGAAACGAAATCGAGTCGACAGGAGTCCAGTTTCCCGGCCGAGGTGCCCCTGATAAAATTAATAGGGGCGGCTAATTTGCAGTCGCCCGTAAAAACTCGAAAATTTCTGCCTTAGTACCACAGTAACACTAAATTAAGATGCGTTCTGATGAACGCGATAAGGTAAGGCATTTTCCCAAAAGCCCTGGGGACGAAGTCACGTTCATTCACTAATTAAACACTTCGTCCTTGGAGCCTCGTGGCGCCCCTCGCATGACTTTTTAAGCGTTTAAGCTTAAATTGGATACTGGCTTGGTAACTTGAACTCAGCAGAATTGACCCTTCATTGGCAGCTTACTAACAAGTATCCAATTCACTTTACAGGAATGTTTTACAGCTTGCAAATTGGAACAGCATAAAATGAGGTCCCGGATGAACCAGGCACTGCTGTCTAACAATCAGGGGACTGGAGACGAGTCAGACAGAGTGAATGAACTGGTGGAAAACTACTTGAAAAAGAATACAGAGCTTTACGACATTGAGAACTTAATTCCGGTTTGTTTGTCTGTTTGGTTTTTTTTCTCGTAGATTAGAGATTAAAATCTCTAAAATCTGTTTTGCGTGAGGTGTCAATGTCTGGTAACCCTATCCCTTTCGTCAAATTATAGGATGTGATAAAGTCGCTACATCGCAACCCTCAAACTTCACCTTTCATTCCGAGCAACGAGAAACTAATCATGCCCTTCATCCGTGATGTATTACGAGTGGCCTGGGCTATGGTAGCCCTTGATCCTCCGATAGACCTCCCCGCAGCTCTGGAGGGTGACGTCATAAATGAAACACGTTACAGGAGAACTTTTGACTCGGAGTTTAGTGCAACAACTATCCAGCACTTTGTATGGCCAGCTTTGATCAGGGACAGAAAGGTGATTTGTAAGGGAGAGGTGGTAACCAAGAGGCTCTCATCACCAAGGATACGAAAGGTATGAATCAGGGCTTTATGTAGAACTTGGTGATTTTAGAACTGGAACTTGGAACTAGTACCGGAGGGTGTTAGCTTAAATGGGCCCTTTGCACGAAACGATCACATGGTACAAAAAAACCTTGCTGGATGGACAATGACGCAAAGAAAAACAAAGAGGTTACACCACTCAAAAAGCTAATATCCTTTCTTTTCACGGTCACACTGCGTTGTTTGCCATCCAGCAAGAAGTTTTTTGTACCATGTGACTGTTTCTTGCAAAGGGCTTATTGCTGTTGATTTCTTTATCTCTTCTGATCTAGGCAATCACAAGTACGCCACGGTCAGGCAGTGCAGAGCCATATTCCAGACCATCTTCAAGTTACGATCTTGGATTTGGTTCTTTATCATCTTCCTGGAGCGGTAACAAAGTGCTTGTTTAATTCATGATATAACTAGATCTTTACTAAATGACTGTAACAGTTCTTCACCAACATGTTGATCCGCAAGGTGTCAATCAAATTTTTTTTTTTCTTTTACTTTTTTTAAAATAGCTAAACTACAACACAAACTAACAACAACAAAATTTAAAAGAAAGTACAATTCGACTACCCAAAAACGACAATAGCAAATGATCGAACGTTGATTATATACCATCAGCCAGTTATATCTGGTTAAATACAAGATTTACAATTCTTTCGACATATTTTTTAGTATTTGACCGTCACGGAAAAGGGAACAACCCATATCAAGAGATATATTAAGAGCTATCCATTTTTTAGTGTCCCCTGCTTTTTTCTCTATAATAGATCTTGAATTAACTAGGCGTAGAAAATGTGCAAAATTAGGCGATATCTCATCCATTTTGGCTTCCCAAATACACGAAACCGTGCTAACAGGAGATAGTAGTTTAATTGACATGAGTGTTCTGTAGAATGAGGCGCCGGCCTCAAGCCCAGTGCAGTAATGTTCAATAAGTTAAAGAAGGACTATAAAAGGAAAACTGATAGGAAGTATGTGCTCCAAAAATTTTGGGCGATAAATATTAGCGACAGTTTCACGCGCGATGTATGGAGATGAGGGCCTTCTAGGGGAGATTTCTGCACAAACAAACTGAACACACACCGAACATTTACATTTCGAAATTTTCGTCGTTAACACAACAATTCCGCCCCCTCCCCCCGCCATCACTTTACTTCTTAGCTTCAGTGAATCTCATTTCACGGAGTAAGACTTTCTTTGCAAATAGCTTGTCTTCACCACTTGCTGTTCTAGCAAGATTGGCTATACACTAACTCAAATAAATCTATGCATGTGATCAAATTCTTCAAAACTGCGGTGTGAAAAAACAAACCGACTTGACTATTTCTTTTCTTCTTTAATTTCTTTAACCGTAGATCACTCAAGTTATAAACTCAGGATCAGTCCATAAAAGGTACATGCTAAAAAGATGTTAGATCTATTGTATTACTAAAGATTGAACGCGTCTTTTACGAGGCCTTATATTGCAATTGAAATAACGATTAATTACCCACTTGAATTTCTCCAGACTGGGAACAAATCCATTGCTTTACTGAACCACACTCGACAGTAGATAAATCCTACAAAAATTTACATTTGGGGAAATGTATAACAAGCGAACAAACCCGCGGCGCAAGACAATCTGTGTTTTTTTCTTTAAACAGATTGATAAGAAACAGAACTTATGAGGGCAAACAAATTGGTCACTCTAAATTGCACAATGAAATATTGACAGAATCACAAACATAAGCGAATGTTTTTAACCCACCTGACATCTTATTGTCAGCTAATTTCCGTGTTGACATTTTCCGTTTTTTGTGTGTTTCATGAAACCATATTTACTTTACCATTCTGACACCAAATTAATTATTTTAAAAATTATCAGTTAGCTAAGCTCCACTGTTGTGATACACTAACCAAAGTTTGAAGGCAAGCTTAATTACATCATAAGCAGTTCCTACTGCCTTGCTTTTATCTATATCTAGCTGTAAAGGTATTTTTATTACCTTGAAAACGAAGCCTTAGAAGTGTTTTTGTCTACGCGACTAATATGAGTATGGTATGGAAACTGGTCTTTTCTATTCCATTTAAAGACGGTTTAAAAAGTTATAGCAGGGAATCAATTAAATCCTTTTTGCATCGAGTGCTTAAAAACTTTTAAAAGGCAACCTATTTAAAGTAATCTAAACTAACAATCTACGCAGCCATTAACGCAACAAGTATCAACACTCACGCCGTGATTGTAAACAAAAACAAAACTTTGACATCAACATGGCAAGTTAATGTATAAAAAAATTACTCGTTTTTCTTTGTAGCATAAAAGAATACAGAGACGGGCATTCCCAAGGAAAGAGGCAAGAAGCAATGGACTGATATAACGAAATCATCATTTATTTAAAAGAGTTAATGTCATTTGATGAATAAAAATGAAATTCAATATGCAACTCTTCAGACTCTTAATAGTGGCTAGTAACTTATGAATTGTTCATTACGACTAATTATCGATTCAGTACTCTTTTCCGACTCATTTAAACAGTTGAATCTTAGCATCTACTTTTAGTTAGAATCATGGTGAGAGATTAACTACCAAAGGAGCATGCATGATAGATTAATATAGCTTGTGACACATTGTATCTTCTGATAGGTTCATGTACTGAACAGACAGTCTGCCCCTGGACACTGATGGATTGTATCAGATCAATATTAATTAAAGCCTTACTGACCATTATAATTAGACACCTCAATAAGATTTTCATCAGGATCTCTAAAATAAACAGAAGTAATCGGTCCTAGAGCACCTGTTCTTTGTACAGGTCCCTCTTCTACGGACACATCAAGTTTCTTCAAGTGCTCAATGACATGTGTGATTGGTGTCTCCGTTACAAGGCAAATATCAATAGCTCCTGGAGTTGGGTTTGCTGCCTTGGGCTCAAACTCGTTTCCTTTCTGATGCAAGTTAAACTTCTGATTTCCAAATGAGAGAGCTAGCCTACCTTGTCCAAACGTTACCTGTCCCATGCCCAACACTTGGGTATAGAATTTAACAGTAGCCTCTATATCTTCCACTGTCAGAACAATGTGATCGATACCAGAGATGGAGAAAGGTTTGCGTTGCTCAGCTGACTTGCCAGATTTTGTAGTTTGTTCTGAAGAAAGTTAAACATTAAAAAATGTCACAGTATAAATGTGTTTCAAATAAAAAATAAAACAAAAAGATGCCTGAAGGCATTTAAGCGGGATGTGTTGGTGTAAGTAAGAATTATGTTGAATGGCATTGCAACGTTGAGCAAAGTATCTACAACAAATGTGTGCAGGAGAGACGGAGATGTTCTGTTAAATACACTAGAAGATAAGTTACACACAAGGGTTCCTTTGCTCCTCAAAACAAAACTTACATCAATATTACCACCATATATGTTAACAGTAGGGGGTAGTTCACTAACATTTGCATTCCGGCTTTACTAATATCCTCAATAAATGCACTTCCACATTCAACAATAGCATGTAATGTATCAGACCAATAACTACAGCTCGCATGGAGAGGGGTAACACAGGGTAACAAAGGGTAAGAATGGGTAACACAGGTTAACAAAGGGTAACAATGGGTAACACAGGGTAAATAGGGGTAACACAGGGTATCAAAGGGAAACAAGGGGTAACACAGGGTAACAAAGGGTAACAAGGAGTAACACAGGGTAAAAAAGGGTAACAAGGGATACCACAGGGTAACACAGGGTAAACAAAAGGTAACAAGAGTTAACAAAGGGTAACAAGGGGTAACACAGGGTAACAAGGGGTAACACAGGGTAACAAAAGGTAACAAAAGGTAGCAAAGGGTAACAAGGGGTAACACAGGATATCAAAGGAAAACAAGGGGTAACACAGGGTAACAAAGGGTAACAAGGGGTAACACAAGGTAACAAAGGGTAACAAGGGATACCACAGGGTAACAAAGGGTAACAAGGGATACCACAGGGTAACAAAGGGTAACAAGGGATACCACAGGATAACAAAGGGTAACAAGGGATACCACAGGGTAACAAAGGGTAACAAGGGGTAACACAGGGTAACAAGGGGTAACACAGGGTAACAAAAGGTAACAAAAGGTAGCAAAGGGTAACAAGGGGTAACACAGGATATCAAAGGAAAACAAGGGGTAACACAGGGTAACAAAGGGTAACAAGGGGTAACACAAGGTAACAAAGGGTAACAAGGGATACCACAGGGTAACAAAGGGTAACAAGGGATACCACAGGATAACAAAGGGTAACAAGGGATACCACAGGGTAACAAAGGGTAACAAGGGGTAACACATGGTAACCAAGGGTAACAAGAGGTAACGCAGGGTAACACAGGGTAACAAGAGGTAACACAGGGTAACAAGGGGTAACACAGGGTAACAAAGAGTAACACAGGGTAACAACGGGTAACAAGAGGTAAAAAAGGGTAACAATGGGTAACACAAGGTAACACAGGGTAACAAAGGGTAACACTGGGTGACACAGGGTAACAAAGGGTAACAAAGGGAAACAGAGGGTAAGAAAGGGTAAAAAAGGGTAAGATGGGGTAACGCAGGGTAACACAGGGAAACGCATTGTAACAAATCCGGCGGTCACTCGGGGGTTAACTTGGTCACGTCTAAGCTTGTGGCTCGTTCTGTACTACAGTTAAGGATGAATTAAGGAAAAAAAGAATTCTTAGAGGTTTTCTACCGAAAAAAACAAAATCCGGGTTCAAGTCACCTTTCTGCAGGGACGAATCCATAAGATACGTCCGAAAATTAACTGACGAGTCAACCCTTTGACACAGCGTGTGCACGATTGAACGGCTATTTCTCACTGAGATGAATACTCTGCTGGTCATTTAGAGTCACCGTGGCCGTCTCTTTCCACCGATCAGCTATGCTGTGAAAGACTTTCGGGTAAAAGATCAGAAAAGATCTAGCAGTTTGTAAAATAAAGAACAAATATGCCAGGCGTCACCGATTAAAAGCTGGGAACTACTCAACTCAGTTTGGGAAAGGACTGGAGACTAGTTACTTTCATATTTTGCACATGACGCCGGTACATTTTGATGTTGGGTTCTTCGATTGTCCTATTTTTCTGCTTTGATCGGCCATACCGAAGAGAATGAAAGAATTTTACAGTATATTAGTTTATCTTTCACTGTTGATTCTGCCAAACACCCGGCGAACAAGCGGTAGTAACGTGGAAGAGACGTCAGAACGGTACAAAATCGACGGCAAGATCACAATTCAAGGTTTTAAATCGTCCGGTACGTCTTGAACTTTGTTGATTTGGAAATATGTTAAATCAGCTAGCGTTAGCCAAAACAGTTGATTCTTTGAATCCCGTATTTTATCTTTTACACCTGTACTTTCATTGGCTGGGATGCATGACGCAAGAATTTTTCTTGCTGATATCAATACGATGGTCATTTAGGAGCTAGCTTCCAATCTAGAGATCGGGCTAACAGCATGCGCATGTTGCCACCTTCACTTCAGTGAATAATTTTTATCTATTTCCAAAGCACAAGCCTAAAGTCTGTGGTCTTTGGCAAATTCTTCTTCTTCAAAGTTCTAATTGTGTGAAGAAAAACTCTTCAAGCTTTTAAGTAGCCAGGTACATTGATCGCAGCCACCATCTTGAAAAGCCAGGGAAAAGATTATTTTAAACCCATGAACCTCTCCCTTAAAATCAGTTTTTCACTGGTCCCAACTCTCTGGTAGTATTAACGTCCAAGATGGCGGGATAACGTCACTCCTGAAAACAAATCATGGATCGTGCTCCAACATACGCCTGCTTTACAGGCTAGCAATTTTAGACCATTTTACTGTTGTGGGCTTAGTATCTTAGCCTTTGAGTGAACGTTAGGCTGAGGTTGATCTTGATACAAATCTCCTTCCTTTTCTTATGGAGATTATTTTTTTAAAAATACTATTCAGCATAACAACGACATGATTTACATAAGAAAGCAACAAGGGTTTTATCAAAACTAGTTCAACTCCAGCCACATTTCCACCCGTTACTGTAGTGGGCTATAATATGGCAATTATGTGATCATCTCAAAAGTTTTTGGGATGATAGTCACAGTTAAGAAAATTGGGATGATTTCATGCAAGTCAGCTGATCATTTTTCAAGTTTTGCTGCTCTTCTTTCTCTCTGGCAAAAAGTTTAAGGAATGTCAGTTGCAAAACTCACCCAAAGGTTATTAAATCAAGTTAGATGATTAAATTTCAATTGAAAAAAGTTGTCACCTTTTTCTTTCTTCAGACTGGATTTCTCAAACCAGAGTTATTGTTGATGGTGGAAACTACATTGGGTTTCTTAAAGCCGATGGCAGCTTCACTGTTAACGATGTCCCTGCTGGATCTTACATAGTAGAAGTTTTGTCACCAAATAACATGTTTGAACCTGTTAGAGTTGACATCAGTGGTAGAGCAAAGGGAAAAATAAGAGCGAGAAAAGTGAACTTTCTTCAGAATTCAGCAGTTGTTACTCTTCCGTACCCTCTTAAGTTCAAAGCCAAAGAACCAGCTCCCTTCTTTGAAAAACGAGAACAGTGGAAAGTTACTGATATGCTTTTCAATCCCATGGTAAGTAAGTCATAAGCAGTAGTAGTGAGTACATGTCCTCCCTACTTTTGATGGTACCGTGAAATTCCGAAAATAAGCCCTTGGGCTTATATTTTTCAAAGGCCCTTTTTGAGGGGCTTATTTTTGGAGGGGCTTATATTCGGAGGGGCTTATCTATGGAGGGAAATTTGAGTTTCAAAATCGATTGGGCTAGCCTTAAAGTTGGAAGTAAATTTACCATTTTTGCTTTGTTTTACTTTGTATTTGAGGGCAATTTTCCAAGTACAAGCCCCTGGGGCTTATAGTTGGAGGGGCGATTTAATGGAGGGGTTTTTGCGTTGCCGGTTTGGGGGGCTTATATTTTAAGGGGCTTATACATAGAGGGGCTTATTTTGGAATTTTACAGTAACTCTGTAAACTGCGTGCTTCATCATTTGTGACCAGCTCTATGGTAGCTACCGCAAAGTTTTGATGCAGACAGTTAAATAATTATTTAGCAATTGCTAAAATCAGTTTCACATGTACCACAGTGGCCATAGTTTACACAAGGTATCCTTATTTCCGTTGCATATTACACTTAAGTATTGTTTCTCCCCTTTGTGCTGCTAGTTTCATCACTGGGTTACCCCCCACTCCCCCACCAGTATGTCGTCAGTGCCCATTTATACATTTGGCTGAAGAGATCAAAGGGAGGGCAAGTTTCTTGTCCAAGGAAACAACTCATTGGCAAGGCTCAATTCTAGACTGGCAGGGGTAGTTTGCAGAATGCTGTATGACTGTGAAGTTTAGTGATTAGGGTTAGGAAACTGCTTTTGAGTCATACATTCCAGATCAGTTCACACTGTATAATGACCCCAACTGGAACTTAATTCACACAGTTTTTGTTACCGTAATCACAATTAAACATCAGAGTCATTTTGATGCCGTTCGGCATTCTGCAAAAGACCCCTACCAATGCCAGACAAGTCATACAAAGTGATAACTTTTCAGTCAGCAGGCCCCTATATTACATTGAACCCTAATTCAAATGTGAAAACTTTTGGTAAGCTAAAAGAAGAGAACAGAAAGGTCAAAAACTCTTGCTATGAGTGATAACTGTAACTGTTGATTTCAGGTCCTGATGATGGTGTTGCCACTGCTTCTGCTGTTAGTTCTACCTAAACTTATAAATAGTCAAGATCCAGAGACTCAAAAGGTACAGAAATCAAATGTACTGAATTAAGATGGCATCCACCTGGAAATTGAGTAATTTCAACTTTCAGTGGACGAAAACCTTGTACCAGAATAATTTAAACAATACCACTAACTTCTCTTTTACATTTTTCAAGGGCTATAGATATAATTTATTATTTCATGTGTAAGATATCATTTTGTTAAATTAGGCTCCCATAAGAAATTTTCTTTTAGTGTTATTACAGATAACTAATTACATGTATAGCCCTGGAGAAATACAAAAAAGAATGCAATATTGTTTAAATTATTCTGGTACAAGGTTTTTGTCCACTGAAAATTAAAATTACTCAATTTCCTGATGGATTCTGTCTTAATACTATTAATAGTAGTGATAACAAACTGACCTTATTTTTTTACTGACTCTATACGTCCCTAACGTATGTCGGCACCAAGAAGACAATCCCGAGAGAATCCTACACAGGATTGCACCTGATTTCCACCAGGGTGTGTGAGCAGGAAAAGATGCTTTGCATAAACGGTGCCAGTATTATACTACAACATGAGAAATTTCTGCAATTTGATTGGCTTAGAGCAGTGGTATTTCAGCTTAATTTGAAATACCTACATGTGAAAATTACAAACCTTGTGGGTAGTAGTATAGACAAATAATAGCATGACTTGTACGTGATATTTGGCATAAATACGTAAAACAGTTTTGAAATAACACTCATGGTATTTATGCCAGATATCACCACAAAACCTGCTATTATCTATACTAATAGTTCTACTGAATACTGGTACTGCAGCCCACCTAGCCTAAATACCGGTTACAGAAAATAGAAATTATACAATAATTCCTATTAAGGCCTTTTACAAATGTTCTTATAATCCTTTTTCTCGTAGGAAATGCAGTCATCAATGAACATGTTCAATCAGTCCAAGGATTTACCAGACATCTCAGACTGGTTTGCAAAAAACTTCTCTTCTGGTAGCAGAAAAAAGACCACAAGTAAGCCTGCACCAAAAAAACCTGCATTGGCAAGTTCAAGAAGGCGCTGATTGGTAAAGTAAAACAACCCTTTCACCTTAAGTTCAATGTTGAATTTCTCCTTTCTTGTGCTAGCAAGTTCCTTTCAGAAACAGTGTGGAGAGATTCTTTGTCCATTAACACTTCAATTGAACTTTTAAATTAAATACTATGTACATTGACTAGTCTTATGCCATACTCTTTTAGAAAAGTGAGAGAACTTGAGGGATTTTTAAACGTGTTTAATGAATTGCCATCTTTTGGTACATGCGAGCCTGTGCTAATGTAGACCTCTGTAGCTTGTATGTTTTGTTTTCCCAATAGAGATCCCAGGGGAACTTGACCCTTTGTCTTTTCATAAGTTATGCATAGATATACGCTTAATAAGACGAAATTTGAAAGAAACAGTTCTCTAGAGTATTATCACATATTGGGAAAACAAAACATATAAGTTAAATAGGTCTATTGAAACAAGATTGAACGTTGTAGGTAATTTTCATTCAGTTATTCTTAAACAATGTAAACACTTCTTTGTATGTACAAATGTATTAGTAATTTAGCGGATTTTAGCTGCCAAAGGTTTATAGTACCCTTTCGATTCAATTCAAAAAACTTTTGGCTAAACAATCTAATCCAAGCATGATAAACTCCTTTACAATAGCCGGATTCCTCCTACAAGATCTACCCTATTTGTTCAAAAGTTGGACCGTGCTATTCGTTGGCTAATGTTATGTCATTCATGTTAAGTTATGAGTTGTTTTATTCAAAATAATGATAATAATACTACTAATAATAAATGCGAAGTTTATTATTTTGTTTTACTGAATGTTTGACTTACAACAGAGCCCACGAGATCATAAAAGCCTAAGTTTTTTCACCAGCAGAGCCCCCCGAAGCTTTGTGTCTCCACTGTGGCTAATTAGTATAGTAGCTTTAGTAAATAAAGGCAAAAGACAGCTCGTAAATAGCTCTGGTTTTGAAGTAGAGGCAAAATTCAACCCAGAAAGAGCTCGTATCTTAATTATATGCCAAAGGCTCTCAACTTTAAATAGCCAAACCCCAGCCAAATAATAGACCTCGTTTTAAGTCAGAGGCAAAAAAAATTCGGTTTAAAATAAAGGCTCAAGCCCTCGTTTTGAAAAAAGAGGCAGTCGTTAACCATGATTAAGCTATTCAACCAAAAAGGTATTGAGAGCCTCTTCTTGAAGGCGACAACGCTTTCGCCCCTTCTTCCTCATCACTTGACTCTTCGTCATCAGTAGAAGCCTCATCTTCGAGATTATCAAAACCTTGGCACGGCTTTTCCTCGTCTTCTTCATCTTTGTTTTCTGTGGAAAACAGCTCATTCTTGATCAGTTTCCACGTTAGCCTTTTCTTTTCGCCTCCTTTGAGCCAGCTTGGTCTCTTGACCTCCGGTTCGTCGTAGTCTTTCTTCATAAGGTAAACAAACTCGGCGATGACCGACATGAGGTAAGCCACTTGTTCAGTCTCCACTTCCACCCACTCGAAACGAAGCTCCTCGGTGAAGTAAATCTCGAAGTGAATGCTGTCGCCTTGAACTTGTGACCAGCGACGAATCTTTCGCCATGGAGCAAAACACACTGTTTTTTCTGTTGAACGGGGAAAGGATAATTGATACCGGGAAATAACCAAGCCTGTTCCACGCGTTTAGATAGTGGTGTGGCGCAAAGGGAAACCGGTCGTTTCGATTTAAATTCTTTTCGATACAAGTCGTTTCGATACAAATTCAAGCAGGAAAATTGCACAGACATTTTGTCCACTTCACGTATAGTTTGCGAGTGAACAAGAAAAACATTTTGGGTGAATGTCTTCGTTCTTTAAGCGAAATACGTGGAACTATTTACACCTCAGATTGATAAACTTGTATCGAAACGACCGGTGACCGGTGCGAAGTTAGAGAGCGGGAAAAAAGCTGTTTACGCTGTCCCCACAATCTGTCGTCCCCTTTAAGGAAATCCGGATCTCGGAATTCGGAAATCTTGAAAGCCGGGGAATTTTTTTTATGGAATCCCGAATCCTGGGCTCCAGCTCTAGGAATCCAGAATCCCACTAACGCTTAGAATCAGGAGTCCAAGTTCCATTGACAAGGAATCCGAGTTCGGGTTGGACTTCGAGGTAAAGTTCGAGTTAGACTTACGAGTTATAGTTACGTTTTGAGTTATTTGTCGAAGCTCGCAATCTCGTTTTGGTGGGTGAGAATGCGAGCAAATTTATCGAATTTAGACTATATTAATCTAATACGGGAAAGTGTAATTTACTAATTAATTGCTGAAACTACCAGTAAGTAACACTCTTTTTTTTTCTTTCTCGTTTTCTGCCTGCCTTTCTGCGGGTGCCTTTTTTAAAATATAAACGAAGGTTATTAAATCCCACCTCTCTCCAGCGTTTGCCTAATAATATAGACTGGTCGCATCTTTTCGGATCCGAGATAAAGATGGCCGTCTTATAGCAATCTCGGTGGAAAGCTATTTGTTGTCCGATTGTCCTCTTACGATGCAGCTAAGCACAAAAAAAGGACCAGAAAGGTATTATTGTCTTACTTACGCGATTTAATCATTAACCCACGGCGGTTGGCGATCAAATCCACTTTCATTCCTTCTCTGAGACGTACGTCTTTCACCTTCAAATCGTTTTGAACGGTGCAGTTATTAAGGACAACATAGCCATAACCAAACATCTTCTGACAAAGCTCCACGTACTGCTTATCACATGGAAAGGCCGGGTTTCTGTATTCTTCCATGAGTGGAATGTGTTCAGGTTTGGGCTTGAGTCTGCCGGATCGAATATCTTCGATACACTGTATACAAATCAGGCGCATTGCGCCAGCATCCGTTTTCAGCAATTTTTGTTCTCTCGCAATATCAAAAGACCACTTTTGAATTGAAATCACGTAGCGACAGGGAAGATAAATCATTTCGTTATTGCCATATTTCTTCGTAGGGTTTTCGATCCCGCGAAAGAGTCCAAACAACTGCAGACTACTCGCGCGAATTTCAAGAGTTCTACCGACTATTTGGAGAAGATCTTCGGCTAGAATCCTTCCTCCATCGACCTGAACGCGAACGGCAGGCTGTGACCCTTCTGGTAACGTCCAGACACTTATTTTATCCTTTCTTGGCACTGGTTTTGATTTGGCGGTAGCCATAATGTCGGCTGCCCCTCTTTCTAGCTATCTTCAAGCACTTGGTTTTTCGATAATAGGTTTTTAACCACAATTATCACTTCAAAAGATACATTATGGACAGTTTATATTTTTCGGCCAAACGTTTTACGTGATTGGTTTAATTCTGCCCGTGGCATAAATTTTTAAAAAGTTGACAAACCTTTGTTATATTTTTGTTACACAGAAGTGCTAATAGATCAGTGGATCTCCACAAAAGCATTTCCCCGCATTGCAACGAGAGAAACTGAACCAGCTATTTAATGATAAAGTTTTATTATTTTTCCCAAAACTTTGCCTTTTGTCTAGGAGCGGTCAAAAATTTTTTAGATTTAAGAGCTTTACATTCTAATTAGAAACCATTCTTGACGCGTTCATCGTGTTTGATAATGGAAAATGATTTATTACCGAACATTTGATATTTGTGAATAGAAAGGAAAATAAAATATTAATTAACTCTCATTTTTATTACACTTTCAAGTTGTAAATTTCGTTTTTTTTTCACTGCCGTTAAACCGCTTAGCTAGGCTCTACTTGAAAAATGTGTTAAGAGGGCCATCTCTTTTAAAGCCCGTATTTTTCGAGATTTCATTCGCAATTGGTTTGGAGTCCATGCAGAACTTAAGTTCATCCCCTCTTGTTAAAAATTTTTTGACGTTGATCTGAAGAGTTTTTCTTAGAATTGCCGTTGTTCTTTTCCAGTTGAAGGTGTGGTGGCCGAGCGGTTAACACACCAAACTTTGGGTCTGTAAAAATGTTTCAAGCCTTGCCTTTCGTTGTTTTCTTAAACAATTAGCTTTGCTCCCTTTTGTTTTCTCTTTGCCTAGGTGTATAAATGGGGACCAGCGATTTTTTTTGAATATCGTATATTTGCCAGTTAAACAAAGTAAGGTACAATAAGTACTTGTAGATAGATGTACGGCGGGAAACAATTTGAGTAGAAACTCTGTATCGATCTGTACATAGTGAGAAAAAGAGGACGGGGCGTGACACACTAGCTCGTGTCGCCGATTACCCTCAGCCCACACAAAACGGGGAATAGAAAGGATACATAAATTGTAAGATAATTATTAATCTGAAGTTCTAGATTACAAATTGTAGGCGACTGCTGGGGGGGTGGGGGTGGTTAGCTACTCGTTGAGATCGAGCGCTTACCGTTGCCACAACCTCGTCCCCAGGGTCCTCTCGTTTTTCCATATAGTGGCGGCAGGGAAAATGTCTTTTACGCACATGGGTTCAGCGTAATTCAAGCATAATTCGTAACATGAATGACACTTATTGTGTTCATAAATCATCAATAATTTTCCCGCTCTAACCCAACACTTGCCAAGTTTGAAAGAGAAACAGCATTGTGTCTATCCGTTTGCGCTTAGCCATGATTTCACGAAAAGCGTGAAACGACACCCGAAAAACGGAATTGTGCGTGGAGACTAAAAAACCTGCGTGTTTCGTGGTGCTGCGCAAATAATTGTTGGTTAGCCGGTGTGTCGTGGTGTATGCAGTGATTTTTTATCTTTTCTGTTACGTCAGGTAATGATCTCAACATCTCCAAACCTCGGAATCTGGTTGCCATGGTAACCTGGTGCTGTTTGGCTGAGTTAAAATTAACACTCCTAAACGAGGACTTTCTTACAGGAATTTCCTCCTCACCAATTCATATAACGGTCAGAGTTTATTGCTTTTCGTGAACTGCCTCACCAACAAGCTACGTGCTTGCTGAGAGTTGGTGTCTATGATAAGAAATTTTGTGGGAAGATTTCAACTGGAGATAAAAGGTGCCATCTGCCGATCACCCTTACATTAACGATCTAATTGACTGACAACACTTCAAGGCGTAAAAAAACGCGCTAGAAGAGGGAAGTTTTTATCAGTGATGAAACGCCCTCGTATTGATATGACAAAGATTTGAAGGATAAAATCTTTTACATCTAGGCATTGATGAAATGGAATAGACAGATGGTCCCAGATAGTCCAAGGTATATATTTCACAAGCGTGGGTTATTTATCATGTGGGTTATACACTGATCTTAGATTGCTGATATAACATAAACAAAGGGAGCGAAATAATCTTTAGGGGTGAGATAATGGCTGCGAAAAGGTGCCTCCGATAAGCCATCCTGAAACGGACTCTTCCAAGAACAACAGATGGTTCAGCAAACTAGGTGCGACTGTCAAACCAATCTGTAAATTCCTTTTAAAAAACAGCAAAGATATTCTGTTCTTTTTTCCACCCACAGTTTACTCAACTTGTCTTCCCCAGTGGGTGTAGGTAAGCTTCCCCTCTCCCCGCGATTTTAATGTTTTCTGAAACAAAATCCCGTAAGTTCGAACTAGCAAATTGGTGAAATAAGGCTGCTGATTACTACGTAAGGCTTTACTACCATATAATTATAATCACGACGTTGAAAATTTCAAAAGGTAGTAAAAAAAGAACGTTATTTTTCGTTACGAAGTGCTTTATTTTAAGACTTTAAAATAAGACGAAAAGTTAATCGAGAAAGGGCGATCTAATGGCACGTTTCAGGAAGTCGTTCCTGCCTTTTAACTTTATCAAAGTGACGCGTGTTTGAAACCTCTTTCCTGGGAATCGGAAAGAAGTTGACATTTAAATGAAGCCCTCTCTTCCTTTAAGGCTAAACAGGAATATTTTCCAGTAAATTATATCGAATTTTGATCAGCGAGTGATTGTCCCAATAAACAAAAAACAAAAACAAAAAAACCTATGAAGTGAAGGTTACGTTATCGGATTTTGCGTATTAGATCTACGTTAAATACTTTCAAACACGCTGAAACGATAAAAGTTTTTATCGTTGTAATTTGTAAGTTTATTGCTAAAAAGATGTACCGAAAAGCGGAATTTTCATACTCTGCCTTGTTTGGGATTGTCTAGTAGTTGACATCACCTGAACTGACTCATTTTCGAAGATCGCTATATTTTTGCCCATCTCATTTCTTTACTACTCTTGTCTCGTATTTTTTTTGTTCATAGTTAACTTAAATGGTGCGGTTTTTGTCACCAATTTCTTGGCCCACTATCTTCTGATTGATGAAATAAATTCTTACCGGACATTTGAATGCTGGATGTTAAGATCAACAAAATAAGTCGAGACATAAATAACTTAGGACAACGGAGCAATTCGATCGACTTAAAACAAATAAAATAAATAAGACGATGACACTAAAAACCAACCTGGTAGTGCATCGTGTGATGGCTCAGTTTTCCTTCCAGCCGGACATCAGTGTCACGGAGCACCTGGCCCTTATCCTTACGTATGAACACTATTTGTGGAGACAGAAATTAAACGACTATGCCATTTTCAATTAGGATCAATTAATTTAAATGAAGCATGGCAATTAGTAACTAAACTCGCTTTATGGCTCAACAGTTAAAATTGTATGGCTTGGTACCTTTTTCTTGTAGAAACATTGCTCTGCGGGATAATTATAATTCTTGACATTAAGTGGAATAATGGTTATGTTTTGTTTTCAAGTTTTCATGAAATAGGTCTGAAACAAAACATTGAGTTTGATGCATACTTTGTGCCTACACATATATTCTATAAACTTAACTTTGTGTTTTTAAAATATGGACTTCTCCCATGAAGCGGTTAGTATTCTAAAAAGCACGCCATTAAGCTATAAGCAGTTTTATAAGATACTGTCTTCATCTATAAACACTCGCCTGTTTTCCTCTTTACTGTTAAAATTAAAAAGGTTTAAACACCTAGAAAGTATACTTTTTTTGCAAGCTCACTCATTAAGACTGCAAGATAAATGATTCTATTTTTTTTGGTCAATCTGCAAATCTCCCGCTAGACAATTCTGTTAATTGTCAGTGGCTGTGAGAAGGGAAAACCAGAGATTAACATCTTTGTATAAAAGCCAATCTGAGATTTGTCCAAGATAAACAATAGCAATTTTTCTGCTGTTTTGCAGTTTGGTGACGCCAAATAACTTTAATGCCAAATTGATACCACCAGACAGACCAACTTTTTGAAAACAATCGTTTGTCGATGATCGCGTATTCCGTGCAGTTGTGACTTAGCTTTTACTCAAAAATATGAGAAACAGCTGGTCAGCAAGCGAAATCATTTACTGGACGATTTCAAGGTGTAACGCTAATAAGAAACATGTGTAAAAAAGAAACTATCGAAATGGTAAAACTCGCCATTTGCTCGGTAACCAACTTGCTAGTTGCAAAGCGCTATAAAAGTACTGTCGAATTAATTGAAAATGTACGTCACCTTTACCATATTAATATCAACAGTGGTAACTTTTGGCCTTAATTGCTCCCTTATCAGCCGACAGAGCTTATTTTGTATTAATTGAAAACCTGTGTCAAGCATGTTATTCGCATGTTATGCTAAAAATGCACCGTCATTGAATTTCTTAGCGTTGAAAGAAGCGAGATGAAAAATTGATTCTGAATAAGTGTTTCAACCTCAAACTGAACAAACACGACTGTGCAACACTGTTGAAATTACCCAAAATATCGCTTTGTTACGTCGATATAGTACATTTTACATTATTGTTAGTTTATGTTTTGTCATTTTGATTTTGTTCTATCGTTGTCCCAGGTTTATCCGATTTAAAACTTAAGATTATCGATGTCATTAATCATTAACTTCAGTTTTGACAAGATCAAACGAAAAAGTCATAATTTGTGTGCCGTCACATTGACAAAGCGTCTTCATTGAGGTGGTAGAGTTTTTCTATGCAAATTAATAAGTGACCAATAGCGTCTTGCAGCAGTCAAGCACAAGCCTGTAAATTTAAATTTCAACATTGCTCCTGCTTTTAGCTTTTCACCAACTTGCTGGCGGCGGCAGAACCGGGGGCGGGAAAATCGCGAACGGTTTCAGAACTTAGTTACTGAAATGGGAAACGAAGGCTCAAAAAAGTCGGCGTCCAATTCTTCTTCTTCTTCTAGTTCAAAGAGAAACAAGAACAAACTTACGCCAGAGGATATACAGGAGCTGCGACTTTCGACCGAGTTCTCCGAAGACGAACTCCATAAGTGGCACAAAGCGTTCCGCGAGAAATGTCCGAACGGAAAAATGTCCCAGAAGAAATTCGCGGAAATGTATACGAATCACTACTCCACTGGCGACGCCACTATTTTCGCCGGGCACGTTTTTCGCACTTTTGACAAAAACAGAGACGGCACAATTGACTTTCACGAATTTATTCAGGGGCTTTCTATTATTTCTCGAGGTTCACAAGAGCAGAAACTACGATGGGCCTTTGAGATGTACGATAGCGATGGAAGTGGCACTGTTTCGCGTGCCGAGATGTTAGAGATAGTGCGAGGGATTTTCCGACTCGCTGGTGACAGGATAAATCTCCCCAGAGATGAAAACACTCCAGAAAAGTTTACTCACAAGTTGATGGCTAAACTAGATCGGGACAATGATGGCACAATTACGCAGAATGAGTTTGTTCGTGGTGTTCAGTGTTATCCTTCCCTTATGCGGTTATTGGATCCAGCGGGCGCGAAGTAAACTAAACTAATAGTCTGCAGTCGTGTGTTTACATTCGCAATATATTATGCTACGTTTGAGTTTACGATGGAATATCTCCTAGGAAAAGATGAGCACTATTAATTCTAGAGCAGATATCACAGTTTTTCGTGAGAAGCAATAGCAAAAAGATGTGCTAAAGGAATAGACAGATTGAGCTTCCGTTTGTTCGCCTCACCCTTTTGATCTGTTGTATTGACTAGATATCGACCGCTTTTTCAAAGACGTTAACAGCTAGAAGAAAGGAGATGAGTTCCTCTTACTTATGGACTACCTTTTTAGCTGGTTAAAGTAGACGAATACGTAAAATTTTCAGTTTGGATCCGGGAAAACCCTCGCCTTAAAGATCACTATATAATATTTCCTGACTGTTTCGATAGAGCGATAGAACAAATTCATTTACTCCGATAAATTTATTCGTCTAGGTTCATCTTGAGAAGGTGAGAAGCTGCTGGATTCCCCATTGGTGTTCAGTGTGTTTAATATTTTAGTTGTTATTACGATTTTCGCTTGATTGCCAAATCAGTTCTTCTAAATGGGGTCTAGGAGCTCCTATGCGCACTGCAAAATCCTTAAGCTAAACGGACTGAATCGAAAGGCGGAATTAGCTCGTTAACAATAGCTCACGATTACAAAAATCGGCGACCGGTTGATCAGAGCTTTTGAAATATTAAACAGCGGAATAACATTTAAATATCATGCGGTTGAGACAATTCACCTAAGCAAATGAAGAACACCTTTTTGAGGTCATCTTTTAAGAGATTTAAGGTTACAGAGAATAGGAACAATAAATTTAAGTACAAGAACCAAGTTTTCCCAAAGATTGCTGTAGAGCGTGTTTTTCTTTTAATAATTGGCATTGGAAAGTAGAAAATATGAGAACTTCCTTTTGCCTATGTAAATACTGAAGCTTTTGTTTTATTTATAACTTCACAGCTGTATCTCAGTGATGGTAATTTTTGGTTTTGAGGTTTTTTTTCGAATTATCATGGATCGAGCGGAACGGTGAGGTGGTCTCAGTTACCATTAATGTTTTTTTAAAATCGAAAAAGACGGCCCATCAACAGCGGGCAGTTTTCAAGTGAAAATTTCCAGAAGGTGTCAAAGCTGAAGAAATTTTTAGCCTCTCATAAGTGAAAAAAATGTAGGCTTTGATAAGACGGTTTTCAAAACATGATATGAAGTGAAAAAACCGTCGTGTTTATGATAACAACAAATAAGACTCCTCGTTTCAACTTCCTTTGAAGTTATACCACATTTTATTGCGAGTCATCAATCTTTAGACTTAGGTAGTTTGTTGATAAATTGGCTTTTTCTAAAAAGGCTTTGAACAAAATAACAGTATGCCAGTATGGTTTACTATTTGAAACTTTCAATGAGTTAGTTTTGAATCTTTTTTCTGTAAATTAAATTTGAAAATTTCCATTCCTCGCAACGTATTAAAAATTAAACAGGTTTCTTAGCAACTGCTTTATTTTCATTTTGTATACGTTGTTTGGCGCTTTAACGCCTAAAGAGAGACAAAATCAATGTTGAAATACATGAATATTTCATTTGTATAATAAATAGTTTTTGAATATAACTAATGAAAAATACATAACTCAGTAACGCTCTTGGAACCATTAGCGTTAAACTTTGCATAATTCTTTATTTCTAGGAATAAGAATATTTATTAATAAAGAAGTCTTTTCCTTCTTCTGATCGTGTTCTCACATTGTTTCGCTAAAGCATCGTAGTCATCCGAAAAAATGGGCTGTGGATAATTACTGACACTTTTAAAAGTGAAGCACAAACACTAACAAACGATACTTTAAGGTCGATGGTACAAGAATCTATCTCTTGAAAATTAGAGTAAGACTGTTTTTCTTCAATTGCAAACTGGCTTAATTCCAAACGTTCCTGAACCGGTGAAGTTTTATGTCAATCCGACTTCACTGTATATAAATTAATTATTGTCATTTTTCCCCTAGTATTTTCAAGTTGAATTATGTTTGGCCGGAACCAACGTATCACCGTCGTGTTCCACCTTATAGACTCAGAGTGTTTTAGAATCCTTGTACTCTAATCTTTTGCTCCAGTCTCGTTGAGCAGCGAAAATCATGAAACAGATGAAATGGCGTTCAGCAGAAATGACCGAGGGAAAAAAATCACACAAGACCGTGGAAAAAAAAAGTGAACTAAACGTGAGATCGGATTTTACCACCTGCCATCAAACACACGCCAGTCCTTTTGTAAGCTTCGCGTTAAACTCACTTAGGAATATCACATGCACAGAAATGGCTTCCTACTGTTTTTGGTAAGCCATTCAGGTTAAAAGAGGTCTCGACAAAGGTATGTCTTTGGAAAATGTAACCGCTTTCAAACCAATGATGTTACCACATATGCGTCACCTGTTTTCCGCTTGAAAGTGTAACGCAGGCTCTGAATTACTCATGCACACAAGGTTTATTGCTATTCAGTCATAAATTCGCGGTTTACAGTGCCATAGAACAGCATAAAACGTTACAAAATGTTTGCCTTTGTGATTTTGTGACAAAAAAGTTGCTTTTATTGCAGAATTTGATGCATATATTTCTTTATGAAATTACCTGTCGCGTAGGCTTGTCGACAACGTTAATTTGAATTGCTGTATTTCTGAAACAATGGAAGGTTTATTTAAAGAGCATGACGAGCATCACCTTATTTTGTAGGTGATTACAGTATCCATATAGGAACTGGGATCACTATGTGCTTAAGTCCGTAAGTAATACAACGATAACTCAGTGAAGGCACAGTTCGTGAACAGAGTTTAATTATCTTCTAGTCACACTACATTCTCCACACCGCTTTCCATACATTACCTATGCCAGGATTGAGGAAAATTGATTTAAATCTCGGGGGCGGGGGGGGGCGGACCCCTCGAGGAGGCTTGTCTCCTTCGCCCACTCAGGACTTCTACCCCAAATGATAAATCCTAGATAGAACCCTGATTTAAGGTATACGGCTTGCCCTGATTGGAATATTACTCCGTACCTGTAGGCATGTTAAAATTTTATTTCTAAGTTTAAATAAATAAATAATGTATTTTTATGTATGTACATGTATGTATGTATGCATGTCATAGAAAGGTTGTTATTGGATTAAACTCGGTTATTTTGCATACATATTGGTTATAGCTTTCGAGTTTTTTTTTTCTTTTTTGCAAAATCTTCCTCCCTTTTTCCCTCCCCCCAAATGCGTTTCTCTCTTTTAAACAAGTAATACAGCGTATAAAATACACCGTTAACATCTCAGCGTCTTAAATAACTGGTAAAACGTTTGCATCTTGCCTCTTATATTAAATTATTTTCTGACACTAAAATAGTTGCTGATGTTTAAATACACAAAGGATTCTCATAAATCGGTCAGTTTATGGTTTCCAATCTTTCCTTAACTAAATACAAGTCTAACAACATCCATTCAAAAAAGGATAACACAGTAAGCAAGGCATGAGTAGAGATAGAACTCCCAGGATTCCCCATCTAGCCACGCACTCAACCCCAGGCTTCGCACATGCGCATGGTTGAGCAGCCCAGTTGCCTTCCAGCTCATGGTCTTTCGTACAGTGGTAAAACAATGCTTTTACACAGCACATGCACGAACAACACTCTACAAGCCTTGTGTTGTCAGCTTTCACCGGTGGCTCTCGAATGGTATACCATGGATGTTCATTAACCATTGGGACTTGGTTTGCGGTACTCGATGGCCTTTTTGTCTGATTTTGAAAGTAGATGGCATTTCCCAGGTTAATAATTGTCTCTGTGGCATCAGAAAACGTCACTGACTGATATCCTTCCTTCTTGGGTCACTGCTTCCTAAATAGGCAAAGTATGAGAGTTGAGGCTGAGCTCTGATGGGTGCTGGTTCATTGTCCGCGATCAGATCTGTTATGTAGCCTCTTTCCTTGTCCAAAATACGTTGCCACTCCTGGGGGCTTTTTTGGTATTTTTTCTTTTCCGGGTTAGATTTGCATCTTCGGAGGGTTTTATTGTTTTTGAGGTCCTGTAAAGCGGGATGTTGTCTCAAAGATCCTTCTTGGCATAGTGGTGTTCTTGTTTCAGACAAAGACTCGAGAATTTCACTGAGTGAGGATCTTCTTCTATACTGATGCATGTTCTGAAAATAAGGTAATATCAGGTCAAGAGAATGAGGCCCGTTTTAAGAGTTTGACTTATGTAAGCACGACTGTAGCGTTGGTTTGTGACGTCTATCGAATTTGATTTGGTCGGATTTAGTTTTTGCTGAAAACAATCAAACGAAAAATTATCATCGTCTGGACGAATATGTTCAAAATGGCTGAAGCTGTGGGAAAGAAAAAAACGTCCGTTAATCTCGTCTAGTGAGTTCTATGTTTTCTAGAATGCCTAAATCAAAAGCTGACGCCTTGGAGACAAGAATGGACTCGCTAGTAACCCCAGGAGCCGTGCCTGTTACAGCCATTCACCCCTGAACCCCAGGAGCCGTGCCTGTTACAGCCATTCACCCCTGAACCCCAGGAGCCGTGCCTGTTACAGCCATTCACCCCTGAACCGCAGGAGCCGTGCCTGTTACAGCCATTCACCCCTGAACCCCAGGAGCCGTGCCTGTTACAGCCATTCACCCCTGAACCGCGGGAGCCGTGCCTGTTACAGTCATTCACCCCTGAACCGCAGGAGCCGTGCCTGTTACAGCCATTCACCCCTGAACCGCCCTTGTAGACCGCGGCCGTTCTACCGCCTGTAACTTCATCAGTTTTAACTTTGACATCTTTGACATCTAACTTGTGCCTTCTGCCCTTGCTTGAACATCGGACTCTGCAACTTTTGGGACTGCGACGAGAAAACGGCTCTACTAGCTTCAAAAGGCGTTTTTGGTCAAAAATGATGATTCTGTTGTCTAGACGTCCTGTTTTGTAGATAACTTTGTAAGAGGCAAGACATTTTTCTCTTAAAATCTAGCTTATTTCTTTGTATTTTTGGATCGCTAAATGTTGTTTTTTCGTATGTTTGTCAAAGAAGTGGGAGTAATTTTCATTAAATTTTTTTCGTTATTGCCTTATCTTCATTTTTAAAGATTTGGCACTTTTAAAATGGTCGAAATTTATCAGTCGAGAAAGCAAATAAAGCGTTATTAGAATCTTCATCTTGTTTTACGCCAACTTTTAGTGAAATAGCTGTAAGCATAAATTTTTCATTGAAGCTAAAAAATAGTAAATTATCCTTTTCTTGAAGAACAAATCTGGAGTCACCCAGAACCGTAATGCTTGAATATCACAAACAAATTTTCAATATATGTGCTTAGCAAATAAATGATAACCTGTTGAACTATTGACTGTTAAACTACTGCGGTGTATTTAAACCTGTTTTGAGTCAGTGATAGCTTCACGGAGGTACTTTTTTAAGTGTTGTAAATGCCGACTTAATCAGAAGCATTCAACAGTGATTTCAAAACACCTAACACTGATGTTGGCAAATGTGCCGTTTTAACATTTCTGAAATATTGAACATTGAAAAAACGTAAACTACGAATATCTACAATGTTGCTACTATCTAGACCTTTTGGATCATTCAGTGAGCCTTTTAAGGCCTTTCGCAGAGGACACGAATTTTTGGATATGAGATCAATGATTCTGAGAACTGAAAACGGTCTAACTTACCTCCAATGAAACGTTCCTTGCCCTTTTTGTACTAGATTCTTTACCAGAAAAATTTCCAAAAAATTGTCTAGTCATGGAAAGGAACATTACTTTGTACTGTGACTGCTTGAAAAATATGTAACGGTCCGTAAATGTTTTTAGTTTATAACCAGATACTGATTGATCCATGTACGTCATAATGAGGTCACCTCTGACGCATTTTCCTTGCAACGAAGTCCTTAATTTACATTTATCTTGGAAATCACTTCGAAAATACAGCCAGAATGTTGCTAATTTGATTTTTATTTTAGTTACAGGCCACATTTTCATGACAAAAACCGAAAAATATATAGTTCGCAGTCCAAAATATTTGATTTACATTATTATTGTTAGTTCTGTTTTTGAAGTTATGCTGATATCTGAATCTTGCCTCATACGTCATCAATAAGTTTATTTCCAGCAGTTATCCCCCTATTATTAATAACAACCGTTTGGACAACTTTTTTCGATGCACGAAATTACAATGAAAAATTAACTAAATCAAAGCAAAAAGTAATAGTCTGATGGTTACATATTGGCGTTAATTCAACAATAAAGGCAGAAATTGAATTGATCTCGGAGCAAAAGATCAATGCTGTTTAAAGAGAAAACGTGTTGTGACATAAATAACTTACTATTCTCCATTTATAACTGACATGATTTTCATAAGGGGACCTGGGATCGAAGTTTTTACCATTTACCGTTTTACCAGCCATTGGACTGTTTTGGCCCTGATTTAGGGAGCAAATTAGATCCAAAAATAGGACTGTATTTTACTCACCGACACGGCCCCCTTTTAGGGCTAAAACAGATCTTTCTGATTTACAATGTTGCGATTGAATTATTCTTCTGCCTCCGATTGCGTCGACCCGGTCGTTTCATCAAGAGCCATAAGCAGAGTCGAAGGAAGATGGAAACGTCTTGACTCTTTCGACTCCGGTTCGAATTCGAACTCGGATTGGTAATCAGATGCGTAGAGCGTTTTGATCTAGTGAAAAGGGCGTTCCGATTCCGCTTACAACTACATCGCTTTGATGCGATTCAGTAAAAACCAGGAGCTCATATTGCTGAAGTTTTTCTCAACCCTGCCCCGCTGACATTGGATAGTTTTGGGTCATGCGACATTCCCGTTTAAAGTCTTTAAGCTTGCAATAGCGTAAAATCTATTGACGTCCGAGGGTAAAAGTACACTACAAACCTTTGTTTTCATAAACCTCCTTTTCTTAGAAACCTCAGTTATTATCTTAAAAACGTACCAGTTTTCAAACTCCTTTTAAAGACCAAGAGCCCATTGACCGGGAGCGAGCAAGTTTCTGGTGTCACGGGGTTTTCACCAACATGTCTATTTTTGGAACGATTTGGCGCGAATTTAGATTATCTTTGTAACCTGAAACTGGTATTTTTGACCTTTTAATGGCATTTACTTTTCTTTTTCACAACTTAAACTTGTGGTATGCACTCATGGAATAAAAGAAAAAGAGGGTCCAGTTTCTCGGGAAAAATTGTTTCAAAATGTATCTAAAAATAAACCGGTCCGTGAAAGCGCAAGACAATTAGGCCTGGTAAGGGATTTGCTCGCTCTGATCTGGGTACTGGACTTCCGTAAAAACTAAGAAGTCGGAGTCGGCGAGCAGAAGGGGAAGAAATAACCAATCACAATGCGTGGGAACGAGCATTGTCATTCGACTCCGTCTTCGTCGCTACTATAAAAACTAAGCTATATAGTCTTTCTCCTTCCTTGGCCTTTTGGCGAAACTTTGCTTACACTTTTTGCCTCATTTACGTATGCTTTTCACTATCTGATGACGCTAGTAAAATAAAAGCTCTGAACATTGAAAGGGCATAACAGTTCTATCTCTGAAAATTTGAACCCAATACACCGAATGGTTTCGGAGAAATTCTCTTCTAAAAACTCGAAATTTTACAGAGCCACCCAGCAACTTCGCAGTTTTTGATGACTGATCTTTCCTTCAATATTTCTTCAGCTGAAAATTGCACAAATTGCTCAACTTAGTCAGCTCTTTCAACTTTTGCATTTAGTTCATATATACGGCCACGGCTTCTATGAGTTAAGTCGTATGCTAATGAGGAAACATGTAAACAATGACGTCAGCTAAGATTCGCCTATAACACCAATCGCCGCCTTAGAAACGAGTAGGAAACTGGGCAGAGTTAACACTCGCAAAGACTTCTGGGACTGTTACCAGGGTTGGCCAGTAGCAATTGCCAGTAGGTGACCCGCGCGTCCCCAGTAACGATCCCGGAAACAAGAGCGCGCGGGACACATTTCGGCTACAGCCGTCATCTTCTCGTTTCTAAAGTGGCACGAATCCGCGTATAGACTAATAAGACCAGCGTCAATTTTTTTTAATTCGTATTTTAATGTATTAATAAATTACAGCTAGGTTATTTCAAGTCTAAAGAAGAATTTCTAATCAAATCTATGTATTTGCATGCAATATACACTGTATGTATGCAATGTTATAGCGTATAAGATTTAAATGTATAACTTACTATTTAAATTTGGACATATGACTCTAAAAGTCTGTATTTAAATAATTTTACGGTTTGAGAATGTCTCTCAATATTTTATAAACTAGAAACTAGAAAAATGTCCTAGCTACATAAATTAGTATTTTGCTATGAGATACAGCGGCCATTTTATAATGGGAAAAAAGCCCTGAACTGTACAATTTATACAAGCATATAATTTTGCGTTTTCTGACTGGTTGTGGTTTTTCTCCCAGTTAACAAAATGCAGAATGACTGACAAGACGTCTGAACATATAGGGCGCGCGCAAAATTTTCTGGATCCTCAGATATACTTATATCATAAATAAACTTATTGTATATTACATATACTTATAATTCTAATTGAAGATTTTCTAGAGAGTAGTATCGCTCTGGCTTGGAGGCATTGTGCAGTGTTCAGGCAATTGTGAGAATTCGAAATTTATACATATTTGGGTTCGATTCTTTGCCACAAAACAGGGAATTCATTGGGACAGACTCGTGTCCCTGCTGCTAAACAAATCATGAAATAGTTCAACAAATCAACCCGTCAATCAATGAATCTATCTCTGGATCAGTCGATCGATCAGTTAATCAGTAACGTCAAACCAATCAGTCAATCCCTGAATTAATAGATCAACTAACCAAACAATCAATCAATAATTTAGTAAATAGGAAAGCTAATCTACCAGCCAACAAAACAATCAGTCAATCTATCCATCCATCCATCCGTCCGTCCGTCCATCCATCCAACCATCCGTCCGTCCATTTATCTCTCAGTCATCCAGTCTGCTGGTCATTTAGCCAAACAGAGAATATAAAAGAAAAAAATGTTTGTTGAATTGAGCCACAATAATCTTCTTTCGAAAATGCATGTGACTAGCGCACTAACCAGTTTGAAACACTATGGCGGCCAATTTGAAAGCCGCAGTTGATATTGCTGAAGCCGGTCTTGTTTCCGTCTCCAGGATTTGGACTTTTTGCCTCAATTCTCCGATTTTCAAAGATTACGAAGTGAAATGTGTTTGTCGACATGTGACAATTCAAAGGAAAGCTACCCACTACTATCCTGTAAAATTGTTTACCACGTTCCTTTCTATTTGAGAATACTTAAGTACCATATTTCAGTTAAACTTCATTTTTAGGGGAATTCCTAGGTAACAACTTCGGGCAACTTCTCAATGCTTCAGTGACTGCCGATAATCACTGTAGAAGCTTAACGAAATTAAGGTACTACATGTAATTAATTTCTATTGCGCTCCTTCTGATCTAGAATCAATTGTCAATGATGTGGGTTCGTCAGTTACAGATGATTTCTTTGCTGGTAAGCGATCGCTGTTATTGCTTTCGACGGGGGCTTCTTTCTTCATGCACTCCTGGCACTTAAAGCAAGCTTCAAATGGCAGGTAACAAAGCAGACATGGAAGAAATAAAGAGAGAATTCCCATAATACCCCATCGACCCACACACTCGCCCACAGGCCCCTGGCATGAACATGGGTCGTCGGCCAGTTGACCCTCATCTTTAGTGTCTTTCGTGCAGTGATAAAATAACGCTTTCACCAAGCACATACAGGTGCAACAGTCCAGTAAGTCATTGTAATCCGCTGGTGCTTCTTGTTCTTCCAATTCTTCAATTTCTCGGCAGATAACATTGGTTGCGTATGGCGACACAATGGAAGTACTGGTTAGAATTACAGGCCGATCCGCTAGAATGTCATGAGCGGAAGGGAGTCTGCCACGAGGAAGCTGTGGGGCTTTAGAAGTTGGATGCAGCCTTCCGAGATACGCAAAATAGCGGAGTGGTGGCGGTGGTTCTCGTCCAGTAAGCGATCCCGTGCTTCGCCGGCTCCCAAGTTTAACATGCCCCGTGCTTCTCCTTGCCGGTCCAACCACAAAACGACCGCTACTCCGCTGCGTGCCATTGGTTTGGGCAGCAGACTGCTTGTCATTCATATATAGGGATCGCACGAGCTGTTCTGGGCTTGATATTGACCGTTGAACTTTAAGTTTCGGAGGAACCTTGGTTTTGTCTTTTTCCTGTTGAACGTTCCGTGAATAAGTACCCTGTGTTGCTGTTTGAGTGTCCTTTCTTGTTTTCACCCCATTCGGGAGGTAGTCGGGTTTTATTATGCAATACTCTCCTCGCTCATCGACGTCTATTTGAGAAGAACTCGTCGCTCTCTCTTCTTTCTGCATTTTGACCTTAAAAATTTTTCCTACGCTGTCATTTCCTAAAATAAATAATAATAAATAAAAATTTAAAGAATCGGGCTTCTATATAGCTTAGTCAAGACAATAAATGCGTTTTCAAGGTGTTGCTCTTAGACAATGGAAAAAAGCTATATGCTTAACATATAACGACCATAGCAGAGAAACCTTGAGCTTAACTGTAAAGGAACAAACAATACCGGGATTAAAAAAAGCAAAGATCCAGACTAACAAAGAGCTTTGCGTGAATTTTAACCATTCTACTTTTTCGTTCTTTTTTTATTAATTTGAAACAGCCATATGTAAATTAAAGTTTCCCTTCGAAATAATTGTTCCGGTTGAAGCTGCTGTTATTAAATGAGCCTTTGAAATATCAGATGTCCATCTTAGAAACGTTTGCCGGGTCGGCCACTGTAAAAATTTCTCAAATTTCAAGTGATTTTTTCATCCATCGTACTAAAAATACAAACTGAAGCAAAAAATGCTTCTCCTAAAATCAAAACGCTTTTATTTTGCAACGAAATTGAAACTTGCGACAGACGGCTGCGATAACAACTCAGCTATACACCTGCTGTTGTGTTTCGCTTTAGCGTATATTCGAGATGAAAACCTTACCTTGGATACAAATTTTCCCCCACAAAACACAACGAAAAAATTTCCGTGACTCACCGGTGAACCATCTCTTCAGGTCATGTTAAGATAAATGCTACCTCCGAGCAACGAAATAGAGCGTTAAGCTTTCATGATTTACCGCCACACGCGAAAAAAAATGCATTCACGACCAACTCGAATTACCACAACAATAGCCGCAGCTACTTTCTTTAACCGGAAATACGTCAGTGTTTCGTGTGTTTAAACAATTCACCACGGCGACAATCATTTTAGCAAGCTATTTGAAGTCAACTATGTTCAAAATGATAATAAATAATAATAATAATCATAATCATAATCATATAATAATAATATATAACGATTAATAATAATAATATTGTTGTGGAAGATTTGGGAACAATCTGTGAAGGTTTGAATAGAAATGTTATAGGAAGTGTAAAAATACTAAGGGCCCTTGAGATATGAAAAGATATGGCCAGACCCGTGTGACCGTGGTTGCTAAATTGTTGTACCCGCTCTCAAAGGACGTCTCCCACTGAGTTGACCAGCAAGACTGAACAGTAGTCCTTTTATGTAAAGTTCCGATGACTTTAATAGGCAACATTGTGCATGTTAAACGTTGCTCCGTTAAAAACTCTTGTAAATAGAATTTTGAGTATACGATCGGGCTGTGTTGAAGCCTATACTTTAAAACGCTCGTAGGGTAGGCTTTTCCAACTAAGGAATGTAGACAGCTCTGGAATTCAAAGTAGCCAAATTTTTTTTGCACCTACCTACAAAGGATAGGGCTCGCTTTTTGCGGTTCTATTTTGAGCAACACTTTCAATGATGTAGCATTGATGTCAGTGTGGTTTGTCTTTATACTTGGCCGAAACCACACTGGCAATAAAGACCATGACTCGTAGCAGGACTCTTAATGCAATACCGTTTTTATACCTTAGATAGGTGGACCGGAACTCTTAATTAATAATAGGGTGCTAACTTAAATTTTCTTCAGGATTGTTTCATCATTCCTGGCCAGTAATTTCTTTCAGACGCCGCGTCCCTTAGCCGAATATATACGGTAACTCGATTTCCGACTCATTGATTTATGCAACTGCAGTTTCATGCAACTGGGGCCATGGGCCTGCACGCTTGAGTTGCTGAGTCAAGCCTTTGATAGGTCTAATATTACGCGACAAAAATAAATACAATTAAGCCACTTAACTTGAGATTATATAATCCTCGGCCGGAAAAAGATATTAGAATCTATGTTCCAGTTCAGAGACCGTACGAAGGAATGATAAGGTTGTGTCTTTCTATTTCAGTCCTGTGGAAAATGACGACGAAATGTGTGTCGCTACACAGCCCAAGATTTTCTGTGTCGAACTCAACAATGAAGCCATTCTCTTCGTATGGGTCAAGAGCGCGCAAAAAGGAGTTGCAATTATATTAAATAATTTCTCCGACCTCAGAAGCTCTTTGGATTGATTATTTCAGAAGTATAACTAGTCTCTAATCAATAATATGAGAACAACGGAAGAATGTTGTTGTCGAATGTGTAGAACTGTAAGCGAAATCAGTTAAGGTGCCTTTAACGCAATTGCAATGAAAAATTTTGTGTTAGTAGTTCCTGCCCGGCAGTAACTACACAAAAGACAGGGAGATGATAACAAGCCAGGACAAAATATGAAGTAAGGGCCTGTCGTGCGAGATGCAGTTATGTTAGAACATCGATAACTGAAAACCACTGCTCACCCGCCAAGTAAATTTCAAACTTTGCACTAATAAATTCATTCCTCTGTGATGCAAAAATTAGCTGAAAATGGGTACTAGCTGACAATGATTTGAGAAGAATCACTTTAATGGTTGTAAAAGGGATAAAACAGTTAGCATAATAGCCAGACTAAAGCATTTTGTACTTATATCATGAATACAGTCGTCAGACTATTTACACGATCTGTCCTTTGTTTTCCACCAAATCTTTCTGTTACAAATACGTTACTTCCGTCTGGCTTACTATGGCTGTAACACAGCTTACATAATCCCTTATTTCCTGCCTTAAGGATCCTACTTTCTTAACATACTCTTACTGACTTGATTTCAAATAAGTTGCTATTCTTATATGCATGATGTTCGGGGAATTTAGCATCATCAAATATCTCAAACAGTATTACACTGAATACTTTTCTATGGGATCAAGCACTGACGTGTATATTACTATATCTTCACAAGAGATGATAGCGAATTAAAATATTCTAGATTGAACAAAGGAAATAAATCTTTTTCAAGAAAGTGGCCAGAAAATTGGAACAGCATATACCCTCAAACATTCGAAAACGTCCATAAAATAGCTTTAAGACTCAGTAAAAAACTGCACAACTGTTAACTTCACTTTCTCATTGAGGCAGATGAGAGTATCGAGATTTGTGGAGAAAATGAAGATTTGTGAAGAAAATGCTGTATATGTTGATCGTCTGTGACTTAATATCGTATCATGTTTTCACCCTACCTTGTGTTAGCTCCATAACACTCTTAAGATATCTTTCTTCATCTCTTCGTGGCTCCAGTGAAGGCATCACATAGCTTAATATTTTCATGATTCATTTCTCCTGTTATTTTTGAATGTTGACCTTAGTATGTAAATTAACAGACAAATCCTGAAATCACTTTGAAAGTCTAGCGTTGCAAGCATCTAGTATATATTTCACTGCTCACCTCGAGTTTCTCGTTTTTATGAGCAGTGGCGAAACGTTGAAAATTACTGACATTTAAGTGAAGTCGGAAGTATCGAGAAGTAAAATAAGCGACTGATGATGACGTCACAGAACGTCACAACTCACAGAAGATATCGTTACGCAATGAATAACTCGCTGTCTAATGGATAATTAAGAGGTCAACTGAACTGACTCAGTGAATATCGACATTTCCACCTTTTAAAATGAGACCTGGAATATTTGCCGCTATCTTTTTGGGAACGAGAATAAAGTCATCAAAAGGCAGGAGCAGATAAAGTGAAAAGCGTTTCTTGTCAAAGGTTACTAGTACTAAACGAGGAGCATAAAAATCAGCGTCAAAGGAAGAGTCTTAGTGTCTACTCTTGTTGTTGAAAGTTTTTTTTAAAAAACTCTTCACAAGAAGAACCGCTCAGTTGTTTACTGGGTTAGTCAATGTCATGATGACAAAGCACATTGAAATGTTTGACGATTTGGGCGTCATTAAAAGGGGTTTAGGTCAGAGTTTTTTAAAGATGATACTGACCTTCTAATCCGCGCCAAGTTTTACTTTTAATTTTCAGGAGTGTCGAAAGAAACAACGGCCGGAAAAATCGAGAACCGCTTATAACATCACCGGAAAACATAGCTTAAAGTTCTACCCTTTCTTTTTTAATCACGTTCATAAACATGACCTAAAAAATTGAACCACTAAGACCATGGCTACAAGTTGGGACAAATCATGCGGGTTTATATTGATTCAGATACACCCACGACATAAAAAAGAAATCAAGAAAAGAATATATTGTCGCATACTTTTAGTTGGTGATGAGATTCTCAACCAAAGACGCTAAACAGGCAGGTGGTGGGAAGTATAGTTATTTTACCGACCTTGGCCGAGTCCATTGTGGAAAACGGTTAAAAAACACTCCCCGAATTATATAAAATTATCAGACATTCTTACAAAATATATATCCCATTAAAAGTGTGAATTGTAACTGTTAATTCACCATCAATATTATATCTAGCTGACGTTGTTTTTCGTATATTGATTCCGGTTGTCTTTAAAATATTTTGTTCAAGAGCTAACATATCTTTTTGATAAAAGTTTATTTCCAATCCAAAATAGATCAAAAGCTCGTGGTTTTTTGAGTGCCAGCCCTTTGTCAGAGCGAATAAATTATTAAAAGTCAGTTTAATTCTCGAGAAAACCTGATTTAACACTTGCTGTTCGTTACGGTTAATGAAGGCTCGAGCTGTCATCGAAATTTTATGTCGGACCCGTGGTGCGTTTTGCTTGTAAGCGATTGGATATTTTTTCAGTAAGTACGAAGCACAACTCGGGCAAGAATTACAATCATTCTTCAGCTGCCTTTCAAAATCTTGGAATCCTGTGACAGTGACTTTTCTGGTCTAACCTGAAACAGCAAGAGCTACGTACCAAAACAAGAGAGTTCGTTTTGAACTTGCAATTTCAAACTACGGTAGTTTCATCCTGATTCAGAGAAACAGGCAATCTGCTTTCCCTGCGTTCACGCGGACTGTCTCTTATTTTATCACCGTTTCTATATCTCGAAAAGTCTTAATTTTTCAAGTTTGTAGTCCATGCCAATCTTCTTTTTCGTTAACAATCCACATTTAGCTTCATATAAGTTTATTCATTTTTTCTGGCCTTTTTCTAAA